TAAAGTGACTTGGCAATCACACTTAAGCTAAAAAAAATATTTTATTTTACAAAGTTATAAAACCAGAGTTGATTTAGAGGAGATGTTACCATACTGAATAGATTTTGTAATATATTTAATATTATTTTAATTAGAAATAATGTGAAAAACACAAAGGTCATATCAATATACATAGATCTAATAATACAGGCTGAGAACATGCATTCATGTAAGCATTCCAAAGATAAAAGTTGCATGTTCATTTCACATGCCATCAAATAGTATAAAACAGACTTAGGTACTAGTCCATTGTACTGCGGTCTCAGTAGGAGAGTGAATGGGGAGAGGAGGTGGTCACTGGAGTTTCAGCTGGATTTTATTTTTGAATTGTTGGAACACAAAGAACAACTCATCAAGAACTGTATAAAGTATATTTCAATGGAATGTTCATGATCTATCTTTTTATATTTTGAAGAAAAAATAGAAACATATCAATAAAGTGTCATAATTGAACATATTTCTACTATTGAGACTTAAAATGTATGAATGTCAATGCGACCTAATGTGAACCAATCTCCATAGCAGCTTGAATGAATAACTGATTAACACTCATGGGATGCTTTTTCAGAGACGTTAAAACTGCTTCAAATCATTGAAATGAACTTCAAATAAATGAAAAAGTGACATCACTGGTGTTGCGGTTGTTTTTAAATGTAGCTCTAGCGAAAGTTCAGTCAGGACGACTTTGTTCTGCATGCTCGTTTTATTGTTTATTCTCCTAATGTGTGACATCACTTCTCCAAGCATGCTCACTCCTTTTATTGTAATCATCAGCTGTTCACATCACCTCGTCACATCTACCCAAAAGCCCTGCTCCACCTTCTCATCTTTAGTCGATCATGTTGCTGCTGACTTTGTAACATATGGCTTTCTCTTCCTCTAGTTCATTCGTGATATTGTTATGAGCGACCTTCCACCTCACCATCACCAGCGAGCCTTAGCAGTTTCATCCCATTCTTCATCCCATCAGCCTCAGATCACATCATCAGCCAATGGTGCACCATTTGGTCAACCCTAGTCTTTGCAGTTTGCCTCTTCATCCCTTCATCCTCAGAATGTTTTTCAGCCATTCCCGTCAGCCCCATTGTTCAGTTAAAGCAGCTTTCATCCCTTCAGCTTCAGATGACATATTCAACCATCTTCTCATCAACCCCAGCCTTCAAAGACCAATTAGCTTCTTCATCGCATACGCCAAGATGAAATCACCAGCCAACAAACAATGATTCTCATATAATCATTTAATACCACATCATTATATAAAATAAAGATTTGTTTTAAATCATTTACTTGTCTCTCCTGATTGAATTGTGTGCTCCTGTATATACTGATTTATCCTATAACACTGTGTACTGGCAGTCACATTTAACACTGTTCATCAGCCCGTCAGGAACACGCTACAGTGATTGATATAATCAGACTTGAAGTGGGGACACAACGAAAAGTTTTAAAGTTTTAAAACAAGCTGAAGGATGACACATTCAATTTGTGAAACTTTGGGAAGATGTTGTCGACTCCTCTAGCAAGGTCAACATATCAAGCTTTCCTATAGCTCCTAAAATAAAGATGCGTCGTTTACAGTAAATGGTAATCTATAACTTAGAGGTCAACTGTAATTGGTCATGTTATTTGAGAGTGACGAGTTAATGGATGTACATACTATTTTAGATTACATGCTGATATCAAATGACAGTAACTTCGAATTTTCCACGAAATCTGACACCAACATGTTCAAATGATTGGCTATATTTCATAGAATAATCCCGTTCTTGGCACAATGACAGAGATTGTTATATGTGCAAGGATTAGAAGTAGAGAGACAATCTGTAATGACATTAACCCTTTCAATAATGGAAGTAAAATGTTTGGAAAATCAGAACGTTATCAATCAAATTATAACTAAAATGGTGAGTTTATCTACCTTCTTTTATACCTGTGCAATTGCACACACCAACTAAAAAGCAAAGCAATGCTTGTAAGAACATGCCTGTCTCCATGATGAAGGCACAGAATCAGAACCTGGTGTAAGGACTACATGGTGAGAAATAGTAATGTGATCTGATGAGTCACCTATTTTCCACTTATGGATACCCGCTGTCTGTTTGACACTGTTCTAACTGGTAATGGATCTGGGTTGGGATGTGAGCCATCTCATGGGAGTCACGATATCTTGTGATTGCAGTGTAAACCAGCATGAAAGCAAAATAATTTTAGGCCATTTTTAGAGAACAGACAGAAGCACAGTCACCCCTAATCCAAGTATATGATGTGGAAAATCATTAACTGTAATAGGGTGTAGTCAGTTGATTTTCCTTGACCTTTGTGGCTAAAGAAATTAGAAGAATTTCTCACTACATTTAATAAATACTTGATATTTGTGTTTATATTTATCTAATCAACACTTCGCATGTCTGTATGGTTATTGCCTTATAGGCACACTTGGACAAAGGGTTATCAGATCCAGAGTAAGCAATCTGTGTTAGATAATGGTAATTCAATGACATGATATGTGATCAAATGGGAGTGTTATGTATCAGCTCAGTGAGCAGTGTATTTATTCTGTGAGTGAAGACAGTTGTGGAAAAAAATGTCTGCAGAGGCCTAATTCAGTTTTCTCTTCTTTGAGCCAAACATCATCGCCCTCTGGTGGTAAAACAAAGTAGTGTCTCCTCTGTTATGCTTTGATGGAAGAATAATTTAGACCAATACATGAAGTATATTATGATTGATTAGTCTTTCTTTGTTTTTGTTAATTTACTGAATATCTGACTTCAATAAAAAATAATCAAAACCTCTTGCTGTCAAGTGCCTTAACATATTTGTACATGCAAAACACAATTAGCTTACACGATAGTACAATTATCTCCATGATCTACAGTACCTGGAAGTCAGTCCATTGAGGCACAGGTGGTTGGTCTTTCTCCTGCTCAAGCATTTAGCTTGTATGTAAAGAGGCAGACAGGCCGGGTCATCTTGTTTAAAACTGAAACATCATCACTTAGGGGGGAAATGAGGAGGAACATTTGAAGATTTAAACATTCATTAAAAAATGAATACTGTGCAGCATAACAAATAATAAAAAATGAGGCACTATAGTAAACTTTGTAAATTATTTTCAATTAAAAAAACTACCATGAGGCAAAAAATACACCTTATTTTCTACAAGACAACAATTTTAACTATATGAGCACTACTCACAACTACTTATCTGAACTCAGCTTCTGAGAAAAGGGCTATGATAATGCTAATATAACAAAGATACAGCTGAAAAATATAAACACCAGCTTTACTACTACAATAACTGCATGTGAAATTTAAACGCTGACAGTGCTTATTGCTTCCTTTGAATAAAGTCACACGTAAACGTAAAAGTCAATTAAATTATGAGACATTACAAGGACTAAAGAGAGGGAAGGTCACTTACCAAAGTAGTTAAAATAAATACTATTGAACTTGACAAACTGTTGTTTGCTATAATGTTTTTGAATGTAACGTGCACACTAAACTAATGCTTTTTGACAGCTAGCTTGTAGTGTTACCTATAGTTATCATTTTAAAGGCAGGGTTGGTTATTTTCTCCAGACACACAAACAAGAGTTTGTTTGAGATTGTCTTTAGGTCCTGAAAGAAATACATATTGAATTTAATGTGCCCTGAAAAAGGAATGTCCATCAGAAAATCCATCATCTGTATTAGTTGTAGGCTACCATGTAAAAATTAGGACCAATGTTTGCCACAAGGTATCAATTTGATGCACTAATCATGCCTCCCTGTCTCCCTGCTGTTCTCTACTATAGACTGTAAATAATAAGTTATCTACCCTTTGCGTACCCTTGCCCACACTCAAAGCAGTATAACCTCAAAGCACAGAGTTTATACTGTGAGTTTATCGTTGGCCGTTGTGAAAAGTATATATGGGATATAAAGGAGGTCAATCAAGTCACCATTAGCTCAGAGACCCTTATTCAGATTCAGGCTTCTACTTTTACCAAGTTATCTTATTTTTATCAACCTCTTACCAAATATCGAGGATTCCCTGGTTAGAAAATGAAGATACAGTTGAATACATGTTATCTTTTTTCTATTAGCCTATATATAATTTGGGTAAGCTATCATTAAAAATACTAATTATTGTATTTTTCATTTAATGAAGCATAAATGTTGAGTTTTCAACTCTTTCGACTTTTGGTCTTTTTTTTTCCACAGGCACAGTAGGCTAAGACATTTTGTCGAGTAAATAAAATGTTAAAAGAGTTATGTTTGCTTATTATACACTTTTAAATAAGATTGAGGACTCAGTATAGTGAATGTTAATTCATGGATAGTAAATAAATAACCAAACAGCAGCATAATCCAGTTAACAATTTTGTATGCATTTGTATGTAATTTCCTATATTTTTATTTAACTCTTTACAAGTTTGTTGAACATGAGGCCTACTGTAAACACATTCTTGACATTTCATTATGATGTAAAATCTAAAAAATGTCAGAAAAGGAGCTTTTGCTAAATAGGAATAACCACAGTACCCCAAACCTTTTATAAATTAATCCGAAATAACAATGCAAAACAAACTGACAGCTAGCTGGCTGATATTAATATGTGCTTGACATTTTGACAAATATGATGTATGTATTCTGCATATTCTTTTGTATTAGTTACTTTGTTACAACGTTTTTTTCTCAATAACACAAATTTAAATCAAGTACTTTGGATTTAATGAATAGTGAGAAACCTCTGTCTGTCAGAGCACCACGCTTGTTAGAGATGATTACACCGTACATGTGGTGCCAGGCAGAGGTGACATTTGATAGGAAGGTTGAAGGTTGACTTGCCCCATAGCTGAAATGGAGGGAAAGGACAGGGAGGGGTCGCAGGGCTCTAACAGAGATTGAATTTCAACAGGACAGCATTCCCAAAAAAATGTTTTAAGACAGTCAACGTGAGGCAGCAAGGGAACTGGACAAGATCGTGGATGTTCCCTGAACAAACAACTGGAAGTGTACGGCCTGGTAGAATAGTTTAGCTGGGCTGAAAGTGGACAGAAGGTGGACAACACAGGCCCGACAAGGACTCTGCTTGTGTGACAGACGGACATGATGACAGAGAGAAACACCGACAACCTGATGAGACACAGGAGACGAACAATGTGATTTTTCACCTGGCCGTTAGCCTCTGTCAGAAGCTGTTTAACACATAGTGAGTAAATGCTTTTATTGCACCAACTGGGTACTAACAATGTGTTTTACTTGTCTTGTTTAAATTCTAATTATAACTTTCAAAATAGAATAATTGATGACAGTTTTTATAGGGACTTTTTGGTTGATATTTTACATTTAACTATCAGTGTCTACTGTATGACTATAAGACACTACTGCAAGGTTTTCCCTTCATCCATATGTTACTAATAACATCTATAAAAACAGATTTAAATAAAGAGCCATATTCTGTCACTCTCATTTCGGACAGGGTTATCTTTTGAGTCCAGTTGTTCTACAAGTCCTCCAGAGAGCTGTTCGTTTCATTCCCTGACCTGGCCTTCAAACAGGGATGGACGGCACTGACCCCAAGGACGATGAGAGAGGAGATATAAGGAAAGAGAGTGATGGAGAAAAAGACAAACAGCTGAAGAACCAGCTGAACATTGAGGAAAAAGGGGAGAAGGAAATCAAAGGGAACGAGAAAGAGAATAAGAAAGAGAGCAGGCGTTCTGGTTCTCTTTGGAGGAGTGGATGGGCGTTGAGCGAAAGACTGGCCATCAATGTCTCAGGGATGCGATACGAAACACAACTTCGCACCTTGGCCCAGTTCCCCAACTCCTTGCTTGGTGACCCCAGGCGGAGGTCACGGTATTTTGACCCACTTCGAAATGAGCTCTTCCTGGACCGCAACCGGGCCTGCTTTGACGCAATTCTGTATTTCTACCAGTCAGGCGGGAGGCTTCGGAGGCCCGCCAACATCCCGCTGGACATCTTCATGGATGAGCTGATGTTCTACGAGCTGGGCGAGGAAATCATGAACCGCTTTAAGGAGGACGAAGGGTTTCCCAAAGAGGAGGAAAGGCCGCTGCCAGCCAATGAAATCCAGAAAAGAATGTGGATGCTGTTTGAGCACCCAGAGTCCTCGTCGGGCGCCCGCATCATAGCCATCATCAGTGTGATGGTGATTGTGGTGTCCATTCTCATCTTCTGCCTGGAGACGCTTCCTGACTTCAGGAATGAGAAGGAGGCACGAGAGGTAGGGAATGTCTTTGTTTTGATGAAACACTAGTACGGGATTCAATTATGGAGGGTTGGCATTTCTTTTCTGGTTTCTAGGTTTTCTGAGTGAAGGCATTTTGAATTCAAATAGATGTTCTCCATTTAAACCAAACGTAGTTACCTTAAAGCAATAAAAGCTGGTCTGACTTTAGAGGGCTGTGTCTCAATAATTCTACTACTCATTCCAGTGTGTGTGTGTGTGTGTGTGTGTGTGTGTGTGTGTGTGTGTGTATATAGTATCAGAAATTACAATTTTTTTATCAATTGGCCATGTAGGTTACATATTCAATGATTTAGCTTTGTTTTGTTTTTGTTTTTTGTGCAAAACTATAAACTAAGAATTACGTTCAAAAGAAGGAAGTAAACAGAAGAACTAGTGTCAAACATAAAACACTAAATGTAATACAAATGATATACAGTATATTCATTTGGCAAATGATAAAGCGTTTTAGTTTAAACTGAATGTGCAATAAGGGCCAAAGGAGTGTGCAGAGGTTTACTGTATGAAATACAGAGACACTGTCCGATTAACAGATAAAAATCCAGATGTTGTGATTTAAAGTAACAATCCGAGACACTGCATTGTCCCCATAGGGAAATGTGTGTCCGACCCAAGTGCTCCACAAATGTAGCTGTCTCTACAGTACATAAGAAAAAAAAGAATAGAAATCCTGAAGGGAATTTTTGGCCAAACTAAAAAATAAAAAAGCCAATAAAAACAATCAACATCAACAGCGCATACTAATGACCAGCATAAAGGACACATGTTCCACATAAAGATGAGTGTAACAATGAGTGGAATGATAATAACAACACCATTAGGCTGTTGCTCAATCTCTACCCCGTCAAGAAACATGACTTAAAATATGATTGCTGTTGGCAGAAAAGACATTTTTAAATGCTCGAGTCAGTCAATGGTTTGAGGTTAAATAGGATGTAACATCTTTTTACATATTGACTGCAAAACTAACAAAGCTTTTCAAAAAGTCCAGATAAAACCATTCTGTTTAGAGGTTCTGAATGGGACACTAATGACCACCTTTCTCTAACGGAAATCTGATATCATGGGAGGCAGGTGTTTAGGTAAACATGCACATGGTGAGTACTACAGTGTGTTACAAGGAAAAACACTGACATGGGCAGAAGGATTTGCCAATATGTCTGGAAGCAGACCAGAGAGAGCAAGAGAGAGGGGCTGAGGGAGGCTTATGCTGTGATTATTTTAGTCAGCTGTTAAATTTGATACACTCAGATTCAGGAAGCGCTAAAGGGTACAGGGAGTAGTGGGTGGGGCCTTGAATACAGATTAAAGGAGAGAAAGGGAAGACAGGGTGAGGAGGCACTGGCAGTTAGGTGCGTTAATGAAAGGTCACACAAGTGACCGAACACAAACACAAAGGTGAGCCAAAGCCTTCCGGTGGCTTAGAACTGGAGAATGAAAGGTCTCACAGGATGAGGAGCATACGTCGGGTCATGTTAACACATTCCTCCAGGACTGCTTTGCTAGGATGGCCAGCACTAGGGGTGAGGGGGGTGAGGGGGGTGGGGGGGGGGGGATGGGGGATGGGGGGGGGGCGGCGGCTGCCAGGAAAACTACTATAACTCACTTCAGTCCAAGTCCGCCGCAGACCCACTGAACCGCATTGGCAATGTTACACGGCTGCAGAGGCCGCAGGGAGAGATGGGATAGCGACAAAGGTGGAGATGGATGAGGAGGGTTGCAGCGAGACGCTCTCATGTTTCTTTTCAGAGATCTCACGGGGTTATATTTAGTCTTAGGAGAGCCCTTGGAGCGGATCAACACATAGATGTCCACCTTTAGTAATAAACACTGTCACTGACCTGCTACTGAAAGTCAAAAAGGAATACTCCAGGGGTTTTTTTTTAAACTTTCCTGAAACTTTATATATTACACACGGCTCATTACAGCATGCTAAACTGAGCCCTTTAATCCATGTCATCCGATTCACACGTTTAACTGGATGCTATGTGTAAGATGCCTTAAACCGCTTCAATCCGGAGCTTGAATGTCGAATGTAACGCTAACTGACACAGAAGATGGAGAGACAGGTGGACTGAAAAGGAGATAGGTGCAGCTATGATTGAAATGCACAACCTCAGATGTCAAACGCTTTTATGATGTTGTCTAATGTGGGAACCAGTAAGATAGTGGATAACATGCTATGTCTCTATATGGTTTATGAGAACATGTAACAGTTTGTAATGTGATATAAAAAGAATGTAAAGTCATAAGTTTTCATTTTAAGGAACAGTTTGATTAGAAAATAGACACCACGTTCATGTCTGTACAGTTAACAGTGTGGGGGAAGGTTCAAATCATCCCTTTGCCAGCTACTAAAATTCAGACTGCTTCACTTGAGAAAGCTGAGGGAGAAATCCAGTTTGGTCAACTAAAGATACTTTGAGAAATTAGTTCAAAACTGATAAAACTGGATATTATACCACATGTACGATATATACGATATATTAAGGTATATTTTGGGGCTTTTTATACCTTTATGTAGAGATAGGACGGTGGTTAGAGTCAGAAATCAAGGAGAGAGAGAGTGTGTAGAATGACATGCAGCAAAAGAGCCACAGGGCAGACTCAAACCCAGGCCACTTAAACGTCACACAAATAATCACAATTTAGGAAAAGTTCTAACCTAATTAAATGCCTCACATAACATGGGAAGGTGCAAAACAGTACTATAGCCAAATCATTTTCACAAGTGAGCTTACAATCAAAACATCCTAGAATAAACCTGGAAGCTACTGTAAGTTTTCCCTGAATATGAAAATCCTAACTGTGCTTGTTATGATGACAAATCAAAAGATTGACATGTCTTTTTGTTTTTCACAAATCTGGATTTAAATCGTCCTTTAAGAGAAAAAAAATACCTCCTTCATCTCATTTCACAGCCCATAATAATAATAGATTCAGTATTGACTAAATGGAAGAAAAGGTAATTAACTACTTGAATCACTATGTGAGTATGCATGTATTTTAAGTGGCAGAAAGCTACTGCACAATGTTGTTAAATTATGGTGTGACTTACAGCTCAAGCTGCACTTCTTTCATATTATAGGTGACTCTCACAATCACCTATCAATGTATCCTCATAATTTGCCGGTCTACTTAAGATGCATTGCCACTGCTGTTTCGCACCATTGCTGCGGTTGAACTTTCAGCCCCACCACCAACCCAGGGTCTTCTTGCAGGCTCTGACTGGGGGTTTAAGATGTTATCTCATTTATCTTCAGTTTCTGCATGTAAGGAGTGATGAGGTCAGCGATGAGCCAGGACGCCAAACACAAACTATGTTCTGCTGCTGCAATAGAAATTTCAAACCGAAAACATAGAAACCTGCACTAAAATCACTTATTAGTATATTCTGGAGAGAGAGCAGAAATTCAGATTTTTGACTTAAAGAAGCTTTTGTATGCCGTTTTTCAACTTTTGCTTTTGTACAGAAAAAATAAAAGCTGATACCAAGCTATGGAAGTACTGTTGCCTGAACCTTGTTTTGTTTTTAACATGGCCAAGCTAGCTGTTTCCCTCTGCCTCCTGTGTTTGTGCTAAGCTAAGCTGTTTTCTATCTTTCCTGTCTGCCCTGTCTCTTTTACTTTAGGAATACTTTTACAAGTACCACGCCCTGGCCAAGAACATCTCTGAGAACATGTCTCCCCCACACAGTGTTTTCCACGACCCATTCTTCCTGGTGGAGACCATGTGTATCTGCTGGTTCTCCTTCGAGCTCTTCATGCGCCTCATCTCCTGTCCAAGCAAGACGCACTTCTTCAAGGACGTCATGAACATCATCGACTTCAGCGCCATCCTGCCTTATTTTGTCACTCTGGGAACAGAGTTGGCCAAGGACAACGACGCCTCTCCGGCCACGTCTTTGGCCATCATCAGAGTCATCAGGTTAGTGAGGGTTTTCAGGATCTTCAAGCTGTCCCGCCACTCTAAGGGCCTCCAGATCCTCGGTCAGACTCTGAGGGCTAGCATGCGGGAGCTAGGCCTGCTTATCTTCTTCCTGTTTATTGGCGTCATCCTGTTCTCCAGCGCCATCTACTTTGCCGAGGCGGACCACGCCAACACGGCCTTTATTAGCATACCACATGCCTTCTGGTGGGCTGTTGTCACCATGACGACAGTGGGCTATGGCGACATGTACCCAGAGACAGTGTGGGGTAAGCTTGTGGGCTCAATGTGCGCCATTGCTGGTGTGTTAACTATCTCGCTACCAGTGCCGGTCATAGTGTCCAACTTCAGCTACTTCTACCATCGTGAGACAGAGTGTGTTGATCAAACCGAGTACAGCCATGTCCAGACCGGCACGGAGTCGGACGAGGAGCCTCAGGGTGGGGAAATAGATGAAGGGGAGAGGGATCCAGAGGGAGATTATTACGCAATTGAAGGAATCTGCAATCCTTTGAACGGGACTTTGCTGGGTGGACTGTGTACGGGCCAGAGCCCAGAGTTCAGAGGAGCTAATATGTATCTGAGGGAACCACTGGTTACACAAGTGTAGGTTTGTTTGATCTGAAAAAGGAAAAGTGAATGGAAAAGGAGTTTTAAAGTTCACAAGTGAGCAGGTCCAGAGGTGAGGAAAAGAGATAAAAGGAAACTGGCCAAGAGGAACTGTCTCATTTTGTTAAAGAAAACCGTAAATATGGCACTAATGAGCCTACTAGAAACTTTTTATTGCCTTAATTTATAAATATTTATTACAACACTATCCAGCCAAATGTTGCTAAAAGGCATTTTTTTTGTATAAAATAGCTTTGAAAAAGCCCAAAAAGACAGTGAGTTGTATATTCTCAGGGTCATAAACTGTTATTTAATAATGCTATCAGCTTGTGTTGGAGGTGAAAATGACTTTTTGAATGTTTATTCTGTGCCTCGAAAACTATGATGTCTTAGTACTGTCACTTTGTGGCTTAATGTTTGAAGTGGAAGCAGATAGATGAGCGCCTATAGAGATGTCAGGTGTCATCAAAAATCATTAGAGGCAACCAATCACTGCAGACTCAGATCTCTTGTAAACCAATCTGTCATTCTTTACATTCTTCTGTTACTTATGTACAAAGTTCACATTTGTGTAGTTTTGGTGTATGTGACCTGAAGAGACTGACATGACCTTTATCATGCTTTAATACAACTCTGTTACCTGCAGGCTCTTACAGAGGCATGTTTGGATGCTACAGTTCTGTAATTACCTGCTTACTTCTGCACACAGAGTTTTTAATAAAGATTATATTTTATAAATTTTCCTGTACCACTGTTCCCTATACCTGTTAATTATGTCACAAAGAGTGTCACAAAAAGTCACATTTTGCAGTGTTACTTCAGGATACAAAATCTGTCAAACTATAGAAGCACATTAACACTTATTGGTTCAGTGCTAAGGCTACTGTATCTCTTAGCACAACTTTTGGTCACTGAGGTTAGCCCGATCTAATATGTGTGTCACGTTTGCATGGCCGTGACTGACCTTTTCCACAGCTACTAAGCTGTCATAAGCTTCCTTTAACATTGCTCTCAATTTCACTGGAACACACAAGACTTTCCACTACATCACTGTAATGGCCCATGGAAGGTATGTGTGCTGCAGTAACATTGGCAGTGTTAACCGACTCAATAATGTGTGTTAGTTTGTGTTATTGATGTTAGTTTTATGGTCAGTTAAGGGCATATAAATAGTTTGTGGAAGAGAAACATGATCTCTGACTGCTTGCACAGATTGTCAGTCAGTGAAGATAGAACATAAATGCTAACGGAGATTTTTAACATTACCAGCTACCTCCCTATTAGCTTGTATTTTTATGGTCTACATTTTGAATGTGAAAGCTAAGCCACATAAACCCTTTGTCCCTATGTGTCCCTCCACATTAACCTATATCTATTGATAAGTATTGACATATTTTCCACTTAAGCAGCAGAAAGAAAACATGCTCTTAATAAAGATCTGATGCTAGGTAGCTACAGTAGCTAAGTAGCCTGCTATCAATCTTATCTTTTTATTATTTCAAAAATATCTCAATGAGTTATAGAAAAAGAACTTCAAATGACCATTTTTCCTGGAGATGAAGTGTTTTGAGGTGGTTCTCTTGAAGTTTTTACAAGAAATTAGAGCATTGATCTCGAGGATATAGTGTTCAATATGAGAGAAGCTCTCTTTTTACACCCCTTTTTTATGGCAAACACTTACAGTAGCTACAGAATGATTTTCAACTTGACTAAAGCAAAAGTTGTCAACTCAAGTCGAGGATCAGGCTGTAGAATATTTTTTTTCAAAAGGGCTTCAAATCCTTGTATACTTAAAAAAAACTGTCTTGAGACCCTCATTCTAGTACAAAATTAAAGCGCTGCATGTCTTGCTTCATTCATATTGATGTTACTCTGAAAAAAGACAATTTATGGCAGCTGCCCTTTGTATACATATACCATATAAACTGTATATAAACTATATGACAACCAAACTTTAACTAATGTTTCCCAACCCAAACACAGGAAACAACTTATCCATAGAGCCAGGAAACAGTGGTTTATGGAACTTTTAGTAATTACTCATTTGTCCACTAGAGGGTGCTCCTACTTTCATTAACATCCAGTCTATTTCCTCACTGCTTGGTTGTTGTATTCTTCACAGTCTGTGTGTTCAGCATCAGTTTTTATACATGTTTTATTTAGACTCAGACAAAAAAATAGATGTAGACATGCTAATGCTGAGTGCACATATGCTCTTTTAATTTAGATCTCATCTCAAACAGAGTAGTATAAAAATATAATTATTTGTCTTTTTAGTCAAATCCAAATTAGAGAAACTGCAAAGCCCCATATATTTCAGTCAACATGACTGAGGAACAGTCCTTTAATTCAAATATTTTATGAACTTTTTTAACGTTTCAGTATTTAAATAACCATTACAACACATCAAATAAATAAATAAGTTACATTTACAATGCTGCCATAGAAACTGTGAGAAAAAATAACTTAGCCGCTCATTTCGTAACAAAATCAAGTCTGCAGGTTGAACCAGGTCAGTAAATAAAATCTATTTTTAGAGGCACATCCACAGTGTTAGATCTGTTTTCACTTGTCCATGGAGAGCTGAGGACTGCCCACAGTGTTTAGACCCATTCCAAGAAGATCATCAGAGTCCACGTTGAAATATCTCTCATTGTTTTGTGGCTGTTCAGGCACACTCTCGCCTGCCAAAGTATTCCTGAGTGGTAGGAATCGAGTGAAGGGGACCGCGTGTCGGTCTGGAGAGTGTTTGGATGCCAGAGACACCGGGACTCCATGGTGTGAGGAGAGGAAACGAGTGTATCCGTCTGCCAGGAGCAGCTCTCTGAAGGTGCAGTCGGCTTCCACGTATTGTCTCTGAAAGTGACAACATAAGTGAGCTCTCGGTGAAGGGCTTTAAGGACAGAGGCTTTAGGATATAAGAGTTCACTTTGATTACCGTACCTGCCCCCTTAAATGGCCTTCACTGTCCATACAAAGAAACAGAGCTGCAGACCGTCCTTTGATGACTACATTTCCTGGATTTATAGATTTAAGCTCCATCACACCTGGAAACACAGAAACATCCAAAGATGGGTCTTCTTTGCAAATGGTTCTAATTTGTCACAAAAATCTTTTTTTTTATTATTTTATTTTTTTACTGGATTAATAGACAAATACTCACTTTGAGGAGTCTGAGCATCACTTCCTGACACTCTCCCATCCAGAGTCATCTGCAGATACATGCCTCTTCTATGATTGTCTGCAACAAGGAGAAAGAGATCAACATCATGAAGAATTCCTTCCATATTGGCATGAAAGACTTTGCTGAACTGCAGAGGAAAGCGTTGTGATACCTGTGTAGAGCAGCACCTCTCGAACTTGATTATTCAAGTTTGAAAGTGGGTTGGAGTCAGGGAGATAAAATGGCAGAGAGAAAGGAAGTGAGATGATAAAGAGGAAAGCAGGCAGGTAAAAGGTCAAGGTATGTGGAAACAGAAACATTTGGAAAAAATAGTATAAATAGGAATAAATAGAAAATAAATATCTCTATAGTAATAAAAAAGAAATAGGATAAATTGAGTTGAAGCGAGTGTTTTGTAAATTCTAAACAGGAGCATCTTTTGGGTCCTTTTAAAGGTCTTTGAAGAAGGAGGTCCCACTTCCACAGTGTAACACATGAGTCAGACATTTCTTCATAATTGAACTGTGATTTAATGGCGAGAGGAAAACTTCTGTTTAGAGTCTATGTATGGGCCTCTTCCGGGTTGTAGAGGGCAAGAGCTGCCCGTAAAGCAGCATAGCTTCAGGTGGGATAAAATGAGTCTGAGTTCTTAAACGATGGATAAATAATGATGTTTTGTTTTATTATGTTGCAGTTTTCTGTCCTCATTGGGGTTTCTTTGATACAAATCATTGAATATGATTCTGAGTCAAAGTGGTTCATGTTGTTACTGTATGTAAAATATGTTCAAATTGATTGCTTGCTTAACTTTCTATTAGAAATACAAATACTTTCCTGCCCTATTCAAACAACATTTCTTCATTAATACTTTTGTTTGTTTTTCATGATCAATCATTTTCATTTTCCCTCCAAGTTCTAAATTACCACATTGCCCTATTAGTGACCTTATTTAGTAGGCTATCACCTTAAATATTTGAGTGCAATAGGACAACTAACTTTGAATCCCACTTACAAGGGTCAGTAACTATGCGTTGTGTCAAAGCAGGGATTTTCCATTCAAGCCTACTTCAAAGATACACACATTACCCCACAGCTAAAGGATGTCTCACAAACACATCTCTCCACGTCATCTGCTTAATAAATTATAATAAACAAGTACAAGTGAAGTTTTATGGTGTTTATCTTATTTTGACGGTATGTGTGTTTGATGGAAGATGGGGATGAGTGGGTGAATCGGATTTCCCAGCAGGAGACGAGTGTTTACGTGACTGCAGCTGTGTAGTCACAAGAGAGGCTCTACGTCAGCTCTTAACTTATTAACGCTTGTCTCCCTACAGTCTATCCTCATCTCAAATGTGATGCTACTTAGGCTATGTCACGTGGTCACGTGATCTAGTTTCCCAGTTATTCACTTGTCAATTAAAACAGTCTCAAAGCCACACTTAGATAAAATGACGTGATATTACATTTTCAAGGTCTCATATTCTTCTGGATTTAAGAATTTATTCATGACACCCCCAAGAGCATACTTTTTTTTTTTTTTTTGTGAGAAAAACACATTATATTGTAATGTGAACATAGACTCCATCAGTACGGAAGAGGATTAGGACCGCTGAAAAAAATAGATTTTTGAGTTCTGACTTTTTTTCTCAGAATTATGGGAAACAAATGTCAAAATTAAAAAAATTATTTTCAGTGGCCCTATCCTCTTTTCTGTACATAAGCATTAGTATAATGTGGAAATTGTGTCAATGTCAAAAAAGCTTGTTTTTTTTCTCTCTCCATTTATTTTTAGTTGATAGAAAAAAGTATCTCCCATCTGTGCCCTGGTGTGGGAAGTGAAGTAACATTAGAATAGACATTAAAAACGTATTCATAGCTTGTTAAACACAACAAATATTATTACTAAAAATAGAATACAATTTATGGAGTCTGCCAGGAGATGGCGCTAAAAACTTCCATCATTCTCGTTACCAGTTTGCTCATGGAAAACTGCCATGTTGAAGTGAGGTGAGAAGAGAATGTTTTGGGCTGTGGTGATTTGGGGGATTTCTGGCTCGTTTGAAGCTCATGTGAGAAATGTGTAGTTGATGGTGAAACACTGAAATGAAACCAATTCCTCTGTATGACCTGGAAAAGCGATCAACCCTGTCGACCATCAGCCACAGCAAAGATATAGTCAGCTTCATGACCGTAAGGGGTCCGTGTCAAACATGGCTCAGACCGGAAGTGCCTTGTTTGACGTTTTCTAGGAAAAGATTTGCAGTGATTGATATGTTTTGATGTTTTTGTTGTTGTTACAGGAAGTAGATAGTTACACATGTAGGCTACAGGAGATGATCAGCAACGACATCAGACCTACCTCAAGCAAAAAGGATGAAAAATGTTTCAAAGTCTTAGCCTGGTTTCATCACTTTATCCAGGCGTGTCATCTCTGGATCATATTTGACAAATAAGCAGGACTAAGCACTATCTGTCATTTATAATATTAAATATATAGCCTATTAAAGGAGCTGGCTCATAAAGCAAAGTTGTCAGCAACCAACACTTAATTACTTGTTATGATGAAGGGGTTTCTTATAAGATTAGATGAACATGTATTTAAAACCCCAGCAGTGACATTTTTCATTTATAATTAAGGATGTGTATCAAAAGCTCAATGGAAAGATTCATTCAGATTTATATTTCTTAAAAGTCAGCACAAAAACGAACGTAGTTTACAAAATGACAAAACAATTAAAAAAAAAAAAAAAATCAATCCTGCAGGGAAATAAACAGGTGAACTATTTTTAACCTCCACCTCCATGTGTTAACAGCACATGGTGGAAGGGTTTCCTCCTCCTGTTTTGGCTCCTCTCCAGACCTGCTGTGATCAGTTCATGGCTGACTGAGTAAAAGCTAACATGCAGAATATGTTCTCAGAAGAATATGTTCTCAGAAGAATATGTCCGTGTCTACTTCTAATCTAATTTTCAGATATTAAACGTAGTCGATGACAGAGGGCACAGATGAGCTAGCGGTTAGGTCGTGCCCAATGTGTGGAGGCAAGTCCCACCCGTGGCTCCTTTCCTACATTCTCTACCCTCTCTTTCCAGATTTCATACTTTTTTCACTGTCCTGTCCAAATAAAGGCAAAAAATAAATAAATAAATAAATCTGAAAGAAGTCATCATTAACAGCACCCCCTTTACTCACCTGCACTCCATCGCACCTTGCCCTGCCTTTGTCTCTTGCATTTTGAAGGTTTCACTCATGCTGCTCAATGCTAAGTTCATCTGCCATGTGTTCTTCAGAAGATGACATTCTAAGCATAAACCCAGCATCTGCATTTCTATATCTGACGTCGTCATTCTTACCTGAGGTCTTTTGTCAGCTTAAGGGGAAAGTGAAAAGAACTCCTTCAGCCCCATTTTACAGGTATGTTTTTTTAATTACAGCTTTTACAATCAGTATCATCATAATTATTATCATATTATATTCAATTATCATCACTACTCTCCAATAATATGAATTTAAATCATAACACAATTTGTTTTTTTGTTTTTTCTCAAAATGTACACATACAAGTAGCATATCTTAAATGTCCATAATTTAAAACATATTTCCTTTTTCAACCTCAAAATGAACTTACAGTCAGTCTTTAAACTAAGTATGAAATGAACGTACAGTTTAATACACACACACACATACATACTGTACATACATACATACAATAGCAGTTATCATAAAAAATGATAAAAACAAAATACACACATTTTACAAAGTCCCCAGGCGTTCACATCATTAGATGATTGATATCATGACGTTCACTCTAAAATGGTTGATTTTGGCATGCATATTAACACAAATGCTTAACTCTTTTTTTTAATCCGGTTTGAACTGGATTTTGTTGTAAAAGCACTTTGCTAATTGTCTCATTGTCTGTCTTATTCACATTTGTGCATCTCATGTCTGTTATGGCTTAAGAACATACTTTTTTCCCCCCCGTGTGTACACTTTTACTCTCCCTTTGAAGCTCCCTCGCCCAAAACCTGACTGTTTTTTTTTCTTCTTGTTGTTGCTAGGCAGAGTATGTTCTATCATCAGTCTAAATCGCCTGCGAGGATGCGTGTCAGGGGTGTCGTTCTCTTTAAATGAACAGGAATGCATTCTCTGATTTAAAAACTATAAATCCTTTTGTGTCAATAGTGCCATCTCACTCTCAAAAAACAGAAGATGAATTCACAATAGGCGATGGTCACTTTCTACAGGCCACTTTCTACAGAGTCAAACAGCATCATGCCACAACTATGGATGAATGATGGAGTGAGAGAGAGAGAGAGAGAGAGAGAGAGAGAGAGAGAGAGAGAGATGGATGAACGGACATTCACTCATTATTTTATCATCTTTTTAGAAAGCATTCACTCAGTGTCTTTGATTCTTCAAGGCGCTGGCCTCGAATGTCGGTCATCTTTTAGAGTCCATGTTTGATTTTGATGCTTACTTTGCGTCCACAATTTTTTTTCTCCTTGGATTAGGAAATAGGAGGAGGGTTTCTACAAAAAGAAATTAAATATGCGCATGTTAAGAACCACAGTAGCTCCTGTTGAGATGAAATGATTGATCTGAGTGCACACATGCTATTTTTAACTACGGATTACACATGTCAGCGAGGGTGCTTTCTCACCTGGTGTGCTTGTCTTTTAGCAAGAATATGTCCTCACAGACGCAGACTCTCCTCTTGGACCAGAGTTCACTAAGAGAGAGGTAAACAATAAATACAAGTCACTCAGGAAGTTTGAGACAAACGGACAAAACTCTGAAGCTACTATAAGGTTTAAAAGTTGAGTGAACTGTGATTCTGATTTCTAGAGATGTTCTTCATAATGCCAAAGTGCTTCTTTACTCCCAATGACTGTGAGGAAAGCTGTTGGTTTTAGCTTTGAAATGTCATACTATGCTTCCTCTTAAGATTAATTTAAGGAGTTTTGTATAGATAAAAAGCATGTTTGTAGGAAAACATTGGTAAGTATGAGGGCTAATGGCGGGACTATGTTAGCTTAACTGAGAAACAGCCTGTAGCTCGCTTGCCAGGCTCTTTTCAGAGGTCACAAAATCAACCAATCAGCAGCTCTAAACATAAATTTGCAAGCTAATCAGCCAATAACACTTCACTGTCTCCACAGTCTCTGGTCGGCTAAGCCAAGCTAGGTTTAGCATTTAACCAAAATGTCTTTGATATGATGTGTTATATCAAAAGTGTCTGGTTTCTTAATCATGACATATTTCCATGTGAAACAGGTTAGACAGGTCAGAAATAATGTTTGGTGGCGGATGGGTTAGATTTAGAGATGACAAGTAGTAGGGGGAAAAATCTGACTTTAAGGCTTTTAAACGTGTCGCAGTGTGACAATATCTTTCTATTCTATATCTCCTATTAAAGCGGCTTCAAGCCTCCAAAAAATACATAAAAACACATCAGAATTCTAAATCCCGTCACTCTTAACACACACAAAAAAAACATGTGTATGTGATGTTTGTTCAAATTGAACACAGTTTGTTCAATTTATATAATTGTTCTGCTTTCAACTCTTACCAGATTATGATCGCACAACCACTAAATGTTCATGTTTATTGTCCATAATCCACATGTCGGCCTGTGAGGCTGGTAATGTTTAAGTCTAAATGTCTCACACTTTGCGGCAAAGAGTTTTTTTAGTTGCCGAAAAACTGATGAACACATGCAGCTGCTTGGAGTCATCAAACAGCTGTTACATTTTGACATTTAAATAAACTGACTGATTCAAGCACTATTTGCCTTAGCTGGTAAGATGAACGCATTTCTGGTTACACTGACATCATGTTTCTTCTCACAAAGGTTTAAACAGAGAGAAACCACAGAGTATAGCTTTGTGCTACCCACTCACCTTCGCTCTGGACTTTCCTCAGGGTGACGGAGGGCGTCGCGATGGCAGAGGCACGGAAGTTGGCAGGTAATGTTTCTGAGGAGTCGGCGGTCATTCCGCGGAGGTCCTTCTCCCTGAACATCTTCCTCCATGACGGTGAACGCGTGAATGTTTTGGTGCCGTCCTGCAGGGACAAAGAAATAACACCAGTGATTAAAAGTAATAGCAATCAGTGTAGAGATGAATCATTATGCATTTGTGAGGTTTAACAGACTTGTATGTGACAAAGCAGGATTTGTTGTGACACTATTACACAGACACACAATTTTCAGGGCTGGATGCTGTAACTAAGCAATTAGCACTGATGTAAACACAGCTGAACCAATCTGGCATGGTAGCAATTGCCAGCATTGGTGCACTTCTTGTTCTTATAAATGCTATCTTTATTAGAAGAAGACAGATTTCACTTTATTGTGTCACACAATTGACAAAGAGCAAAACCTGAAAAGTTTGGATCTGACGTCTTTTACTTTTTAAAGTGGAATAATCTTAGTCGAGGAAGTTCAAACCACAAATCACAGAATGATTTTCAACCGACAGTCTGCCTAGTTGTACCTCATCGGGCCTCCTCTCTGTTCCCATCGAGATGAGAGCATTGTACTCCTTCTCCAGGACCTGCCTCGCCTGAAATAAAAATCCAAATTTGAATCAATGAAAAGTCAGAAATGTGAATGATCTAATAAGCAAACAGAAGCTGTTTGAGATATATGCACACCAGAGATGTTTTGCTACATTAAAACAGACCATCGAGAAGTTGTGCTATGGTGTACCTGTGTGTTCTGATTGGGTATCTGGAGCAGGAGCGCTAAGTCCGTGTAGTCAAAGGTGTCATCAAGAGCCAGCAGAGAGCCGTGCACTCCGCTTTCTAACAGATTGTCTGCAAACTCCTTCAGCCCTATAGACTGCACCCAGCACATCACTCGCTCATTGGACCAAACCATGACATCTGAGGGGAAACGCAAAGACAGGCAGTTAAGTGTAGATCATCAAAGTGTGTGTTAAATGTTTTGCTCTGATATGATGTGTGAAAACGCCTCACCTTGGTTATGGTGCTGACTTTCATCCCTCCTCCTCTCCAGCTCCTTCCTGTCATAGTTCAAGCGCTTCAGGCACATGATGCCGTAGTGAAGACTCACCCTGTCAGTTACAGACGGAAAAATAGAAATTAATGCGACGGACATATTTGAAGACTTTTTTGCAGCCATAGGTTTGGATTTGGATGTCACCATCTTATTATTTTGGATGTACGGATGAATACACTGACTGAAAGGTTTCTAGGGTAGGGACTTGTAGCAGGTAGCTCTAAAGGACAGGTAGCTCTAAAGGACACTGAGGTTTATTGTTGAATTTTCTGTAAACGGGGACAACATTCAAAGAACTTGCATCACGCTACATTCAAGAATACTTGAAACTAATAATTGATACATTTAAGAAATGAGGAAAATGTGTAGAGAAGTTGGGGCGGCTTTGGCTCAGTTGGTAGAGTCATTGTCTCTGAAACAGAAAGTCAAGGGTTCAATCCCCAGCTCCTGCATCAACATGTCCAATGTGTCCTTGGGCAAGACACTTAACCCTGAATTGCTTCGTCGGCGGCGTATGAATGTGTATGAAAAGGATTAGTTACTTCTAACGGTCTCTCTACATAACAACCTCTACCATCAGTGTGTGAATGGGTAATTGTGACATACAGTGTCAAAGTGCTTTCCGTAGTCAGAAGACCAGAAAAGCCCTATGCAAGCTCAAGTCCATTTACCATTTATTAATCTACTGGGAAGTAGGGTCATTTAATCAACTGGTTCAACAAAATAAGACTTTTTTTCGTAGCTAGTGCAGTGCCCTCTTAGAAAAATGCAGTTCTACGGCTCTTACACATCGGCTTTAGTTTTAAAAACAAAACAGTATGTCAACTTTTTTTTATACAGTCTATGTTGGAGGTCCAACAACATAAATCATTATCATGAGTGAGTGAGACCTGTGGAAACTGTCCACCATCTTCAGCTGGCCCCTCAGTTCTTTCTTGGTGAGGTGATCGAGCATTCGGGCATCCACCAGGGACTCCATGAAGTAGGAACGGTACTGTGGCAGACCCAGGCTGGGCAACCACTCGTTTCCCACCCACTCGTGGTTCATGTCTCCATAGGCCAGGATCTAGAGGATGGTGTATGATGGAGTGAAATAGTTTTAAAGGTATTATAAGAGGTGCTTTATAAGTCAATAGCAAAGTGTTTGGTTGGCTTGCGGCTTTTAGGGATGCCTTGCAAAAAAACTAGAATGAATAGATTCAAATGATCCTGAAGTTTATTTCCCATACAATACTACTATAATACTCAGACAGTGCACAATAATGTTGTTATTATCTCTCCGATGGTCTCTGTAAATGTACCAAGGCCCCTCTGATTGAAATGTTGTTAACAAGAGATTTACCACAGTTTAACCTCTTTATGACAGAAAAAGCTCAAAGACTGCATCCCCTGGCTCATCATAAATTAAAGTATTAATTTCCACATGGATAAGGCCATCCAAGATTATGGAATATGCTAGCTAGCATGTAATATTTGGAATCTGAACAGAATTCAAATGTAATAAGTTGTTTTTGTAATCAAAAGTGTACCACTAAGTGTTTTCCTGAGTGATGAGTCAGTTTTCTTTTTAGAACAATGAAGGTCATGTTATACTGCACGATGTAAAGATGGTCTATATTTGCGACAAGTATTTTTCTTATTAACTTTTTTTTTTTTTAAATCTTTATTCTTTTGTGAAATTAATCATTTTTATATGCATCACTTTCTTGCTTTAACTGCCTTTCAAGATCTGCCTGTTTTATCGTGTTTCTTCCATTCAATTTTCTTTTAATATTATTGTTGACCATTTGCTTTATTTGAATTTAATAGACACCCTCCCCCCCCCCCCCACCTCTCTTTGGCATGATGGTTAAATGTTTATTTTATCCTCCTATGTTCCTGCCTCTACTTTGTCAGTCAAAGAACTTGGTAAACTTGCTTTTTAAAGGTGCTTTGCTGTAAACAATAATGAATTACTATTATTATTATTATAAAAACTCACCTGGTCCCAGCTGAACTCTTTCTGCTCCTTTTGGGTCAGGCAGAAAAGGAATCAAAGAGAAAAAGGAAGAGACAGTTGCAAGGAGAGGGACAGATCACCAGAGGGAGAGTGTGTTTGTGTGTGTTACAGAGAATCGGGACAAAAATGAGAAGAAGAGAGGGAGGCAGAAGAAGGAAAAGTGTTGTTAGTGAGTGAGAATTAGTTGGAAAAAGCACCACATCGAAACAGATTCTAAGGGGATAGTAAGGGACAGGGATAGCCAAACACGCCTAATCAGAGACAAAGAAGAAGAAAAGAGCTGATCAATGTGAGACCTTTGCTCAGTTATAAGAGGCCAAAAATTATACAATTCATTAAACAGCTACAAATATAAAAGTAAATCAATGTCTTACAAATTTAATTCTGTTACCATTCATTGTAAAAAATGACATTCTTACTGGTTTGGTGGCAGCAGTTAGAGACTCCATCTCAGCATGTGTCATCCAAATATTACTGGTCGACTGTAAACAGTAAACACATTATTGCCATGTAATACTTTAATGATTTCCGAGCTGTGTTTATTTTCTCATCTTAAAGCTGCATCATGATTTTTTTTAACGGAGCCTTACAGAGCGAGTGCTTGCAGGTGCAGACGGACTAGTGAGGGAGACCATTTCCTGGATGGCCAGGCGCAGTTTGAGCCTGTGCAGAGGGTTGCTGATGCCAATCTCCCTCTGGATCTCTGTGTCCGACAGGTTAGCCATAATGGCACCGCTCTTGACGTTGGCACGACAGGCTGCGACGTACCAAGCCGGCATCCCGACCCACAGCTGGATAAACAGAACGAAGATGTTAGGTGTCATGATGATACTTCACAAATTATCAGGTGAGAGTCACTCTGCCCTAACCTGACCCTATTACTAAAATGAACCCCAGCTGTCTAGATTCCTAGTGAGGATGTGATATGAACACATTAGTCACACAGTGTATGCATACACTTAAATGAACTGAGCCTCCAATTCAACAGGGCTGCTTCATGTCTTACCTCCAGCCATGTGACAACAGTCGGGCCATCCCATGAGGCGAAAGGCAGACCTTGACGACAGGCTTCCTCCAATAGGTCGTGCCTGGCAGGGAGAGTGGAAAACACATGTTTGACAGATTCCCATTTTCATATCTCACTTTACCACTTTATAAATAGAAAGCTTTGATACCAAGACATCTTCTGCCTCGCTGCGTCTTTTATAGAACCTTTCTTACAACAAACATAACATTTCACTGACAGATAAATGATTTTTCAAAGACTTTTGCATGACCCACATGCATCTTAAAGTTTTGCATGTGGGTCATTCCAGAGTAAGGGGACCAGGACTTCAAAAGTCCCATAGCTACTACAGTGGTCACCAGCTGGGCTCTGGGAACAACTAGAAAACCATCAACTGATCTAAGGTGCCACCCGTGTTGAGAGGGCTTTGGTACATTGTTGATATAACGAGGGCCTTCTTCATTAAAAGCTTTGAGGGAAAGCAACACAAAGTCATCATTCAAAATGAATGATGAATCAGAATTATATGATCTAAAATTCTTGAATAGATATTAGTCCTAGCAGCAACACTGTGGACCGGTTGAAAATGATTTAGGGAAGACAGAGTACTTCTCTTGGAGAATGCATTTCAAAAATCTAGACCAGACAAAATAAAAACAAAGCATGGGCAACTCTTTGGGAATCCTTAAAGGATTCATTTTTGAGGAACTTTTGAGTTGTCCAGTGACTTTGATAAAAAAGCAGGTAACATAAAAAAACAGTATTAGTGGATTATCAGGGGATAAATAATGTGGTTTCATCAGCTAGCATTGCACTTTAGCTTTCTGAATAACACTAGAGACATGTACAAAAGGTGACTGATCTCACTTCTTTTTGCTGCGGCGATCTTTTTCCACTGTTCCAGTCCCAAGTTTGGTCAGGCCTAAGGGGTCAGCTGAACCCAGGTCATCAGAGGGGGTTGAGGCTGGAGAGGGCAACGGTTACAAACTATTGTTATCATATAAATATCAGCCTTTCTGTTAACAACTCTCTGACTTTAAAGAACATACAGCTGGATCACAAACACTGCTTACTGAACAAGTACTTTTCACTGTTTACTGACCCAGAGAGGATGATTCGCGACCAGGTGCACCGATCCGCCCCTTTTCCTTTTTGCCAAAGAGACGACCAATGGACGACTTAATGCTTTTCTTTTTGCTGGCTTTGTGGAGGGAATCCTGGCTAGCAGTGATGGCACCATCAGCAGAGAGGCTACAAGGACAGAACAGTGAAATCGAAGCAAACTCAAAGCACAGCTAAAGGCTAGTTTGGTAGCCAAATAATCCATTTATGATATAAACTTTCTTGAGAGTACCTGCGAAATTCACGGTGGTCGTCTAGTCCTGCCCCTGGGTGAGTATGTGTCATCCTGTCCAAGCGTAGGGCTCGAGGAATAGAAGGGTTGGAGTCGATCAGGGCAAGAGCTCTGCACTCTTCACCCTCTTTGCTGTTCTGCCGGGTGGAAAGAATTGGGTCAGTTTCCCTTATTTAGCCTTTTTTTTCCAAATTCATTTCGGAGTTGACTCAGTACCTGTCTGTCAGATTCCCTGGCAGGGGAATGTGGCAGGCGAGGCGTGGAATGTCCCGAACTGGGTGGTGAAGGAGACGCCAACGTGGAGGAGGTGATGGAGGGAGTCATGTAGCCCCTCCCAACACTGTCCCGACCTCCCAGCGAGGAAGGTGGAAGAGGAGAGGCATCCAGGGCCACGCTGCTGACCCGGCTCTCTATCTCTTCTGCCCTCAGCTCTGTGCTCTCCTTCTCTTCCTGAATGAGCCTAAGAGAAGAGAGGGAAGAGAAAATTGTACTTTCTTTATCATAACACAAATCCACTTCCTTCCTTCCTTTCTTCCTATTAAAGGAAGGTTAAAATCTTGGGTTTCCCAAAAAGTCTAAGGCTCTGGATAAGAAACACAAAGACATTATCAACATGAATCTCACTTAATCTCCTTGTTGATTGCCTCCAGCTGCTCCTGTAGCATGATGGCCAAAGTCTGTACATCTGTCTGTCCGCTGGGGGAGAGCAGGTCTAATCCAACCTGAGTCTCCCTGTCGTCCTCATCATCAGAGCAGACTCCGTCCACTCCCCCATCATACCCAAGACCCATCATAGAGCCGTTATCCCAATCGCCACCCCCCCACCGGCCACGGTGTGTCCTCCTGACCACCACCCCACTAGAGGAGCTGCTGTAGCCAGCTGGGAGGGAGCCTCCACCCTGAGGGTAACGCAGCTCTGAGGCACTCCCTGGAAGAGATCTCCGAAAAAGGGTGGAGGGAAGTGAGCTCACACTGCCCGCCCTAAGGTGAGATACAGAAGTCAGTTATTATGCCACAACACTTGAAACCGCAACATCCCCATTTTCTGAGAGTATAGTGCCATCACTCCTATACAAATGAAATGCATTCGTAAATATCATTTGCATATTTTTCAGGCAAAGCAAAACATTCTTTGTACAGAATGAATAATTTATTGTGAGACAAAAAAAAGTACAATGCAACTTAACAGTGTAGTAAACAAATATTTGTACTCAAAAGAGACATTATTCATAAATGATCCCCCCCTGGGAGACTTTGTGTTTTATTGCGACATATGGCAAAAAGAATGTCCTGTAAAGGTTCACTGTATCTAACCTTGAGTAAGAAGAGCCAGGTCTGCCTCTCAGCTGATCCAGCTCCAGTTGGATTCGCTCCAGCTCAGCAAGGAGCTGTTCCTGAAATACAGAGAAAAACAAATACACAAGGTTTTTCGTTCGTCTTTTTTTAACATGGGACATCTTGTTTGTGATGAAAAGTGGGATTCTTGAGAACTGGGAGAAGATTTATAGTAAATAATTGAAGGTCAGCTACTTCACAGTGTAGACAAAAATGTAAATTTTCTTCCGAAGAATTGAAGTTCTTGCTTTTAGCGGTTTGTTGATACACACGCTTTAAGAATCTCTCAGACAAGAACATGAAAATACAAATAATACAGCTGGAAAGGGGAATACCTTATTAGCCAGAAGATCATCTTGGATTTTCTTCATATTGGAAAGTTCCTCTGAGAGAGCATTCTAACAGAGCAGACGCAGAAGAGTCAGAACTTTTCATTTTATCACAAAATATGCATGGCCACTAATAAGTGTGCTCTGTACCTTCTCCTCCAGTGCTGCCATCCTCTCTTTGAGGTGAAGCTGCAGCCTCTCATTGGACTCAGACAGAAGCTTGTCCACTGTATCTGAGAGGCGTTTGTTGTGTTCGTCATTCATCTTCTCCCTTTGCCTCGCCTGGAATCAAGCAAAGCAACAAGAGAGGTGCTCGCCATATAGAAGGAAAACTTTGATTTTGCCTTAAAATGAGAACTGCATCAAAGATGAGAAGAACAAATGACGCTACCCTCTGAAGCTCTTGGTTCTTCTCCTCGAGTTGAGCTTCCATTTGTCGTAGTCGCTCCTCAAAGTTCCCATGGCGTTCCTCTGCCTGTTACGGAGCATAAACATGTTTCTAACGCATGAACAGACTGAAACTCTTAAGGATATTTTTTTTAATGGAGAAGCATGGCTCAATGATTAGTTGTTCAAGATGAGGAGACGTTGTGACAGCGTAGTCAGTCAGGTGCAGCGTGGGAAAGCACTCGACACAAAGTACCTTGTTGAGAGCAGCAACTCTTTGTGCCAGCTGGGCCTCGATCTCAGGCAGCGTCTCTGCCCTCTGTAGAGTCTGCTGGAGCTTCTGCTTGGCCTCATCCAGACGTTCCTGTAGCTGTCTGTTCTTCTCTTCACTCTGGAAACAGCAATAACACAAATGTACACTATCAGGACCAAGATCAAAAATCATTTTAAAAAAAACATACCAAACCAATTTTTTTGATTTTTAAATGTTGCAGCCTCTCACTGGACATATAGCCCTAATTTCATTATAACTGTAGTTCGATTATTTGAGATACTCCTTACCTGTCTGTGCAGGGATTCCTTGCTGGCCAGCTCATTTTCCAGCTTGTCTTTGATATCATGGAGAGAAGTCGCCTCCCTCTGGGCGCTGAGGTACCTGCAATCGTCACCAAGCCACCACAGAATTATTTGGGCTGCAATTTTCAGCTGACATATGGGTTTATTGTGACTATGTGAAAGGTTCATTGGTACAGCGGCAGTTTGATTTTTCACTATAATATTAGGTCATCACGGCCTATTACTGCACATGGTGGGGGGGGCCCTTTGAGTGTTCATCCGATTACACTTCAGTCATTACTCTGCATTCACAGCATGTAGGCTAAACAAGCAATAAGAAGTTTCCCCCGTGCAGCTTGTAACGACGCCTACACTACTCGGGCTGAAAAACTCCTTCGCATTGTTTGGCTGATTTTGTTTTGCAATTTTTATTAAAAGATCGTCCTCCTGAGAGACGGTACAAAGAGTTGACAATGACTGATCATTCATTTTTGCTATTGGACTTTTTTTAGCAGGACAACTTTCATTGGGCCATTATTATTATTCAGGAGGCCTGCACACTTGCTCAAATGCCACACAAAAAAAAAGTTGTGATGCATAAAAACCCTTTTTTTGTGGCATTTGAGCAAGTGTGCAGGCCTATCTTCTTCCTCAGTTTGCTGTTTATGCACTGCCCTGCACCTACATGATGTGGGTATAACTACCTCCTTTTCCCATTATTATTATAATAAGCAAAAAAAAAGCAAAAAAAAAAAAAAAGACAATCTAATACTTAAAATATATGATTTCAACTCAATTCTTAAAGGATACTGAACATGGCACTATAAAGAAGTCTGCCTATGCTGTAAATTGGATTTGAGGAGGCAGTCCTCAAGAGACATTCAAAGTTTCCAACAAACTGAGCCAAAAACACAGCTATGTACTTTCACACACCACTGCAACCTTAATGACAATGATGTACAATAAAACAACTTTAAACTGTATAAAGCCAACAGGTGAGACATATGGTCCTTCTCCTGGGATCATTAAAGCTGATAATTCTGGTTTTAAAAGAATGTGTCTGAGGACCTCACTAAAACTCAGAAAAGATCTCTCAATCACAGCAAACGTTACCTGCGTTCTAGTGTTGTTATCCTTTCCTCCATGTCCTCCCTTTGGCAAAGGGCCTGGAAGAAGCAAAATGTATCATGAAACACAATAATATGAATGAATAAATGTCATGATATACACACAGTTGTTTTCACATACTTATTTTAAAAGGAATGGCCAGGAAACAAACTGTGTGGACGCCCTACTTCAATAATACATTTAAATACTGTGGGTGTCAACTTACAATCAACTTTTCTTTTTGTGTGTGTGTGTGTGGGGGGGGGGGATTATTTAGTCCTACAATTTTTCTAAATATACATTGCATACTTGTTTAATAATTCTCTTAATCCCCCCTCTTATTTCAAGGATTAATAATGTGTTTTAGCACTCCTCCAACATATGCCCATTGAGGTCAAATATACACTTGCATCCCTGGGACTCGAGGGAGCTCAGGGTCTTAGCCAGGAACAGACATATTGACCCTACAGACCTCTTTCACTTCCCGTTGGAGCTTCTGATTGGCCTCCTCCGACTTCGTCACCTCCCTCCTGGCTGCCGCAAGCTGTTCCTCTATTTCCCCAACCTGACGTGACACAACGAAGGGACACAAGATGACACTGATTGAACCCACATGCGTCAGTGTGAACTACAAAAGCACCAAATGTAAATAGACATGACAGTGATTCATTACAAATGTTGGCCTCCAAAATGTAAGATTCTTAAAAAGCATCCCTGACATAAGTGTAACACACTGAGAGTCTGATGCTCCAAAGTGAACCAGATGGAATAAACCTTTTTGTGCTTTGACCAGATAGTCACGGTTAAGTATTTGGTCTGTTAGTTATCTTTACCTAAATAGTGTTGAACCATTACACAATAATTAATTTGACAGTGCTTTATGCAGTTCTTTATGATTAGATTGAAAATCTGTCTTCAGATGTACTCTGCAGTAACATTTCGACTTTTTAAAGAAGCTGTAGTTCTGTTACTGGCCATGAGAGGGAGGAAGGAGACCTGTGAATGCACTGGGTGGAGAGAGACCCTCCTTTTTGGGACATACTGTCAGAAAAGCCTGAGGAAAATCTCTATTTAATAGGTGCACTATTGCTTTTTATTATTAAACTCAGTATTCATTATATAAACTTAAATAGAACATAGAAACATAACTTCAGTCATATTGTAGGAATACATCCAAATGCTTGTTTTTTTACATTTTTTGTAGGACTTTCAATCACCACAACTATTTTACAGTGCTAAAAAAACACAACCTTAAACCAATGGTTTGATTTTGTGGTAAATGCACTCGTTTTCTTACTTGCCAACACTTACAAAAGAGAAATACCTCTCTCATGAAGTAAATGATAAGACCGTTTTCTCAACTTATCTACACATGTAGTGGGAAATTATGTAAAACAGTTATTAAATCTGAGTCTGTAATAAACTAATTTGACATGTAAAAACTATAAATCAATTTTTTATGGAATTATTTTCAAGAAAATTTGAAAATATTCCTTCAACATTTAGCAAATACCCCTTCTCTAACTTTACATCAAATTTTCACTGAAAGACATATTTATTCCAACTGTGAAACATCAATTTGTTTCTTTACTAATTTCTGATTACAGTTCAGTAAATTATTTAAGTTAGTGATATAATTAGCATAATTTTAAAATAAAGATGGAAAATCTAAATAAGTGCAAACACTGCATAACGAAACCAATCAGTAAAATGACATGACATGTAAGCAACAGCAAAAAGCAAAAATAATATGCTTAGTAGAATTAAACATGGTAGAGTTATGAGAACACCCTTATTTTGTACGGAAGTGTTGTTTGTGTGAAGTGGAATGGTCATCAGCATTTTGACTAATCAGATTTATTTCCTGTGCAGGTGTGACCAAGTAAAAAATGTCCTCAGTGTCAGTGTATGAGAAATTTCCTTCCATAGAAAATCAATGTTTTTAGGGTCTCATACCATAACATAGGTAGATATAGTGACTATACATGTACCGTATTTTCCGCACTATAAGGCGCACCTTCAATGAATGGCCTATTTTAGAACTGTTTTCATATATAGGGCGCACCGGATTATAAGGCGCATAGAATAGAACGTGTTTACAACTGAACAAGGCTGGGAGATATTGTGAATATATAAATATAAATACGTATAAAACGTAACGTATAAAACTACAAAAACAAAAGTACATAAGACGATTTCCCCAAATAATAAATTATTTCTTTGACGTTTCTCTTAACTCTCAAAACGTAGTTTTATACGTAGTGCATTCACAATAACTCAACGTTGTTCAAACGTTAATGTGCATATTCACAATATCTCCCAGCCTTGTTCAGTTGTAAACACGTAAAAGAAACACAGTCTGATACCGCTAATTCAAACGTTAGTGCAGGGGTGCCCAAACAGTTGATCGTGATCGACAGGTAGATCGCTGACTGATTCTCAGTCAATCGCGAGATGTTTTGTCAATATAAAATACAATTGTAAAATAGAAAAGTGATTTCAATTTCATCTCATTGCACTGTTTCCCACACACGATACCTGTGTTGGGAGCCCAAGTATACTTCCGACCTGTGTGTATTTAATTTTTCATTTATTCATGAAATTGCTGCGTGCATGAGAGAGCGAGCGAGAGAGCGCGAGAGAGAGAGAGCGCGCGCAAGAGAGAGTGCAGGCATGCGCAATGAAGTGCAGGTAAAACCGGGGGGGGTAAATGTTTTACAAAAAAGTCATATATAGAAACTATGCTACGAGTATGAAGCGCATTTGATGAAGCTGCAGCTACTTTTCTCTGCTCCTCTCTGCTGTCATGACTGTGAGCATCGCGGGGGACGAGACACACCAACAAACAGCGCAAACGCACACGCACGCACACACGCACACACACACACACACACACACACACTTGCACTGGAGCGCCAGCCACCACGCGAACCTTTTTACTTTTTACTTTTAGTGCTACAGCACACAGTTGATCCGTGATCCGTACGGACCAAGGTGGGAACACACGTGACCCGGTCAAACAGTCGGTTGGACTTCACTCCGTTCACTCTCACCGTGTCTGCAGCTAATTTAACAAAAGCAAAATCATCTCACAGCAGCCTGCTGTAGTCTGTAGTCTGCATTATTTTTTACAGAACTCTCATTCATTATTTTCTGTTTGTTGTGTGAGTATTAAATGCGTTTGTAGGCTGTTGGTAAAGGCTATGGCTCACTATGTGGACTGGTAGATCTCAGCAGACTGGTAACTTTAAAAGTAGATCTTGGTTCAAAAAAGGTTGGGCACCCCTGCGTTAGTGCATAACTCAACATTGTTCAGTTACGTATAACACGTAAAGCTCACTTTTTCAGTTCATTCCCCGTCCACGAATCCCTCGAATTCTTCTTCTTCAGTGTCCGAATTGAACAGTTGGGCAAGTACGGCATCCAACATGCCCGGCTCCCTCTCGTCATTATCCGAGTCAGTGTCGCTGAGCGCCGTGTACAACCAGTATGGATCAACCAATTAACCAATTGATCCATATATAAGGCCCTCCGGATTATAAGGCGCACTGTCGTTTTTTGAGAAAATTAAAGGCTTTTAAGTGCGCCTTATAGTGCGGAAAATACGGTATATTGAGACAGCGTATGTTTAACATTAAACCATGTTTCCACATGAAAACTCAAATGTCTCCTTGTAAGAGAAATATCCTCACTTGGCAAAAAGGTCCTCACACTGAAGTACCAAACTTTGTATGGTCCCCACAATGACAGATACACAGAAACACACACTCACCTGCCGGCACATGAGGGCCAGCCTCTCTCTGAGCTGGGACAGTTCAGCTCTCTGCCGCTCTATCTCTCCTTCTCGCTGTCTTTCCAGCTCGCTATCCTCCAGGCCAGTGGAGGGACCATTTGGTAGTCGCTATAATGATCACAAAATAAAAAATTATAGTGATGAAGAAATATGAGAATCAGCTGAATATGAAAATTGAATATATGTTGCATATGGGTTATGTAAGACATAGAACTAAAATCACAAAGACACATCATGATACCCATACATCTACTATTCTACTGTTGATCTTGTCGCTATCACAAACACAAAAACTACTGGAACCAACATGCATAAAACCCTCCCTTACATCTTTCCCGCCGTCCACCCCTTGTTGACGTCTTTTAATTTGGTCTCTTAAAGAGATTACCTGGGAAGGGGGGAGACACAATGGGTAAAAAGATAAGACAAATGAATGTAGTTTCTCCACACCAGGCTAAACCATACTTGAGAGATGGACTTCATATTGGACTTTACCTCTTGAGAAGACGCTGCGAGTTGATCCTCTAACATGGACACCCTCTCGAGGGCCACACGGAGCCTCTCTCGAACCTGTGAGGTAGAAGTTATATTTGACTGCTTAAAGACATAAGATAAGAGATACTAAAAGAATGCATTGAACAGTCAATAGAGTCATATGGTATTTCCTTTCACTACATTGCTGTTTATTTGTTCCTACACCAGGTTAGAGGCTTAACACTCTTCAGTATGACTTCATGAAAGAGCCGTTAAGGGGCTATTTCATTCTGTGTCGGTTACCTTTGAAAGACGCGAAAGACGAAGGGATTTGTAGGGCCTTGATATTGGTGTAATCGCCAATTGTTCAGAACATGAACACAAATACAGTAAACAACCCATAAATGATAGCTAGCGTGTAAGTCCAGTGTGTCAAGAGGAAGGGCAATAAAAATTGTATACGGTTTCATAACACAAACAATTAAAATTCATCCTCTGAGCAAGTCGAGTTTTCAGTGATATTTATAGCTGCCAAGAAACGACAAACTCTCAGTCTTCATTGGGCTACATACTGCCATATAGTTGAAAATCGGCCCAAGCTACAAGTGATTAAGAACAATCTTCTTGATTTCATATGAACTTTAATACTGGTAAGCTACTTAGTCAAGATACATTAAGAGTGTATCTAAATTCTTGTTAAAGAAAATCCGATTTTTTTTTTGTCACTTGTTTGCTGCAGGAACTAGCCGCATGTTGCTGATATTCTGTAGGTTAAGCTAACATGGCTAACTTGTCAGCAGACTGTATTGACAGATGTAACAGGTACAGGGATACATTAGCATTAATTAGAGATATTAAAATACATTGTCTCTGGTCATTGGGTAAATTAGGGTAATTGTTCAGTTTGTTAGCTCTGTTTCACTTTTTGACATATCCTGGGGAGGATAGCTGGGTTTTTTGTTGCCATTGCTTTACTATGTTCATAAGCTAGCTGCTAACCATGTAAGTTGTAAGTCAGTTGAGTATATTTGCCTGAAACAATTGGTAATTTTTTGGGTTAATTGTGTCTTAGCACAAGACTAGCACATACAAAACATTGTAAAAATCATTACAAATATTGGTTATACCAACTTGAGCAGGAAGTTAGTGAAGGATTCCTGTTTGTACCAGTTTGATACATACAGTCCATGATCGACTTTGCACGAGATAGCAGTCTGACTCACCTTCTCATCTAGGGCCTTGTGGTGCTCAAACAGAGACTTGAGGGCCTTGAGGACTTCCACCTCACTTGAGACCCCCGCTGGGGACTGGGCTTGTCTTTTCACCACCGTCATCCTCAGACTACGCTCATGGCGAGACACCAGACACTCGAGGTGTTCCAGCAACAACTACAGAAGAGAGTGGTTTGAATGGGAAAGAGATCGGGATGTGACAGGAGGATGCAAAGATGTGAGAGGTAGAAAAGGGGGTTTGAAGGACGGGGAAACAACAGATGTGATGGAGGGTAAGTAAAGGTAAAACATAGAAGAAGAAGGCTCAGAGAAGATGCAGTGGAGTGAAGGGTTATAAGAGATCAAATTGGATGGTGAAGAAAGGGACAAGGAGTGAGAGGACGAGATAAGGAAAGGAGATAGGGGCGAAAAGAGTCACGAAGAGGAAACATAAAAACAAATGGAACAGTGTCACACCCACACAAGCACAATGGGTGAGGAAGATAACACTGAGGCTGTTACAGTGCTAATAGGCAAAATGGCCGCTAAACATCTTACACGTGTGTTGTTTCTCTCCGCCTTGAGCTCAGCAATCTCCTCCTCCCTCTCCAGAAGCTGCTCCCGGCAAACGTTCAGCTCTTTAGTCAACACAGCAAACTCCTGTGGAACACACAAGCTGCATTCAGGGGCAAAGAAAACAAACTGTTTAAATGTGCCGTTTTAATAGTTTAAGTGGTGTCTGTTCAGCTGCTTCAGCTGCAATGAGAGTTTCAAGGAATAAATAATCATTAAGGCCAGAACATTGTCCAAATCTAATGATGCTGAAAATTAATAGAATTAGCTGCTCTCTTCAAACACACACATATATATATCACTTTAAACATACGTAACTAAAGCCCTCCAGAAGCACACAGCTCTGTAAAACACCTGAGACTTTGCATGTATGAAGGCGTACGTGATGTAAACCTACATAATAATCATGTAAATCACTGACACAGTTTTCAACACCATCTCTCTCTTGCTCATCCTCCTCTGTGAACTCGCATTCACGGATGGATTACATCATACAGTGTTACACAATGGCTCTGCACTGGAATGCACAAGAGAGACCCCCAAAAACACGGCATCAATATGTCATTTACAACACCACTGGGAATACATTTTCAAACTCCTGCATAACGCAGAAACAGAGTGCAAACCGAAGAGCGTGTCTTACATTTTTTCTTTAAAAAAAAGGATCTATTGTCACTGATTTCTTTATGTCTCCATAAAACAGCATCAAAGCCTGCAGCTCAGAGGCAGTTGCAGGTTAGGAGAATGAGGATGAAGATGTTTACAGTCAGGATTGCCTGCTTTATGATTCAGAAACAGTTGAAAGTAGACACATTAAATTGGTCTGTGTTTGCACAGAAAAGGGAAGAGAGAAAGAGCCAGAGAGGCATCTATACAGATGGTGACACAGTGGGTCCATTGGCTCTTGGCCTTATGGGATTCTTTTAGTTTGGATAGGGGTCAGCTTCTCAGCTGGCTACTCTTGTCCCTTTTTAGTTTCTTTTCTGTTTCATCTCAATCTAATTCTATTGACTCTGCCCTGCATTCATTTAAATTATGACAGTTGCAGTCCCTTTCTACGAAGGATAAACAAACCGCTTTATACAGGCGGGAAATTGAAATTGGAAAATGCCTTCTCCTGTTGTAAAAGCTTTAGAATGGGGATAATTCACAGTTTTTTGTTTTAAGTATTAACACGCCTACATCTAGTTTAGCATAAAGTAAGACAAAGACATGCAGCACAGCCTCACAATTCAGTTGGTAGACAAGGGGAACGTATGACAAAAACTGAATCACGTGTCAAGTCACTGAAAAATCTTCTGTACGTCATTACATTGGTCAGTTCTATAGTTGATGATTACATGTAAGCTTGTCTTTGCATTATTTTGTCATGTGTGTCAATGTTATGTGATTTCTGGATAATAATGAGTGTCCCTTTAGTGAAGTAAATAATCCTTTCAGACTCTCTTTCTCTTTTTGACTTTAACTTTATCTCTGAGTACAAGCATTTTATAAGGGGTCAGTTCAGTCATAGCCCTTAGTGTCACATATCACAAGTTCACTAGACATTTGATTTAGACGTTTGTGCTGCTGAACCATTCTGCAAAAAGCTAGTGAAAAAATAAAGTGTTAAAAATACAATATACTGGTAAAGTATGCATACTGCAAAACAAAATAAACGAAAAGCTGTTGTTATTGATACAGGATACAATCTTTAAATTCCATTTATAATTAATGAGCAAGTTCACCCAGTAAACAAAAGAGAATTCCTAGAAAATCTCATATTCAAAGCCATAAACAAATATTAGCTCCCGGCATCATTAATCATCCAGTAACCGCACGGTCAAAAAACATAATAAAACCTGATTACACAATAAGAGGAAAAATGGGGACGCAACTTAGACTAAACAGCCAGTATAGCTGATAGGAACACAAACCCTCTGCATTAGTTAGAACAACATTAGTGCGAAAAACTCTGAAGATGCAGACAGGGAAGTATTTAACTTCCACTGTAGCTGCGTCTCTCTGCACAAACTGTCACCGCAAAGGCTTACTGTCTCAAAAGCATGCTTCAAATCAACACACACTCAGAGGAACACACTCGTACATACAGTAACTAGACACTGATAGCACAGAGGATAAACAATGTTACCGCACAAGGAGGAGGGTTCAACTTCAGTGAATTTCATTATACCTTGACTTACAATCTAAACTCGGTATATGTATGTATGGATTGTATACGCACACTCAAAGACAAACTCAGCTGTACCTGTGGCAGAGCGATAGATAGCTGTCGTTGAAGTGACTCCTTCTCGTGTCCGAGCTCCCGGAGGCGTAGCTGAGCTGTCCCCAGGCAATCCTGTGTCTCCCTCAGGTTCTCCAGCAGCCTCTCCCTCTCTGTTAGCATGTTGACCATTAAGGACTCCAGGTTCCCCGTGCTGCCTCCTTCATCCCCTCCACTTCTGGGCTCCCCACCTCTGAAGCCCCCTCCTCCCACCGCACTTCCAGGGCCACCGACCCCTGCCCCGGCAGGTGAGGAGGGTCCCCCACCAGTCCCACTTCGCCCATCCTCAGAAATGGTGGGCATCACCTCGCACATCATCATGAGACCGTGGCGTGTATGAGTGTCGAATTAATAAAGAAAACTAAACAGCGGATTGTGCGTGCAGAATGTCTGTTTTTCGTGCCTTGGGTTGTTTATGAGCTTCTACTAAAAGTTTAATGTACAAAATATAAATCTTTACATCTTCAGTTTTTCCAAAAATATCATTCCATTGATCCCTCTGTTTATTGCCTCTTTTTTTATCTCCCTCTTTGTATGTCTTTGCTCTCTTCTCTCACTAATTCCCAATCCGCATGGTCAGTGATCAGAATGCTAACGTTCCCGTGTTATGCAAGAGGAAGAAGTATCTACAGGAAAGCCGTTGCGTGGGTGGCGAGGACTGGCGGAGGGTGTGGAAGGGAAGGGGTTAAGGGGAAGGAAAGGATAAAGAAGGGCCAATGCTTCTAAATTGTGTCCACGAGGCAGATCTCCTCACAGCGCCGGGGTTAAGAGCTGAAAAAGAAAACAGGGCAAGCATTAGATCCCCCTCAATAAACTTCACTGTGCATTAAGCAAATTAGAAAGACACAGCAAGAGTGGACTTGTTTGAGAAAACAAAATGAACTAATGTAAGTTCATGAAAATGTCACAGATGAAAGAGAACAGAGTATGTTAAAAATAATAACTCCAAAAATGTATAAATTCTGCATCACTGCTTCACCAGTTACTCTGAATGAAATTATGTATTTGAGTAGTCTATGCACTGGATCATGCAACTTTTTGTTAGCTTAGGTTAGCTTAGTACAAACAATGGAAACAGAAAAAAAGAGTAGCCTTGCTCTGTCCAAAGTAGACTCACAACTATTGTCATTACTGATGTTACATTGTTACATGGCTGATGCTCTTGCCGTAATTATTATACCTGGAAACTAGATATAAGACAACAGCCAGCTTAGGGTAGCTTAGCACTAAGACAAAAACCAAGGGAAAACAGAAGCCTTGCTCTGTCAAAAGGATTGCCACTGTAATCTACAGTATGTCACTGGTGTTACAAGGTGTTCAGGTTACTCACTAACGATGAAAAACAAATGCTACAATTATAAACTGAAAGTGTATCCTCCATACAGCAGCATTAGCATGGTCTTAGCACTGAGTCGCTAAAGTCAGATTACAATAATCACGTGAAGAGAGCAGGCAGGGTTTACAGCGAAGACCATGGCTAAGGATACGGTGTCAAAGCAAATCTTTAAGCAAATATTTCAGATTTAGATATCATCATAGACAGATCATCATCGATATGTTTTCATGCAACATTTCCAGTCTAACTATTGAAATCTGTGCTACCTTAAAACCACCAGCAAATCGATATATGAGATTTGAGATTTTCATTTTCTGTGATTTTACTTTCTGTTTACAGTCTGACTAGCAAGTTGAGAAGCAAGAATGAAGTGAGTGTTGAGAAACAACGTTTCAGATAGTATTCTTAGCAGGACGTGCATACAGATTGCTGTTAATTACTTGTTTGTTAGAATGTGGCCCGAGATTGAATAACGACGGATTGTGTTCTGCCACGATCGCTATCCACATGGACTGTTTTCATGAATACAGCCAGAGCCTGCTAAAACTTAAGAGGAAGATACTAATCAAACAACTAAAAAAAAACAGAAGACATCAGATACCAAAATCCAATTCAGTAAATTAAAAAGCAGAATCTGTAAAATACAGATAAACACCTGTGTCTTCATGAGTCCAGCAACTCTAACCCTAACCTGGTCTGAAGTTGACTTTATTTTTCTACGATTTAAAGCTCAGCAACATTTTGTTACTTTTGGACAGCTAGGATGATTAGCTGTTTCTAGTTTTCATTCTTAGATGCTTATCAACTGCTGGCTATAGCCTTACAATAAACAGTGTACAAATGAATTTAATTGTGTTTCATTAAGGTCTCAGTCACTGAGATTAAGGTAACTCTTTAATGATTTAAGCAAAATTACAACAACCTTCATTTGTTCTCCTTTAAAAAAAATATTCAGCCTTTATTTGCCTTTATAAGTTAAGACAACGGAGAAGAGACTGGAAGTGTTGGGGGGATGCAGAAAAGGGCTAAAGTTGAATTTGAACCCAACACTGCTGCAATGAGGACTAAAACCTCCGTACATGGGACGTGTGACTTAACTATAGGCTATATGACGCACCAACTTTAATTTGTTCTTGACCTCAGTTTTTCTTTTTAACTATGTGATGGTGATTCTGATATGTAATCACACTGAGAACACTTCCTTTAATCAGTTTTGTTGTAAATTATCTGCATACCTTAAATTACTCTCTTGACTGCATAAAGCCTCTGGCCCACACTGCAAACTGTGGGCCAAAATGATATGGATTCAGGCAATCAGCATTATTATAGCGCCCTGTGTCGCTCTCCTCCTCTTTCCTCCCATATTCTTCACTGTCTAGTCTATAATACTCAGGGGCTTGCACTGGCCTTTATACTTTTAAGTGGTTTGGACTGATTTAGTGCCCCATGCAGGCTTCTTTACGTCAGTCGGTCTGGGCAGCACAATACAGACTGTCTTTGTCCGACTAAATTCATCCATTTTGTGAATCAAACCTATTTAGCACACAGGCCTCAGCACCAGTGAAAAAACAGGTCGTCTCATCATATGGTTGTCCAGTACCAAAGATGGGGACTGCTCGCTGGTAATTGGAGTCCTGATACAGACACTGAATTAGCTCCTCATGCTGGTGAGCTGGCTAGAGCACTTGGCAACGTCACTGTGTCCCACTAAAAAACAACTTACTTCCTTCCCGGGCTCCACTGATGGATTATCACTGATGCAAGACTGAACATTTACTGCATTTCCTTCAAATACAGTATCGGAAATAAAAGTCAGAGTAAATGTTTCAAACTTCTTTGTCACACTGGTGGTCAAATTTTTTCACCCTAATGCAACACTATGTTAGGGTTGCTTCCACAAAGCCAGTGAGTCAATCATAAGTTGAGAAGACCCCAAGTCCCTTGTCGTTTTCCTCAATAAAACTCTCTACATTAAGACTTGTTTTTTTTTCTCTTTTTTTTAGCATTATTGCATCATTGTACACAGAGCAATGCAGGAGACAGACAGAGAAAGCATAAAAGCTGTAAACTTTGCAAACTGAGTCTCAACATTAAATTTCAGTTCATAGTTCACAAAGTTTCCTTAAAAAATCTAATGTTTCACACATCAGGATGGTCTACACTAGCACTATAGTTTGATTCTAAGTGTTTAGCTTGTTTTGAGGTTTGTATTCCCTAAGTGTTCATAGTTATGCGTTTTGTAGATGGATAATCCTCAGAGGTCTCCTCTTCTCCAAAACAAACTGAACAGGTAATTAAACAGGTAACAGCACTCACCCATGTAGTTTCATGTTCAAAATATGTTTTGAAACTCTCTGGGGGGCTTGGGTGAAACAAGAAGCTGCAGCTAACTTCAGCTCATTTAGGCCATTTTCATACATGAGCTGTTTTCTAGATGATTTCAGGACATTTAAGTTCTAATATTTTCCTTTCACACATGTACTGAGATTGTAAGCTCTCAAAACTTGAACTAGCCCATTTAGTTAAGGTGAGGCGAGGAGCACCATGGGTAACGCAGGCAGGGAAAAGAAGAGTCCTCAGTAATTATGACTATTCCTGGGTGTATGTGTAAGGACGTTTCCATATTACAAACAGCAGTGGACAACAATGTACCAGCAACCGAGGCAAGCAGCAGAGAGTTTTAAGCAGCACAACTTCTGTCAACGTAAATGACATCATCACCCCGCCCATTTGTTTAAGTGTTCCAGACTATATCTGCTGTGTTCACATATTGGCTCATCCAAACTTCAAATAAACATTTTGGGGGTTGACAGGAAATATCTGCATGATGTTAAGTTAATGAGTTTCTGACATTTGTGTTAATTTGTGTTTTTATTCCATGTAATATTTTAGTTAAAATTATATATTTTTTTATGAAAAACATAGTCCATTTGAAAAGTTTACATATTTGTCTAACAGCCGGAGCTGTTTGTTTTGTTATTTCACGAATAAAAGGTAAATTAAAAAAAAACAAGAGCAATTTGATGGAGATTCAACACTACTTTGATAGCAATAAATAATTTGTTTTCAATTTAAATCTAAATTACATGAATTTATCTCTCTAAATGTGGAATCAGTGGAAGATTTTAGGTACATCTGGGACGCAATTAAAGGTTTCATAAAAAAAATAATAAATAACAGCCGGAGCTTATGTAAATCTCTGAAAACAGGGCAACTTCCAGATAAAATATAAGACTTCATAAAACATGGACGTAGTCTCAGTGATGTCACCCAATGGTTTCTGAAGCGGATTTTTGAAGGCCAATGATGGCAGTCGCCATAATGGAAATGCTGCCTCAAACTAACTTTTGGTCAACATAGTAACAGACAGAGAGCTGGAGCTGGGGTGGGCCTTAAGTCTCCTAAACTCAATATTAATATATACTTTGATACACACCTCATGTATATGCTAACCAATCAGTTAATCTTACAGTTGAGTAATTTGCAGCACCAAATGTCCAAGTTGTACTTTCATCTCTGATTTTAGCACAAACAAAACACCGTCAGATGTGAATAACTCACATTGATAACATCTGACTGATTCCTGCTGAAGCTTTACTTCCCTCAATGGTATTTTATTTATTGGTTATATGATTGAAGAGGTGAGCTATAGGCACTTGGTTTTTTAACAAAAACAGAGACTGCACAGTTGTACATGTTTAAAAAGCCAAAAAAAACATTAAACCATTCTCTCTTTGAGTTTTAGCTCATCCAAAATAGTAACAGTGATATTTATTGTTGTCTTGAAAGCATTATGCTAACTAAAACATTGTTTTAAACGCAAAAAAAAAAAATCTTCAGTGATACATTAGGCGATTACACCAATGTCCTGAATGGATGACTCAGGTCTCTATGCATTACTTATTTGCCTCTTTCTTAATCAAACTCTGGTGTTTGCTCTGTTTTCCAAGGGTTCATGGAGAGCAAAGACTACATCAGCCTCTGATGGCTTCTTTGTGATCCAAGCTACCAAAAAGATCCTTCTGGTATTCACTTGAGTTGGTACAGGACCTTAAAAAACACCTGAATTAGTCCTACTAAGTTGGCCCATAAGAAAACATTGAATCATTGGTCGTCATTTCCAGCTGCTCTTCCTTAGCTCAGCAGTAGAAAACAGAGTAATGTAATTACTGCAGATTATTTTATATATTGTAACAATCTCTGCAAATCTCAATCATAGGTCACTGCACTCGAGTCATGCGATGAGGCCATGCAGGGGAAAAACAAAGCATTCATCACTGGAGTCCTGATTCAGTACAGGCCAAACAGAACTGTGCAGCCTGCAGTTTTGACTGAAGCATCAGCTGTGAGGTCACTGAGCTTCAGGACCGGTGAGTTTATGAATGTGTGTGCAAAAGAGAGAGAGAGAGAGAGTTTCTTCACCTGTTTAGTTTGTTTGTAGGTTTGGGGATTTTCAAAATATTTAAAAATGATCAGTTAAGGCTTCTGATGATCCTTTTGGAAGTGCTAAACCTGGTGCATCAAAATAAAACTGTGGATAGTCAGGAGACCTTTTTTTGAACACTTGCATGTACGTTTTGTTGTCAACACTCACTAAACTGAGATCAAGTTTTGACCTGGACCAAAAAATGCAAAAACAAGACCAAGTGAATGAAGAAATTTAACCAATTTAAGACCAAGACCAAGAACTGAGTCCCACACCCAAGCAATTCCAACTGACAAATTGGACTTGTTTGAATGCTGCTGTTTAAATGAAAATACAATAGCCTTTGAAACATTGTGAAAATTGGGCCTTATTTCAAGGTAAAAAAAAAAAACCTTTCATATAAAACAGATATTTTTTAAGATAGCAGCTAACATTAGCTAACAACAATTTCCAAGATAACAATTAGATTTCATAGGAACTTGTCAGATTGTCTTTCCGCAACAGCGTCATCACTAAGCTCAGCTGTCATTAAGTCTCTGATTATTCATACTTATTCCGCAACAGTGTTTATATTAGTGTCCCAGTTTGTGGATTCAAATTGCCTCACGAGTTGCAGAAGTGTAAAGGCCCTGACACAACAAGCAGACGGCAAAGAACTAGTAGCGACGAAGGCCGCCTGCGTCGACGCCTTTTGCCTTGGCCAAAAAGTTGCACTAGAACACACCGCAAAGACTACAGCCGAAGGTCAACCACCACGTACGTTCTTCTGCGCATGCGTGAGAGGCAATTACTCTCCATGCCAGTAGGCGGCTGTAGTCTGTAATCGTCATTCCAAAAAGGGGAAACTGAAAGAAGACGAGGAGGAACGCGGATAAATAAACCGTTGTTGTGATACAAGAAGACAATTTTCTCACAGCTGTCGCTCAACACTCATAACCTAGGTACTTCTAATGGAGAATAATGTCTGATAAAAAGTTGAAAATGGCGCTGGCGTTGTCAGCCCTTGGTATTTTATTTGTGGAACAAGAATAGAAGAGGCGCTTCCGTATTTCACTTCACTTCTTCCCCCTATCACGCCTCCATGACATTCAGATTGAAGGCAAATCATCAGGGACTTACGTAAATAGTGCATCTTGAAACGGCAGTCTGAATAGGGCTGTAGTTACACAAGGATAGTAAAACTGTCGCTATCGATAATGATAGTTAGCTAGCTAGTGGTAATATAAACAAGCTAACTGTTATGATGAGGAGAGGCTGATTGCTTCTGTTAGGCCTAGCTGTTAAGAGTTAGCTGTCAGTGGCTAATGAGTTATTAAATTTGCTGCATTTGCTGAAATATGGCCTAATTTTCACTTTCCCTCATCTTTCTATTTGGTGAAGATCAAAAGCAGTGGATACATAGGCCGAGCACTTTGTCAGTGTACTAAGGTTTAAGTTTGCAAACCTTGAATAAAACAGTACAAAATCATTTAAGCTTTCAACTCGGAGGATGACAATAAGAAGGATGTCATAAGTCCTGAACTTTGTGAATAAATGAGGTATGCAAACTTTGGTGGTCTTGAAATAAATTCAGCATCCCTCTTAGACAGAGACATGATGTTAAAGTGTTGTGGAGTCCAAGCGAAACCAAGACCTTTGAAAAGTGGTCTTGATACTTGTGAATACTACAACATCAATAGCTATTATTACTGCCACCGAAATGAAATTACCACTTGAAAACAACTGGTGCTGCTGAAACCTTTTCTGTAATGTAGCACTCTGTACAGGTTGCTTTATATTAATCTCCGCTATGGGTTAGCTCATGTCATAGTGTCCCCACACAAAAATCGATCAAGTGCCTTTGTGTGCACATGTGGGTGTCTTCATGTTATGATAGCCCACATTATCATCATCATCATCATTATCCAACCCGGTATCATACAAAGACACACTTGAAACCTGCTTGCAGCTTCCAAACCGTGGAGTGCACAGACTTGGCATTACAGTTTCTGATTCCTAGATGACCAATTAGAAGAATAATACCTCCAATTAGGCTAATGTTGCAAGAAATGTCCGAAAAAGGGTTAAAAGAAAATGGCATAGTCTTGTGTGTGCTATTTGATTGTGTATGTGTTTGTGCGTGCGTGTGTGTGTGTGTGAGTGTGTGTGTGTGTGAGAGAGAGAGAGAGAAAGAGAGAGAGAGAGCAGGAAAAACAACTCTCCTCCACCAGACACTGGGGCGGGGAGAGGGGTGTGCAGGCTCCCTCAGCAGCGGCAATTAGAGCTGAAGAAAGAGGGTCTTTCTCGGTTTGACATCCGGTTAAATCGCCTTCCCAGCGAAAACAACGCATGCATGTTGGATGCATTCTTGACAATTCAATAAAAGCAGACCACATGAACATGTAGCAGCGACTCATAATGAACGCCCCTCCTCCTATTCCTTCTCTCTCCCCCCCCCCTCCTCCTCCTCCTCCTCCTCTCTCTCTCCTAATACCATGAAACAGTACCCCCTGGCCAAGAAACGCATCACTGGAATCGATAAGTGATTGTCGGCAGCTGGGCAGAGGGAATGGGAGCACCGGGATCCGGACTTTAAAACGCCTTTATTTGCGCTGGCATCCACGCCGCACACCGGGCTGATGGGAAAATGACGAGGCTCTCCAGATGACAGCTCGAGTAGACTGTGTTATGTGGCTACCCCTCCATTTCTGGATGTATGTATGGAGGAAAGACCATTCCATGAGAGACGCACGGTCGCGCACGAGCACTCACGCGCACCTCTATATTTTCATAGTAGGAACCCTAGAGGCTGTGTTAAAACGGCCATTTAACCGAAGAAAAAGAGAGGCAGAGAAATCCACGTTTTCTTTCCTGGTCGACAAAGACTATGGAGAGCATAATGCCAGGTGGACAATACAAATACACATCTTACATTTTCAGTCAAAGGCCCACATCGCCTACTCCAGACATTATAGAATTATAATCAACTCCATATAGGCCCTATGACAGCAGGGAGGCAAACTGGGAGGTTTGACTACAAAGCTCCACCGGCGAAGGGCTTAGTTACAGCCATGATTAATTACAAGCAACACATAGTAGGCCAATATACAGTGGCATTTGATGGTCTTAAGAACCCCCCCCCCCCCTAAGTAGATACCACCTCATCACCTAACTGTATGCAAACGGGAGCGAGCACGCGCGCCCTGAATAAAATCGTGCTGTGTGCTGCCAACACACCTGTCAAAGCCTGAAACTGACATGGGCGCCAAGCGTTGCATTGTCTTTCTAATAAACGCCTATTTGTCTCTTTTCAAATAGTAACCCCCCCCCCCATCTCCTTTCACACACACGCACAAAGACGCACAATTACAGACTCTCACCTCCCTCAATCCTTGACAACACAATGTTAAGTAGCCTACTCTTTGTGCACACCGTTTATCGTAACATTAGTGCATGCATATTTCCCCCCCATGTCTTTCTTTGATTCCCCATCTCAGTGGAAAACTGTGTTGCGATGGGGTGGTGTGAAGTTGCATCCTTACCACAGTCATCGCGGGGAGCCTGTAGTGTCCATGTTTGATGTTAAATATCCCTTAGCTCCATCTCCGCGGATCGTGCCTCGGTGTCTGCTACCCCTCATCCGAAACCGGGGAAAACCTTATTAAAATAAGGTAAAAGCGGTTTTTTTTTCTGTCCCTCTTTTCCACACGAAACGGCGAGGAGAGGGGGGGGGGCGGCGCAGAGAGAGACGATACGCCACCTTACCACAGACTCCCCCTCTGTCGAATTGGAAGGTAATGGGTCTTAAAGAAACATTCTCTCAGCATTCTCCGCATCTCTGTGATTTACGCGCGTGCCACGCACTCACGCGCATTGACAAGCCAATCAAACACCTGATTAATTATTGCATATGGGAGACAAGTGCAACCTATATCACAGAAATGTCACCTGCTACTTTCCCATTTGACATTTTAACTGCAGCTGAACCCAAAATGTATCTTATTTGCAAATAATAAAGTATCTAATTTTTCAAGTCTATGCCTGTAGTTGGCTTCTGCTTAACACAAATCTGTATACAGTATGTGCTATCTTTATAGGCCCAACTTCAGACACAAAAGAAGTTTTGTATTCTTAATTAACTGTCAGAAATATTAAATATTAAAGCATACTTTAATCGCAACAGTTGTCTATATCCTAAGTATTTTAACCTATTTTTAAGGAAGGTGTCTTCTGCAGTCATAGAATATGTTCAGGATAAGAATACCGCTTTTCATTTGAATAAAGGTCATGGTTAAAATGTATTCAGGAATTAATTTGGAATAGGATACTAAAATGGTCATAATGTTTTGTCTTTTTCAAGTACATCCAACTGCCAACTTGCAGCTTTAAAAACATGTATTGAGTAGACCATATGGAAGCTGTCTGGAATGTAACAACACCCATACAATACAAATCCACAAGCCCATGCTTAAAATGTAATCTCATCATGACTGTTATTAATATGCATGTTGATATTAGTATCACATTTGTAAACAGATAAGCAGGTCAGTGTGTGTGTGTGTGTGGTGTGTGTGTGTGTGTGTGTGTGTGTTTATGTGTGCGCATATGTGTGTGTATGTGTGTACAGCTCAGTAAACATAAGGTGGTGCTGTCTTTAAGAGAGAGAGCCTGGGAAGGGGTGATGTAATGTGTTCTCAGACAATGATGTCATCGGCTGAGACACGGCAAGGATTTAAAGTGACAAAGGCATTTTCAGTGGCTCCATGTAATTCTGCATCAGGGCTTGTCAGAGAGCAGCAACCGAACAAGCACCCGCAAGACCTTCATTGAGGGGAAAAAGGGCTTGTATGAAATAAGAACAAAACACAAATGGGATTTCTTATGAATATAGATCACGAGACTGAGACTCAGTGGTTATATCAGACACTCAGCATATTTATTAATCAGTATATTTGAGATACAAAACACATTTTGTTACAGTGACGATTACAGGGTTATGTTGCCATCCACACGCAGCAATTATGTATAAATTCTGCGTTATGTTGCTAAATTTATGTGTTTGAAAAGGAATGAAAGTGTTAAACTTTAACTGCAACACTGAATAAAGTATTGGTGCATACACAATTTTTGATTTCATGAAATATGTTTAAGACATTCTTTTTGATCTGCATCCATTTCAAACTTCACATTACAAATAATGGAAATGTTCAAGTAAACCAACAAAATGACATTTTCCTGACATTTTATGTTCCCATTCTTTCCATTACTAATTCAAAGTTAGGTCTGAATTCCTTCAATCACTTAATGTCCTTCTCATCATCATCCTTTTCCATATATTACTTCACTGTGTTCTTGTCCTTCCCAAGTTCGTTCATTTAATCTCCTTAAGCCAACTTTGCTCATACTTCTACAAACTCGTCCTTAATATTGTAACACGTGCTTTCCCAAAAGAGGCACTCCGAATCACTTTTCCCTCCTCAAACACAGAGCTGGATGGAGTGATGGAGTGGTTGTTGCTTGTCTCTTCACTCTCTTCATTTAAACATTTCTTTGGCTCTTCAGATCTCTCTTGGTCCATCTTCTTGACTTCTGACTCTTTTGACCCACTGTGTTCTTCTCTTGACCTTAGACTTTCAACCAGGACCTGATTAGAATCCGTGTCCTGAACAGGAACTCCTTCAATAGTTTCTCTAACTTTCAGCTCGATTTCTTGCCTTGAGGTGTCTTCACCTTCTTTTTGGGGGGTTCTTCATTAACAAGGGCTTCGTTTGTTGGACTGGCTGAGGTATTTAACACTGCTTTGTCCTGGCTTTCCTCTTTCAAATCTTGGAGATTGTTGTTAACCTTCATTCCATTTTCATCTACATCTGCTGGCAAATGGAGGCTGGAATCCTTGATTTCTTGGTTGGTAGAACCAACAACATTATCGACCGTTTCACCTGGCACAGATTCCATAATAAGTAGTTTTTCTTCTTCTTCTGGCTTAGAAGACGTTTGGGTGATTGAATTTCCATCATTCTTGGTAATATCTGAGTCCGAAATACTAATGTCACAAGCAATTTTGTAAAAGAGTGAGTGGTTTTCTTTCATTTTCTCTAAGCTCTCACTGACTGTGGATAACATTTCATTGGAATCAGTCTTGTCATCTATGATTGCTGGTTGGTTCTCCATGTCGAAAATCTCCTCATTGCCCAATGAGTCGATGCCAGGGATCTGCAAAGGCATGAACCCTTGCCACTGATTGGTGGAGAGGAACCATTTGGCCCTAAGATCCGAGGATGGAAAATCATTTTCATCAGCAACAGTTTCTTCGAGTTCTTGCTCCTGTCCATCCTTGCAACTTGAAAAGCCCTTGCCTTCATCTTTTTGGTAGACAGTCATAGATGAGACATGATAGGGGGAATCTGGGCGTTTGATTTTATTTTTGGCAACCCCTGCTCTTCCACTGTGGTCTTTCTGTTGTGTCTTGTTCCCAAATCTGATCTGAGTTTTAGATTTTTTAACATGCCATTTTCTTTCATCTTCATCAAGAGATGGTCCGGCAGGTTGAAGCTCTATGGGACTTCTGGTGTTATCCCCACAGCTTCCATAGCCATCGTTGGATTCATGGTCTAAAAATAGGAAAGCAAGAGAATTTGCCATCAAATAGAATTATGATAACATACTGTAGATTGCAGTACAGAGCCACAATTCATGATTCAGTCACCTCTCCCTTGCTAGTTTATCACCTGTGCCTACCAATTTCTATCACCTATGTACATCTTTATAAGCTCGTCACCTTCTGTTCCTTGTCTCATTTCTTATAACCCTCTTCACCAAACTGCATTGTTTTTCCAATCTCTCATCCCTTTCACTAAATACAGGAACCCCTTTGGGATGCTGAACCAAAAAGCCTGATGACCCAGGGTTCCTGACCAATCAACCTTTTGTATCCCACCTTACTTCCCCCTTGTAAAATCCCACCCTTCATTAACCCCTTCCCCCACTGTACCCTAATACTCTTCTTCCCATTACACATTGACCCCCATTCATCACCCGATTATGATCCCATATGTCCACCCTACTATGGCCCCACTTTCTTTCTACTAACCCTTCCACTTCTATCAAATCCAACCTGACCCCTTCATCAAACACTTCCTTGACCCAATATCATCACATGCTAACCTAGACCCCTTGACCTCTTTCATCCCAGCCTACCTTGACCAATTTTAAAACCCAACTTTGACCCAAAATTTTCCCAACCAAGTGCCCCTTCTCCTAATCTTACTTCAAACCATTTTACAGTTTTTCTCAGTCGCTTTGGTACATTTCTCAGATCAGAATTGAAATTCTCAAAACTACTTGTTCAATCTCCACATCATTGTGTCACTTGTGCACATAAAAAAAAGCAGTTTCTCATTTCTTTGAACAAGTTGCAAATGCTTTGGTACATCCATGCAAATGATTATGTACAATTCTCTGCTGTTTCCTACATTATCAATTGCTTATGTCATGTTGATCAAAATGTATTATAATGGGTCTCTGTTGAATAGTCTCACCCCCCACAACATTGAGGCATTAGTTCATCACATAAGTCTTTACATGCAAAGTGGTTGAACAAGTTGTCATAATATGTCAAGCATATTTCTCTACATTTCCATTAGACTTTTTTTCTAAATCTGTCCTGAATTGGTAAATTGCTCCCAGGTCAATCTTGACTTTCTCTCACGAAGGGAAATGTGTGAAGCATTAGATCAAGCGATGATCAACCAGTTTTCTGAAATAGCTCAAAGGCGCATCTCATGAACCATCAACTGGCAAGTATATATATAGCCGGAGCACAACACAATGTTACAATGTCTGACAATGAAAGGACAAGGAATTGGATGGGGTCAACAGCAAGAGAGAAGAAGAAGAGGAAGAGGAGTGAGGCTGTGTGGCGGAGGAGCTGGGAGGCAAAACAGAGGAAGAGGCAAAAGAGTCCGAGGACATAGGCGCGTTCCTGATGAGATAAGAGCCACACTTGTAGACCACGTTCTCAATCATGGGCTTACCCTAATGGCTAAGGGCTGGTCGAAGGGTGCAGCCTAATGTTGGGAGAACAACTGGAAATACTGGAAAGTATATGATCGGCAGCCACATACACAGATGACCCTTCTGGCTGCCATGGATGCAGCGTGTGATGACATCACAGCAGATGCCTGCAGAGGCTGGATAAGACGCTCTAAAAGATTCTTTCCACGCTGTATCGCAAGAGAAGATATTTGTTGTGATGTGGATGAGAATTTGTGGCCCAACAGACAGGAACGTTAGAAGGTGTAGGAAGACTGCACTGTAATTCCTACAGCACTGCATGTACAGTTTTCCCTCAGGAGATTGTCCTATGTTCACATTTCTTTTGTTTTTTTCTTTTTTTCTTTGTGCCATGCAGTGATGTCTTTTCCTTTCTCTATTGCAATGACATGGTCTGTCAACAAATTACAGTACAAACAGTAAAAGCGTAAATGTGAATCTTGTCCAGTCTCTTGCAATCAATCTCCCACATACACTAAGGTGTAACTTACAATTTACAATAATTGTCATCAGAACTTAAGCCATAGTTTATATCAGAACACCCCTCCAGAGCACACTGTTATATTGACAACATGACTAAGCAATTTTACTGTCTTATCCATACACAATGACACAAGGACTTGTCAATCTGATGGCACTGACATGTTCATTGACACAGATATTTACTTTTGAGAGATGAACTAAGGATTTTGAGCAAGAGACTGGCTTTTGAGAAATGCACTTACTGTTTTGCAAATGTCGAGGATGATTCGAGAAATGTACCAAAGCGACTGAGAAAAACTGTACTGAAGAATCTGGGATCCACATGGAACCAGATTCTCAACCTTTCATCCCAACCTTCTCCAACCCACTTCCTTCCACCAACACTGACATCCCATATCATCCAAAGCTTGACCTACCCTTCATCCCACTGTTCTTCAACCCCATATCAACACTCGCTAACCTAGACCCTTTTCATACCATCATTCCTCGAGTCTGTTCATTTCATTCTACTCGGATCCATTTCATCCTATCTGATTCAAGCCCCTTTTATCCTAACCTACTCTGACCCTTTTAATCCTATTTTACTTTGACCCAATATTATTCCTTTCTACCTGAACCCCATATTTTGACCCCATATCATCCAACCTTAACTAATCCCCTTTTATCCAACCAACAGCTTTCATACTACCCTACCTTGCCCTTCTTCATCCCACCCTCCTCAACCCTTCATCCAACCCTATTTCAATTCCTTTCATCCCACCCTACCATGGCCCCCTTCTTTACACTGATCTCAAACCATTTCACCTCAATCTTCTTCAACCCAGTTCCTCTCACTTTACCTCTTTCCGCTTCTTTCCAACGTCCTATACCAATTTTCCCACCCTACCTATAGAATTTAAAAAGTTATAGTCTTGTGTAAGTATGTAAATACATACCTGGTTTTATCCTCTGTTTTCTAACTGTGTCAGGTGGCATCTGATGAACTTCCTCCCTCCTGACTGGCATTTGATTCTGTGTAGTAGCACTCTCTCTGGCTGCACTGATAGATAGATAGATGATAGATAGATAGATAGATAGATAGATAGATAGATAGATAGAAGATAGATGAAACAACTATTTAAAACAGCATGTCTAAACATTTAGATATTTAAATGAAAAAATATAAAATCCCACCTCCTAATGACCCTTTCCCGTATTCGTTCCACTCGTCGCAGTTTTGCCTCTCGCTGTTCAGGGGTCAGACAGATGTCAGGCTCCATGTCAGGGGTCAGGAGGGATGCCTGCTGATTCTCTACCTGTTCAAAAGATTTTTGCATTAATAAGTATGCTCCCCTACAATGACCTTTACGTTACAGGACAACTGAATCAGAGCAATTACTCAACTTCTATCCAGTAACGACATTTAGCGAGTGATATAAAGGAAAAATCATTGTTATTGATACAATGATTTAACAAACTGTTTTTTTAAAAGATCAAAAACTGACACAATAAATGATGACGATTAAGTTTTCAACAAGGCTTTCTAGCCAGCTTATAAATCCCAAATCTGAATTGTAAATAAAGTCTTAAACACGTTGTATTTATTTGAGTTTTGTGACAGTGTTTTGTTGATCTGAATATTTATGTTGGAGAAGAACTGTGATGAGTAACTTAAACATTGTCTGTGCTAGCTCTGTGCTTTTTGTCTACAGCCAAGGTAATGACTTTAATACTTTTCTAGAAGTTGATTTAAACAATAAAAACACTCAGATGAACAAAGATGAACAATATGTTTGAATAAAAACATTAGATTTCACAATTTATTACCAATTTCAAATGTATAGCAAATGTGTCTGTGTGACAGACATATTTGGAAAATAATAATAAGACAGTAATGCCACAGACTACGAACTGTAAATGTTCAGTAGGTATGAGATGAAATCCAATATAATTTAAGAGAACAATTTTGTCTTATTTTATGATCTTTAATTGTGTTCCTCCTTTCTTACCCTGAGGTCCAAGCTTGCATTTCCATTTCCTAAACCTGCCTGGTCTCGACTATGATTTCTTGAGACCACTGTAGCCTCTCCTCTGCTTGCTTCTGACTGCATGTCTTTCTTATGATTCTTATGATTTTGCTTTCTGGTTGTCTTTTTAACTGCTGGCTGATCCTGGTGCATATTTTCCCAGAACCGGTTTTGTTCAGGACTGTCCAGCACCAAATGCCTTGGTGACTTGTTGAACACTTTTTTGCCCTGCTCAGTCAATCTCTCCTGCCTCTCAGGTGGTATCTGCTCGGGAAGTGGGTTGTCCAGCTCAGGCGGGGGGTCCTCAACGGAAACCCGTCTGGCCACTAGAGAGGTAGGTAGGACAGCTGTAACAACTCGTGTCACCCTTAGAGGAAAGGGTGCCTGAGAAGAAAACCCCAAATCAGATTAGTAAATGGTGTATAATATAATCAAGTGATTCTGTCAGATATGATTGATGTTTGGCAGACCTCGTCCCTTGTCCCTGAACTCTCGCTTTGGGAACTTGGAGAAGGTAGGGGGGGTTTCTTCCTATTAGACAACCTCTCCTTATTTTTCTTCATCCGCTCAATCTGCTCCTCTTCGCTCATCTTCATCTTCTAGACAAGAAATAGGCTGTTTATGACTCATTCATAACCTCTTTCACCTCAGCAATATGCATGCAATCCTCGATCTGCATATCAAAAACATATACACATACATTATTAATATGGTGTGTGCGTCTGTTTGTGCAGAGGTGTATGTGTGCCTGACTATATGTACAGCTGCTCTCCTCTATATGTTGGTATATATTGTATGTATGTGTGCATGCATGTGAGAAGAGAAGAGGGGGTTGGGTGGTAAAAGTGAGAAGACTGAGTTGCTGATCTAACACATGAGCCTCTGCCTCCCCCTCTCGCCAACAACAGGCACTGCAACATGCCCTAATTGCAGGCAAGATAAGAGAATCAAAGAATTGGAATTTGGCTGTGATTGCAGAGAGGAAAAATTAGCTTTGACTGCTTCTATATTTAGAGCGTTTTTTTGGCTCTCATTGCATACATCCAAATACAGTTAACCAGCAAACAGGAAATTGCAGTGTGAAGAATCATAACCTTGGTTGATTGGCTTCCTGCATCTGGTGGGATCCACTTGGAACCAGATTCTAAATATGAAATAAAAATAGAGGAAAGAGGTGGAGGATGGAGGGAGTGGGAAAAAATGGGTGAGAGGAAGGAAGAGAAATAGGAAATAGGAGGGTGGAAGAAAAAACAGAGACTGAAAAAAATGATTTACTGTTTGCATAAAACACTTATTAAAGCTGTTTTAGATTAGTCACACAATATGAATCTACAGGCTATTGTATTAATATCACTCCCTCTCTGGAGTCTATTATTATGAGCATCTGTGCCAACCGAATGAGTCTTTCTGTGCTTTCACATTAAGGAGGTCAGGCTGGCTGTTTCCTCTTCTCTGTATAGGATCAACAGCGTGGCTGTAGATTCCCTGAAATTAAAGCAGACAAAACATTTTTTTTAAATCAAACTTGACATTTTTTTTCTGATTGATAATGTGAAGTTTTCAAACCTCGTATGGCGACTCTATCCAGCCATGACCCAGATCTCTTCTTTGTTGGATTTCTGTAGCTCCTGGGGTAACGGTGGGCGAAGTGGTGGTTCTTGCTCCATAGCCTTTTAAGGACATTTTCACAAGTGATATAATGAAAACTGTGAAGTCACTAGAGAAGATGTTACCACATCCCTAGCACTTTGATAAATATGTGGAATTAGATTTTAGAATATGATTTAGAGACCTACTAGAATCATACAAATATTGTGCTTCCTAAGTGAGTCACAGTGGCAAGGTAATGTATGGTAAAAGTCAGGAGGGACATCTAGACAACCCTAAAAAATAATTAAAAAAAATACTGTATATTGGCTGATTATAGACAATATCTTACAGTATGTTAGCATTAAGCCCATGTCCAAGCCAACTTTACAGTTTGATAGAGTTCTAAGATACAACAAAAATGGTGTATAGTCCTAGTTAAAGTGATTGACAGCTTGGTAACGCAAATCCCTTGTGTGTTTAAACATACCTGGCCAATAAAGCTGATTCTGATTCTGATGTTAGCTACAGTATTGTTCGTTACAGTGTGATGTCATCCTTTTTACAACAGCACTGTAGCCATCTGTAGCCAATTTTTGTGAATGCGCAAGTACTAGTCAGCACATCCCAATTCAGCAGATGAATTAAACGTTTCTCATTAATGGATAACGATCCCATATTTGTCACAAGCAAAGAGCAAACACCAGAGGTCACTGAAACAGAGACAATGGAGTCACACCATAGGCAGTCCGCTGTGCAGCGTCTCCGTGGGTGAGCCGGGAGATCCAGGATGTGGAGACGTTGGCTGAAACGCTGAGGGAGAGACAGAAAGGTCACAGTGTTGACACTGTTCATCTAATGTCAGGTTTCATGCGCAGGGTAAATATGTACAGACGTCTTGAATGGAAGCAGGAAGTCACTGTTTGAATTTCCCCCGACTTAAAGCAAAATGAAATATGAACTCAGCACATTCTTCAAACATAAAATCTCCCCATACATGAAATGTCTTATAGTGAAGCAGGTAAAAGGAGATTAAATGATTATGACTTTCGACTGACAAATTGTCAGTAGTTATGCTTCTTGGACTTTTCTGTACTATACTTGAACAGAGAGGAACTTCTAAGTTTACAATAGAGTGATAAGAGAAGTGTATTTTTAGATATTATATGGCTTGTTGTGGCTTGAATCATTTTATATAACTATTATACATCCGGAGGTCACTCGGGAGGTCTTGATCAAATATCAATGAAAACATATTGAATATTTATACATGATAAATATATGTATGTTGTGAAAGAATGCAAAGCTTTTACAAGAAATGCATAAATCTAAATTTTCAATATGTGTTGTATATCATCAAGCTCAAGAAAACATTCGCTTTTTTAAAAAACATTAGCTTGTTTCCTGTTAAATGAATACAGTCCCTACAGGTTAAGAATAACGTAGGAGAAACGGTTCTCTTATGATTGATGAGCAGTATACACTTCAACATGAGCCAGTGACTACGCTGTGCATTGAGTGAAGGTTTTCTCTTACCGTGGTGCCTTTGTAGTCCCAAAAGGAAGCGGAAGTTGTCTCTGTTGATTTTTAGTCCAGCCAAGATGTCCTCCATCATCCACAGCTCCCTCTGGGCCTGAGACTGCTCCTGAATAAAAGAAAAACAAGATTTCCACACACACGTCATCTTCAGGTTTCTGTCCTAATAGTGAGTAGAAGTTTAAACTAAAGACACCATGAATACAACGGTTGGTCATAGTTTGACCTCAGATTTATCACTCTTAAGACTTAAATACCTGTGGAATTCCAAAGTTGCAGATGTGCTGAAGGTGTGAGCGGATGACAGACAGTTCACTCTCCATTCTCTCATATTGGCTCCACACTCGCTCCATTTCCTGAGCAAAAAGCAATCCCAGACTTGTTAACAATAAATTAGTCCCTGATGAGTATTACCACAAGTAAATCTACAGTAAGTTGATATTTTCTTCTTTCATTATGGCTGTTTGCTATCTGGCTGAATACACACCAACGAAACATCGCACATCCTGGCTCGGATTGTGACCAGCTCTTCCTGGAGCAAAGCCTTCTGGGCAAGTGCTTCTTCGTGGGCCCTGAGACCCTGACTCTTCCACTCCTCCAGCTGCAGTCTGGACACCTCTAATGCACAATGGACACTATCCTGCAAAAAGAATGAAAGTCTTCACTGGGGTTACTCTTGGAACAATAAAAACGTCTTGTATGCTGCTATGGCTATTTGAAAATGTAGTTCACCTTTTTTTTGGTTTAGTGCAACTCAAAGCTATGAAACACATTTCAATCAAGTTTCAAAGGTGTACTTTAAAACAACCATCAGCTTCTATAGATGTATATGTAGTTTAAAAGCTTGCATGGAATAAATGATGCCGGGTCAGGACTTGTCTAATTTGCCTTTATTTGCTAGTAATACAGACCTTATCCAATTGGAGCTGGGCCAGTTCGATAGATAGAGACTGCAGCAGCTTGTCACACCCACACAACCTCGTCAACACAGCCTGAAGAGGGGAATCAAACTGATGTTTACAAAAAGGAGAACATCTGACAGAATGATAAACAGCTGCATCGTACTGTGAGAGCCACCAGTGAATACTCACATCTGCATCGCTTTCAAGAGGCCTGATTGGTGGGGTTTCTCTCAGATCAGGTTTTGGGGCCTGAAAAGCAACAAGGTCATAATTTCATAAATTGCTTTTTGATACTTTTTCAAAATATATTTTGCCTCTTCCTGTTAAGAAAAGAAAATCTTTGTGACCACATGTGTACATATTTAGGGTATTTAGTGTTTGTAATTGTGGAAAGGCTTTGATGTTATCGGTTAAACGTTAAGAATGAGCTCCACAAGAGACAAACAAAGACCACAGCCCGGAGTTTTTGTCATTAATGTGAGAAAATCATTCATCCAAATTCTTTTTCATTTAATACATCTGCAAACAGCTGCTAAATGTAGCTCACATTTTCAAGTAGCATAATCATGGCAAAACAAATGACAGTAAAGCACAACAAAAAATAAATCAACAATAAAAACACAATTTATTAGTTACAGACCAAATCTGGGACAACAAGAATAAGTGACAACAACAACACATGACACGGACATGAATCAACTCAGAGACTTTGTTAACATATTCTAAACAAAGAGGATGTCGCTAATAATGATTAAAAAAAATTGTCACATTGTTTAAAGTCTGCACAGTTAAAGACAACAGCAAAACGTGAACATTTCTGAGGGGGACACACGAACAAAACAACAGGGGCTGTAAGAATGTACGACACATGACACCGTTAGAACACAAAGAGCAGCAGGTCTGGCTGTACCATAGCTGGCGGTAGCACACAAACAGATAAATTGCTGCGGAGATGGTGATGATGGTGGTGGTGGTGGTGGTGTGGGGGGTGGGGAGCATGTGCTGCCCTTGATGAGGGGGGCAAAGGGGGCAGTAAGTCTGCATGTGCCCCCGTGGAGTAGCTCTGAGGGGAGAGACAGCATGTATACGGAAAAAAAAACAGAGAACACATGGCATTATAAGAAACATGCTGTGCTGAGCTACAGGATGAGCACAATCCATTTTAGTAATGCTTTCAACAATCTGTTTGAGGAGTTTAACTGAATCACAATCAGATGGTCTTTCTTTATACAATATTGTTCCCATCACCTTTCCTAAAGGTCTTCTCCCGCTCGCGATGTGATGGACAGAACCATATGTAGGTGTGGGCTGGAAACAAGGAAAGAGAAAAGGTGAGAGGAGATGTTCTTGAATACAAAATAATTTAAAAGAATGTTTACACTTCCACTACCACAGGACACATACGACATTAAAAACCAACCATATGTTTTTTCTTATTAATTATCAAAACAGAATAATACAGTTATATGTACTTGGTGAACTGTTAGTTCACGCGCCCATGTACAGAGGCTGTAGTCCTCAGAACGGGCGGCCCTGGTTTGAATCTGACCTGTGGCTCCTTTCCTACATGTCGTTGCCCACTATCTCCACCGTCCTGTCTTTAATAAAGGCACAAAAAGCCACCAAAACCCTCAATTTCCCATCCCAAAAGTAAAGCAATATTTCCCTTTAATCTTATTCTGTATTCTGAGGTGCCAGTGGCCTAGCGGTTAGTTTGCATGCATCATGTACAGAGGCTACAGTCCTCAAAAACAGGCAGCCTGGGTTCAAAGCCGACCGTACGAATAAACATATTTGTTTCATAATAATTTAAGAGGACATGACAAACAAGGTGCCAAACGAGTCCTGACCTTGCTCAGGTTCTGCCACCTCTCTGTGACTGGAGTGGTAGGTGTGGATTTGAACTCCAGGTTAGGCGAGGCAGGCGCGTAGAACAGAGTCTGCGGCACCATGTCATCGTGAGGTCGAATGTCAACCCTCCCCACTGGTGTGTGAGGTCGTGACCCCAGCTGACCCTTGGAGGTCAGAGAACCTGTTCCCATAATTTCTGTCTGAGTGGGTGGTGTGTTGTGGCCAGGAAGAGAATCCTCCTCTTGGTTTGGACCATACGCTCTTCTTCTGCCAAACTCAGGCGGGCTGGGTGTTCTGTTTGAAGGGCCGTAAAATACATTTTAAAGGAAAACACATCAAAGACTGACAAAGCTGGGACCTTTTTCAGATGCTTTTCTCTTTTCGGTAAAGCACAGGGATTTAAATATGTGATTATCACACAGACGTGACTTGACAACCTGCTGTTTCTCTGACGCACGCTCCGCCTTCCCCTCGGCTCTGAGCGAGAAGTCCCCATCCTCCCACCGCTGAGATGACTGGGTTCGCTCAGAGCGCGGCTGACGTGCCTGTGTCTCTGGGAGGGACCCTCTCCATCAGAGGGGGGTTTAGGGAAGTCCACTGATTCAGTGCTGCCACCTATCTGTGTGAAGTCCTGATAACTTGAGCAGCGCCTGGAAAGAATCAGGGATATACAGTCATTTAAAATACCAGCTTCTCTGGGGTTTTTTTTTTTACCCTCAGGGTCCATATTGAAGAGTGGTGTACCTGTTCAGAGAGCTGTCCTGATCCATTGTTGCAGACTGACTGAGGGCTCGGACCCAACCCAACATGTCCTCCTGCGTGTCGGCACTGAAGAAATAAGAGCGCATTCCCTGGTGCACCACCTAGATTTACACAAATGAATCACAACATCACAGTTTGTAGTATACCACTCGTAAAAGGTTGTTAGTCATTGATAGAGATTTTTTGAGAAGCATACTAATCCTGATTTTTGATAGGAAATATTCACCAAATATCAATACAGCAGGCGATACGGTAAATTTGAGCTGGAATGAAAATATACTATTTTAATGTGGATTCTTTGTGGGTTCTGTACCTCTAAGAGTGTAAAGGCCTGAAAGCTGCTTTCCAGGATAAATGACTTTACTGAATAGTACTCAACATGATTACACTCTGTCAACAAGCGGCAACCTAAGTGTTAAAAAGTTAAGCCAATGTGGAAGTGTTCAACACTGCAGGGCCTTGAGTGTCCCCTTGAGGCAGACTCCAAAAACCAAGGAATCCACATCAAGCCCCAAATTGAAATGCATTATTTATAGTAGAAATAAACATGTTTACAGCCTGGTACATGAAACACTTTTCATCTCCACAGCTCACTTCTTGAATTGGAAAAACTGTGTGGAGGCAAGGGGGGTTAACTAATCTATTCTAAATATATTAAGGCTAAGAGTTATGCGTAATTAGACATAATAAGAGGCGTGGTTGATTTGCCTGACATGCTAGCACGTTGAAGCTGTTTGCAAAGAGGCCAGGCTCCTAATGTTAACTCAAATTATGTAGTAATATTCCTTCACTGACTCTAAATTGTAGGCTTTGTTCTCAGCAAAGTAATACATCAGGGTATACTGGAAAACTCATAAGACTATTACCTAATATGTCTGACAGGCCCATATCCGCCTGACACTATTGACCAGCAGTGTCTTGTTTTTATGATGTTTCCTGTCAACACATTTTTAAAATGTATCTAACATTTATTTTGCCAGGAAGTCCCATTGAGAAAAAAAGAGACATGTGGCCAAGCAGACAAAAAAAAATCACAATATTAAACCGGATGAACGTTTCTTTAGGTTTAAAAAAGTAACACTTACAGTCAAATGTTAAGCTACTTACATCTTCCACCGATCATAAAGATCTTTAAAAAAAATGCTTGAATATTTATTTTGAGGATATTTAAATTTGAATGTGTAGCCACTGATGGTACCTTGAAGGTGAACTTTCTGTTCTTGCATTCTCGTGGTGTACAGAACAGGATTTTGTAGCTGGGGAGCGGGATGCTGCCGAGCACAGATTCTTCTCTACTGTCTGTTGGGGAGCAGTGAAGACGTGAACAAAAAGAAGAGAAGCATTGTTGTACAGATCAGAGCACATGAAAAGGTTTTTATCCAGTCAAAGTGCTGGGCTAGAAGCTGGGTACCTTTATAGTAAAACAGACAGTAGTTGGAGAGGACGAACCACCTTCTCTTCCATAGCTTCAAACCCGAGCTGTCCTGCAGGAGGAAGATTAATCCATGACTGTTTTCTGCTCTCTCTACATATGTTAATGAAGGTATAAAATGTTGACTAAACAAAGTTTGGAAATGTACCTTTTTGTTGAGCCACCCTCTGATGACCACAGGACAGTTGGGGTCTCTCTTCGCAGCTTGACATTTTTCCCAAATGCTTGCACCTTCCCATCACATTCCTGTTATCCAGAGAGTCAATCACATATTTCTTTACATCGACAGTCCCGAAACGTGCTAATAATTACCAGGTAACTATGCTAACTTAAACAAACCTTCGCAATAGGGAAGAAGGAAACCGTGGCAACGCTGGACGCTTGGCTTACTCTGTCCTGGTCATCCATTCTGCAGTGGAAACAGAAAAAAAATCATATCCACACTGCAGTTGTAAAAAAAACAGTCAGGAATGAACTTTAAACAGGGATGAAAAGATGAAATAAAGTTAAGAGGATCATGTACTCTTTAGAAAAGTAAAATCTGACAAGTCATTGCAATTTGTACACAAAATAAAGCCTAACATGAACTCTAATAGGGTGTTACATAAATGCAGCAGATTGTACGTATAGGAAAGTGTTCCTACATTCAAGGTCATAATTATTCTGTGGTGCACAATCAAACTAGTACACAGAATATATACATTCTTCAGATAGATTTGTGAAAGAAAGCTCAATCAAATAAAGGGTGCACAACTGTAAAGTTATAGTTCACTTAAACTCTTGTTTTCTAAACCCTGCTCACATGTTTGAATGAACTGGTAACAGCTGGCTACACAGGGTGAGGCTAACACATGAGGCCTTACCAACACAATCTGCCCCAGAGTCTCCCCCTGTAGAAGCAATCAGTCAGTCACTCCCATGAGCAGCACACTGTACCCTCCACAGACACATATGCTGCATTCCCATATAGCTGAGATTTTTTTTTTCCTATAGTCAACTGTTCATCCTCCCCGAGACTTGGTGTTGTGCTCTCTCCCACTTCCAGCGAAACTCTCCCACACTTCTATTCTGAGCCATAACAGGCCGGTGTGCATCCCCACCATGAAATTGACAGGTGACAGCTGCATCGCCGTGGTAGCAGGGAGGGGCCCGGGACTGTGTGAAAACCAATCTGGCAGCAGGGACAGGCTGGTATTATGAGACGGAGAGAGATTTGGAATGTGTCCTAAACTGCAGAACTGCAGCGTGAACGCTAAAATAAAGGAGCGCCGGGCAGAGGAAGTTAAGCATGTTGATGACAAATGTGCAGGGAGGAGCGGTGTCAGAGGTTTGTGATTTTCTGTAGCGTCATGGTGCCTCTTCAGATTGATGACAACCAGGTTTAGAAGAATGAGGTCGCATGGTAACGTGTGACAAACACCTTCACTTACTGTACAGCCCTAAAGCCATTTTTACATCATAAACTTTCTCATTGCTGCATAAAATTATAATATTAGTCCAGAGAAACCATCACAACTAGATTAAGACTCATACTTGCAAACAAGTCTGTAATTATGTGCTTCTCAAGTTTAAGGTCGAAAGTTAAAGATGGTAATCAGATTTTTACTTAAAAAAATGATGTGATTGAATGTGTCCCAACATATAGATGTCTGGGTTATTTGCCAGGAGAATGAAAATCTGTCTTTTAATTGACATATAGATTGTCTATTGAAAAGACTGAGAGTAATATTGGGTTTCTTCCATAGAAACAAACACTGTTTTTACTTTTGCTTCAAGGACCAAATGTATTTAGGCAACGTTTTATCATCTGTAATTGACAATGGTAATATCCTTTTTATGCTTTACATTCTTTTGATTTGATTTCTTTATTTCTAACATGTAAAAAAAACAAAATAAATAAAGAAATGCTGTAATTAAAAATATGTAGAAAACAAATAAAATAAATACACAACAAAAGAAAGAAAATTCAATGCCCGAAAAGGAGTAGGAAGAAGTTCAAACTTATCTACTTCTTCCCCTTTTACTCAATTTATGCAGCTACCTCATCTTCACTGAAAATGTTGGACTCAGTGTACCACGCTGCCTTGTGATTGGTCTCTGTTTGGCTTTCCGCGCACATCATTGCGTCCTGTATGGGACAGTAGGATGAAGGTTGGTCTTCTTTATACAACAGAGGGATGCTGGGACATTGTTGGAATCTTTTTTCAGAACTGCCCTCATCATATATGAAACTCCACAACCTCACTCTCTCTATGGTGAAAGAGCTTTTTATGTTTTTGATTGATCACCTGGTAGGTGAGCTATAGGGTCACCTTAAACTTGAGCGTTGTTTTCATTCTGAAGATTTTAAAACCAGGATCATGTGACCAGTGTATGCACAGGGTGAACTGCTGAACGTTGCATATTTATTGATAGATCAATAGATAGATTGATAGAACTTTTGTTTATTATGGTTTATTGCATAGAGAGTATATAGACTTTTTATTATTTATTTATTACAGTCTATGGCTTAGCCAGGACTCTTTGTAAAAGAGATGTTTGTAATTCCTGTTATTAGTTTAAAAAGATGTATACAGCCACGGTATATATTTGTGCACTCTTTTAATTCATGTTGACTCACACAACTTATTTAACTTACATGTTCTTCTGCTCAGATGCTAGACCCATATAGAACATTAAAAATAAAGTTTCTGTTTTTCTAAATGACGTGAGCGCTAAAACATAAAGAATGTGCAGAAATATTTTTTTTATTTTTTTTTACAATTTCTCATTTTGATGATTATTAGAAAATATAAATGTGTATTTCTTAATGATTCAGATAATGCTTTATTTTAAGTACTAACTGAATTTAACTTGCATACTTACAGTATGCTGCTCAACTACTACACAAAGTAGTAAAAGAACGTCAACCACAAGAACTTATCCTAAACTTCTAACCTAGCCAAAACCTCTACATGATGTATTGTTTCTTAAACTTGCACCTTCATGGGTTTGTACAATTACTAATATAAGTGTCTGTTGCTAAATAGATTATGAATGTATACAGTAAATGACATTTTATACTGTATACATTTCTTCATGTCTGATAATAGACATTTTTAAACAATCCTGATTCAGATTTTAAAACCGTTTCTTGGCTATTTTACGTGAAACCTGGAGTCGGTATCTCAGCGTAGCCTCGATTTCCAGCTTATCTAAACTGTACAGTTATTGTTGACCTTTCATGAAACAGCACAACAGATCGACTTGAAGATAAAAATTCATGAGAAACATCTCACACAAGCACTCGTGGGTGACTGAGGGGTTAGATGTGGTTAAGTCGCCACAGTCTGTTAGAATCAACCACGATCCTCAACAAGAGAGGGACAGAGTAAACGAGAAAACACAATCATGGCTTTGTGAGCAATGAAAGCAGAGACTAACAACCTCATAGCTGTTGGGGGTTACGTGGGTGTTGTGAAATATTCGGAAAATCTCCTCCTTAATCAGCTGGGGTCACTTGCTCGGGGAGGAGGTAACTTAAAATGCTAAGGAGGGGATGGAGGGGAGGACAAACGGTGGGTTTGTGTACCACACAGAGTGCGCTTTGTGGCGCCGAGGGTCTCTGGAGCATCATGTGAAGTCGGACACTGAGCATGTTGAATACATCGGCACGGAAAATATCCTCCCTCAATATAAACCAAAATATTTGCATGTCTCCTACATTCCTGTCTTTGAATGTCAACAAAATCATCACAAAACGTTTGACCTTGATTAGCAGAGTCAATAATATTCAATTTGGCTGTCTGCGAGGATGGCCCAGTGAGGAAACTAGTATATCATCTTGTATGATATATTTCATATTTAGACAGAAAATGTGGGCTTCAGGAAGGATTAAAATGGGCTGGATGAATGACGTGGTAGTATCATGCTTTGACAAAGGTGAGAAAAAGTCACCGAGTGGGGCTGTTTAGCCATAGTTGATGATGTCACACTGTTGCTTTAAAAAACTGATAATCTTGGTTAAAAGTAGCTTTTTGTTCAAAGTAATTAAATAAAAGATATATTAAATGAATGGAATATATGATCAATGAAATAAATATATTGTTTTTAAATGTTTTTTTTGACAGTTTAAATACTTTGAATTATTTATTTGTTTGTATTTTGTTTATTTGCAGTATGCTGTATGTAAACACATAAACCAAGACAGTATTCATAAACTACATCCATGACGAATACCTGCCCCTATATAGGCCTTTAAAATACATTTAAAATAGCATCAACAAATAGACAAAACAACCTCAACATTAATACAACAATACGTTGACATAAGACCTCCATAATAATAATAAATGCCATATTGCTGTACCTGACTAATGTGCTCGCCTGCTGGCTTCTTCCCCCTCCATCACTTGGCACTCTTCCTCACAGCATCTCCTCCCGTTCTGCTTTTCTCTTCCTGGCTGTCACAGGCTCCTGTTGCCCAAACAAGTTACCACGCTCACCCGCTATACTCCTTTTCTCTCCTCGTACGTCTGAATCTCCCTCTCTGTTTCTCACCCGGTTTCCCTCTGCTCTGACTTGTAGCAGCAGCCACAGCAGTGTTGTCCGGTGATCTGTCTACCTACGCTGGATGTTCACGCTTGCTCTGCTCCTCTGTTCTCTAACAGTGCCCTCTCTGTCAGCCCCTTCTTTCTTCCTCCCCCCCCCCTTCTCCGTCTTCTACTTCTTCTCCTTCTTTAGTGTCCCTCCCTCTCACCCGGCCTGTGACAGCCTCTCTGTCTTTTTCTGAGTGTGGGTTAGTGACTTAGGAATTTACAGAAAAAAAACAGCTGGTCTTTCTTTTGTCTTCTCTGTCCTTCACAGTATTTAAATATCATTTCCAAGCTTTCGAACTATTACAGATTTGGGTGCCAGATCTGAATTATTACCCTTTTGTATTAAGGATTTGCTTGGACACCTGATTGCAAAAGCTGAAAGGTCTATTTCACTTGCATAGATTTTGCACATGTCAACCTAGCCAGGTGCCGACATTGTGTAAAGATTTAGATACATTTCATTTCATTTTAAAGTTATCCACCGAACCAGAAGACCCCTGAAAAACACACAGTTAACATCTGAGATTATGTATGAAATCTATCTATAAGATGTACATCTATAGCTTTGAAATATCAGTAATAACAATCCCAAAGTTTTAGCCAGTCTAGACTTTCATGGTGGGCCCTTGTTCTGTTTTTCTTAAGCACTGAGTCAGCGTCTTTCAGAGCTCTTCTGCAAATACTCCAACTGAAGAACTTCTAAAACTCAACTTGATTTGTACATGAAACAATGGCTCTTTACTATTCCAGCTGTGAGAAAACAGGTGTGCAGCACTTTAAAGTGAGAAGAGTCATGTCTGTCATGAATAACATTAAGAGAAAGGTAGAGCAAAGGAAAAGTATTCAAAGGAAGAGTTCAGGCTGATAGTCTGCAGCGGGCACCACGGATGCCTCGGGAGAGTTGGCATTATTGCTGTGCAAGAGGAAGATATCAAAGGCATTTTAAGGGCTATGATAAGAACAAGAGGATAGGGGAAAAGTCAAGTCTAAAATTACTCTCAGAGGAAAGCAGCCTTAAGGCCTGGTTGGTTGGTGGAACCATTTTTACACTCATGAATAAAGCAGAGATAAATACCCAAAACTCTGTCTAAAAATGCTCTTGTTTAAAGTCCTGCAGCCTTGATACAGACTGTATTACAAAACACTCACACCATTTCTCATCACTCACATAGTAATCATACCATCATCTTATAATTAGTACTCACATGTCCACAGCATTTGGTTGTAACCAGAGGGGTCTTGACCTCAGATACCCAGAATGTCCAGTTCTCACAGGGGATGAATCAGTCTGCCTGCAGATATTTACGACCCCTCCCTTTTAGCATAAGACACAATGAGCCCAGATAACTGACAGCTGCATGGATACTTATCAGCTTCTGTTACACAATAAAAATCATCTGGGGTAGCCTACTGCCACCCAGGAAGCAGGAACAGTGGTTTTCAAGGCTCATGGGAAATGTGGTTTTCAACAAAAGACAGTCAGCCGCAAAAGAGTCCCAAAGTGTTAAAAGTTAAACTATTTTTAAAAGTATGCGAAATAATTCAATAAATTATTTAAACTCATCTGATTTGATGAAATGTATAATAATTCTCTTAACTTCAGATACTACAAAAAATCTTCAAATTCCCCTCAAGATTCAGCCTGTCACATAATCTAACTTATGCTTGCTCCTAACTCCAAACAGCCAGCTAAACTGTGCTGCTAGCTCTATAGTTAGCTAACTTTGGTTGGCTATGTAGCCTACATAACCCATAACCAGATTCAGTAGAAAGGGAGGGGCCAAAAGGCTCTTTAGCCCTCCCATCACCTGGTCATTTTGAGATGAAAAATATTCATGGATTTTTAAAAAATATATATATTTATTAACATAAAGAGACATTTTAATATATTTATATAAAATGTATTTTTATTTAAAAATAATGATTTGAGTAATTATGTTTCAGTAAAAGTGAGTAGCTCGGCTGTTGACATATTTTGGTCTGTAAATATTAATGGAAAAAGCCTGAGTGACGTCATCCATCTCATAGATGGCAGTCCCTAATGTTGGAAATGCTGTCTCACCCAACCAGTCAACCTAACAACAGGCTGAGAGCTGGAACTCAGCAGGTTTTAAGCCTCTTGAAAACCATTCCATTGCACCCACCCGTCAATCAGGTCAGCTATACCTGCCTTATTGTGAATGAGGCTCCTTCATCAAATCAAAAAAATGGAAGACCTATCAACAAAATTACCCCCTGTACAGTGTGTGCAGATTGAGACATGAGCCAATTAGACCTATTTAGTTATTTGAACAATGCTGTAAACATGTTGATTTAGGCTGTAAAATAATAGGCTTTTTTTGAATGAGGTGTTTATGGGACTTCCGGTGCTTTTTGCAGCCAGCCTCAAGCGGACACTCAATGAACTGCAGGGTTTTGCACCTCTGCATTTTCAACACCGGAGATTGCCGCTTACTTGAGCTATTTAATTATATGGTTCCTATCACTGCAAATTTATGAGGGACAAAAAAAGACTTAAGTATAAATAAATAAATTAATAAATAAATAAATGTTGGGAGAAATGCATACAATAATGTATAAATAAATAAATAATTAAATAAATGCATCAATAAATATATAAATAAATATATTCAAATATTTATTTATGTATTTGTTTGTATATGTTGTACAAGTAAATGTAAATATGTAAATTAAGTGGGCCGTCCTAACATTACTGAAGTAGGTTTCGTCAATTTTGAAAAACAGACAGAAGCAATCGATTCTTCAAGTATGTGTACAGTATGTGTACAGTATGTGTACAGTATATGTCATTGTAACAATGGCTTCGAGATGGTGCCTGCTTTCTGAAGTTCTCTGGGAGCTAGCTAACCAGCTTGATAACAGTAAGTTACATCTTACATAAGTCGTCTAATAACTAAATGTTAAGGAATTTTATATTTAGTTTAACAGAATTAGTCAACTATGTGGCATTCACTACATGTTTTTGGGCTTTTTTTTGTTTGTAGCTCCAGCGGCCGTAAATGCGACAAATTCACCGCCCTTGCATGGACACCCTGTGGACGGTTGGTTTCTAAGAAACATTTTTTGATGCGTAATAATGACTGTAATACTCATGAACTAAAGAATGATGTAATTCTGGTATTCCAAATTTACTTCTGTGTAGAGGTTACGATAACACGTTACTCCTCTCGAAATTATGATCCATGAAATAAAGAGAATTTAATTAAATCTTAAGTGTTTAAATCTATTCCAAATAGTAGCTGGTTTTGTTGAGCACGGACTCAACTTTTTTATATTGACAGCGGTTAGTGTGCAGACTGTGAAAGTACGGTACTTCAGACAGCGTTAGCTAACGGCACAGCAAGGTTTTGTTCATAAAATATACTGGCAGTATCTACCGCCAGTATCTAGGCTCTACCGTAGAGCCTTCAGTTATCAGGCCTGCTCGTGGTACCTACGGTCTCTAAATGTACTATGGGAGGTAGAGCCTTCAGTTATCAGGCCTGCTCGTGGTACCTACAGTCTCTAAATGTACTATGGGAGGTAGAGCCTTCAGTTATCAGGCCTGCTCGTGGTACCTACGGTCTCTAAATGTACTATGGGAGGTAGAGCCTTCAGTTATCGTGATACCTACGGTCTCTAAATGTACTATGGGAGGTAGAGCCTTTAGTTATCAGGCCTGCTAGTGGTACCTACGGTCTCTAAATGTACTATGGGAGGTAAAGCCTTCAGTTATCAGGATCCTCTCCTCTGGAATCGTCTTCCAGCCGGGGTCCAAGAGGCAGACACACTCTATATTTTTAAGAATAGACTTAAACCTTTTCTTTTTGATAAATCTTGTAGTTAGGGCTGGCGCTGGTGTAGACCGGCTCCTAGTTATGCTGCTATAGGCTTAGACTACCGGGGGAACTGGCACCTTGAGCTCCTTTTTCTCTCTCTCTCTCTCTCTCTCTGTCTCTCTCTCTCTCTCTCTCTCTCTCTCTTTTGCTCTTTGTGCATATACAGTACATCATATTACTGCATGTATCTATCTGTAAAGCTCCTAAGCTCTCTTAGGCTCCTCACGATCATTGGTGGACGGTTGGTGGACGGTTGGTGGATGGCCTACACAACACCCCCCTTTGGGTCTTTGTAATATAGCATTGAGTAAGGTCTTTTACCTGCTCTTTTGTAATATTAAAAAACAAAGAGTAAGGTCTTTTTACCTGCTCTTTTGTAATATTAAAAAACAAAGAGTAAGGTCTTTTACCTGTTTTTTGTAAATTGTCTCAAGATAACACTTGTTATGAGTTGTAACTATTCAAATAAAAATTGATTGATTGATTGATTGATTGATTGATTGAATGTGTTCATGCCGGGCCCCATATCTTGCAGGAGAAATTTGGTAATGATAGAACACTGCATATCAGAGCTGTTACCACTTATTTTATTAATAACAACATCAAAAAACATCAAATTTTGAGAGCCCACCACAGCCACGCCCTGTGGTAAAACTTTGTGGTTCGCACAACTTTGAATCTTGAACTCGTCTTCATTCATTTGACACCAAACTTGAAATGATCGGATGAACGCCGATTCAGCAAATCAAATATATTTCGCAGCAGGTCTAAAAGAAATGTGAAGCTTATTAAATATATTTTGCAGCCGGTATAACAACATTTGCAGCAAGTTAAATATAGTTTGAAGATGGTATTAAAAGATATGCAGCGAGTAAAATATAATTTGCATTCTCTGAAAAAGTTTTGTGGTTTTTTTTAAATGTTTTTGTGTTTCATGAAACACTTTTGCATGTAGTGAAATGCAAAAAAAAAAAAAATTCCAACTAATTCTTTGAAGCACTGTACGTAAACTAAAACATCTCATGTTATGTACTACTCAGTCTTTCAATAAAGATGATGACGATGATGAAATACGCCTCTGCCAGGTAGGGGGCAGTAATGCTCCGACGAGTTGGTCTGCTCACTGCCATATAAACCTAACGAAGAAGAATAACAACAACAGGACATCAACATGGCGGCCGACAATGATGTAAGTTTATTTATACATGTAAATCAGCACGTACAGAGTAGATTTGCAGACTTAAAAAAAATAAATAAAAAATACGCATATATGAATGTGTGTGTTTCTTTTGTAGCCCGAGACGGAAGTGTTCGAGATCACAGATTTCACCACCGCGTCAGAGTGGGAGCGGTAAGCAATCGTCCACCTGAAGTTAAAGGCCTGCTTTAAGCGAACTACTTGTAAAAACACTCAAATGAATATCAAAAGGAGGCACAATTACAGTTAGCATGCACACAGACGTCTCACATACACATGTTATAGTCAGGATACTACAGGGCAGTTTAACAAAGTCGGTGTGAAGAGTGTCAGTGTTAACTCTGTTGTTGTCTTAGTTACAACAGATGTTGAAGACTGTAAGTGTTGTTACAGGCCGAGATGCCTCTTAGATCGGTGTTTCATTAGAAGAAGAAAAAAAACCCCTCATCTGATCAGTGTTTTTGGCATTACAATAAATAAAAGACAAAAGAGACGAGGGCTGTGCAGCAGTTTCTGCTTTTGGTTGACTGCCTGAGCACTGCAGAGGTGCCTTTGAGCAAAGCACTGGACCCCCAACATGTGCAGACCCCTCACTCTGACATCTCTCCATTAGTGCATGTCCATAGGAACATGTTTTTGCATGTGTGTGTATTTTAGCCTGCGTGTGTAAAAGTGCAAAAGTGTTTTCCACTCAGGGAAATTAATAAAGGAAAGGGAATTGTGAGGTGGGGGTTATTTCTGTATGAGATGGACAATGATGAAATCGTGAATCAGACTGTGGATCATCTTAGATTTATTCAGCCATGGTCAGACAACACAGAAACACAACACACATGGCTGACAAAGTGCAGACCATCGCTGACCCATGCTGACCAAGATCTCACAATCATTGACAATCATTGGCAAAGTGGCCATCATGGGCAAAATGGCAAAGTCTTCATCACACAGTGTTGCTTATATTCTGCTAGAAGGTACAGCCCACAAATTCCTTTCCATTTGGGTACATCACTATAAAACAATAAAGATGACATGACACTGATTTGTATACGTATCAGATGTAGACTCTCTGTCCCGCAAACAGTTGCTGACAACATATAGTTGGCTCCTATCCATTTATAGATCTGCTACTACTTAGGTGCTTCACCCACAGAAGGTTAACGCTTCACAGACCCAAAAGAAGAATTACTGTGAGATGGTTTAAAAAACAATTTAAAGATATGTCCACAAAATTATCAAGATGAATGAATCCATGAAAATACGTACTAACAGGGATCTTCTTGAAAAGTGTGAGATGTGTTCTCTGCTCTTTTGTAACTGTTGTTTAGGGTCTTGAGATAACACGTGTTATAAGTTGGCACTATACAAATAAAGACCGATTGGTAAGTGTCTTTATATGTATAAATGATATAGGAACCCAATGTGTCTGGAAAAATCTACAAGTGACGTCAGTACGCTGTAATCGATTCAGTCCTGTCACTGCATTGATGCATAATCGCCAACGTCTGCATCGCACTGCATCGTAGAAATGATTCATTTCAACACCACTTCTGGACTCATTGGTTCGGACACTACGTTTTCAACATCTGTTGTAGTGATGACAACTAAAACTGAAAGTTGCTAGTTGAAATGGTCACTCTTTAAACTGAAACACCATGATTTATTACATGCTTTCAGTCTAGCTAACTTTATCTTCGTATACATAAATGATATTTTCAGATTTTACCGTCTGTGCCACAGTGTCAGAGCTGTAACCTGAGTGTAAAGCTTTATTTGAAACCCGCCTACGCCTACATCGCATTACAAGTTTACCCTAAGTAGCCTGGCTGTGAGATGCTTTTATTTGGAAGTTGTAGGAAATGTTATGAGTCCGCAGGATTTGATTGGCTGATAAGCGTTAACATGTGCCGATTTACAACAAATCAATTGGTCTGTGACTTTCTTAGACGATAAGTAAAATAGATAACTGTTAATAACTAATTGTGCGCCAGTCAAAATATCATCAGGACGGCATCTGGGTCCGGATCGCAATTGGGGACCTTTGTCATAATACGAATGTTTGGATGGATCTCCTAAAAGTACAAGCAACAGTCACATGTTAAGATGAGTTAGAGTTTTACGCTTCTCAAAGGAAATATGGTTCCAGATTGCTCCAAAATTTCATATCAATGAAATACGAAGGCAAAAAATTTATTATAGAATATTACATGGTTGAGGGTTAAATTTAAAGATACCTACCGTAGTAAGGGAGAACTAGAAGTATGATGCCTTAAGCAACAGAGAAAGCTATGTACAACACAGAGTTCCCACGGGTCCTAAAGAACTCCTTAATGACATTTTTAAAATACAAGGTCTTAATAGTCTTATTTTTTTTACTTGTGACAACTATTACATTTTATATTACTTAAATATACAAGGTCTAGTTGGCCTTTTTTTAAATTCTTTCTTGTAAATATGCTGGTTCACTTGACCTTACATGGTGTTTATTGCAACATATAACATGCATTCAGAAAGAAGAAGAATAAGGAAATGCAACGTCAAGGAAATTCAGTTGAGAAAAATATAGGGAATTGTTAGCAGGGGCAAAAGACGATGATGAGGTGACTGCATGACACTCAAAAAAAAAAAAAAAAAAGAAATCTAAAATTTATACTACTACTTTCAGGTTTGTTTCCAGAGTGGAGGAGGTGTTAAATGATTGGAAGCTGATTGGGAACTCTGCAGGAAGGTCGCCCCCAGATAAGGTATTCCTGCTCTCATTAAGGCTTCAATAATCTTCTATATCAGACAGATGAGCTGCTACTATGTTCTTCACTTTAATTCTGTTCCGATGTTCTTCTGTTTGAACACAGGGTGGATACACAACTGGCACCTGGTTGGAGAAGTCTCAGGATATAAACTTTGCAGACTTTAAATTCTACATAAGTCACTTCACCCTAAAACAAGAAAGTGAGAATGACAACGAGAAGAATACTCTCGAGGAAGGTACAGTCACGCCTGAATTTGTAGGTCACTGGAGTTGATAGATTTATGTGATTTCTTGTGTGTTCCACCTATTGTAAAAAAAACGCCATCAGTTGGGGAGCTGATTTTTTTCTCTCCAACAATCAGTGCCTGACTCTTGTTTTTGTGTTCAGATGCTTTCCCCTCAGCAATGCAGGACCTTCTGTGTATGAACAACGACTTCCCTCCTCGGGCTCACTGCCTGGTTAGATGGTGAGCTTTATCAACTTCCCTGAATGTGCATTTAAACATTCACTGTGATGTATTATTATTATTAAAGCTTATGTCAAGAAAAAGTAACTATAACGTTGTGGTGGAATGTCAGCTCACACTGTGTGATTGAATCATTAATGACTCACAACCAAAGCAATATGCCCTAACAGTGAATGACCTGAGAGCTCACACTGTACGAGTTCAATCAAGAAGGAGCATTTGCAGTTGTCAATAGAAACTCCCACAGACGGAGGTTTAAGTCAGATATATGTTTCATATGCACAGCTCAAATACACACATCAGCAAAAATTCTCTCACTCTGCCTCACACACATGATCCGCATCACATCAATAAACCCTGGGTCACAAAAGAACTGAAATCAGTTATGAATAAATAGAAAAGGATTTTCTACTCGGCCCAACTTCAAAATCAGTTGTATTGAAGAATCAGGTCTAAATCAGCCTGAACACTGTACAGTTTATGTCTGGCTCTACAGAAAAAAGCACCAAATGAATCTGGATCAGAAAGAAAGCACAGTGGAGTAAAATATGATGCTGATTGGTGTTCTGCTGTGACTGTGTTCTTGCTGACAGGTACGGTATACAAGAGTTTGTGGTCATCGCTCCTGGAACCAATTGCGAGGCGATCATCAGTGAGTCCAAATGCAATCTGCTGCTCAGCTCCATCTCCATCGCTCTTGCTAACAGTGGCTGGTGAGTCACCTTTATCACTAAGCACAGTCATACTCATAAGAAGAGCTAGACTTCAGTTATTGAACAAGCCTCTGGATTTGAGTGAAAGAGTCAACTTATTGAAACATCATCATCATCAATCTTCTCTTCCTCTTGTGCTCCCCAGCCAAGTGCCCATGTTTGTGCAGATCCAGCAGAAGTGGAGGCGGATGTATGCTGGAGAGTGTCAAGGTCTAGGTGTGCGCACAGATTTTGAGATGGTGCACCTCCGCAAGGTGCCAAGTCAGTACAACCACCTGTCTGGGCTCCTGGACATCTTCAAGTCAAAGATAGTGAGGGCTAATAATAATGGAATGAATATGATTTTGTTTCCTCACTTTAACCTGGATTACATATTCCTCCTCCTCCTCCTCCTCCTTAGGGTTGTAATCTGTCGCCTCCACCTCCAATAAACATTGCCATCCGCTTCACCTACATCCTCCAGGACTGGCAACAGCACTCGTGGCCACAGCAGCCTCCAGGTCGGCATATAAAGAACAGAAGAAAGTGATAGCACATTACCAAATAAAAGAAAACTAGTTACCAGGGTTGTCACAATGCCTGACTTTTTAAAAGTTAGATCCAATTCTAGCAAAAATGATGCACGCATGATGTTGCTTAAATAGCTCTGTCATCACGGGAGACGTACAGTACCTCCTATATTCTCACAGTTATCTGCAAATGCAGGTTGAGCTACAGAGGATAGTTGAACACTTTTGCTTGGAGCCCTGTTGGATGTTTTACATCACCTAAAAATGCAGTCAAATTATTTGAGTATTGTTTTAAAAGACATGGTATCAAAAAGTATTGAAGTATCAAATATTTTGACAACCTCAGCGGTAAAACAATACGGTATGTTGGCCTGTTCAGTGACTTAGGACTCTTTGTTTGTTTGTGCTTAGACTTCCACCACATTGTGCACAGTTACTGAAGAGCTTTATATGTTCTTCTCCCTAATAATAATAATAATAGTAGTACTTTTTTTTTTTCTTCTATTGTGTGTTTTGATTGCCTGTGGCGCAGACTTTGACACACTACTTGGAGGTGAGGTGGGAGGAGTTGAGTTTGGCAAACTTCCTTTTGGAGCCTGCGAGGAGCCAATCAGGTAAAGACTTACAGATTTCTCAGATGTAGGCTCTGAAATTCTGCTCTACTTTCAAAAGAAAACTGATATTATTATTCATTTCTTAACAGTATCTTTGGTAAATGTTAAACTTTATGACAATAAGAAAATTATGTAAATATTCTCTGTGTGTCTGTTTTACTTTTTGTAGTGAGCTTCATCTTGCAACCACCTGGCCTCACCTGACAGAAGGCATTGTTGTGGATAATGACGTCTACAGGTAAGAATCTTTCTCGATGGTATCTTGGTGCTTGCTGGTTCATGGTGTGATATTTCCCCCCCCCGTTATGCTTCATCTGCATTGTGTAATACAGGGCCAGATCTACTAAAGGTTTGCGTCTCTTAAAACATGCGCAAACTTGATACCACCAGCAAAAAAAAAAGTGCTATCTGATCTACTAACGGCGCGCAGTGAGGATTGCGTCTTTCAAATGAGCAAAACAACACGCATTGACCATTTAGTACATTTGCCTTAATGAATATGCAATATGGGGCGTTTCTGCCCTAACGTGCAAAACACTGGGAGGAGAAAATGCAAACAAGTTAAGTTAGTACACGCATTGAGATTCACCAAACCTGGCAAAAATTGCGGTGATTATGACGGTGTCTGTATTTAACACCTTTTGAAAGGAAGGTGCTAATCCAGGAGACCAGTGTTACACACAACAGGCTGCTGTTATTGAAGTTAGGAGGAGACATAGGCTCAATAAAAGAAGACATAAAGATCGTGTTTTTCCCCACGTGTGTTTACATGTTTCAAATGATTTGATACAATATTCTGATCTTTAAGGAAGAGAAACAGCTTGATTAAACTACAGGCTTTTGTTGCCATAGCCTACAGCCAAAGAAAACTGAACATTCACAGCCTCTGAATTCTATAGAATTTCAACATTGACATTTATGTCTTCTTATTTCCCTCTTTTCGCCAACATTACATTTTAAACTTCTTCTTTTCCTCGGGTCGTGCGTCTCTCCCCCAGCTCCCCTCCGGTGCGCTCCTCTCCATAATGCGCTCGTCACCGCCCTCTAAAGCCCGCTGCTGCTACTCTGTAGGATGCTTGGATTGGGGGACCTCGCCACTGTTTGTACCCCCGTCTTCGATACCTTTTTCCAGGGCATTTATATTTGATCAGACACAGCACTGGCCAGCTGTCTAGTGCGCAACAACGGCGAGTGTACAGCGCCCGTGCCACAGAGGACACAGCTCGCACCTCCTGCACAATGTATTTCACTTCATTCTTAAGATTAAGGGAAGAAAAGAGAGGCCCTGTTTTATGCCGAGGTTTTCTCATAACCAAAATTTTCTTTGTAATATTCAGATTTATCTCCTATAACTCAAAAGTATTGTGCGTTTATTTGCCTCTCCCACTAACACCTATTTTGCACTTGCAGTCATCCTGCTTTCTGTCCAAACTCTCCGTGATGTAAACCAGTAACACGCAAAAGCCTAACTTAAATAGTACCGCCTCCACAAGGTTTGCACCTGTTGTCATTCACGCAAATTTTCTTAGTAGATCAGCCGCAAAACGCCCACCAACCAAACGTGCAAACATTTGGAGTGAACACGCAATTTAGTACTCTTTAATTGGGAGTTTAGGCATAATGGTGGGGCAAAGTCGTTCCACCAATGATCCACTATCGCAGGTAGTAACAAAGAGTGCGTGCATGCGGAATGGTTCCTCATACGCACGTACGTGTGATTATTTCATAAAAGTCTCACGCATTTGAAGCCGTGGGACTTTTATGAAATAATCACACGTAAGTGCGTACGTCCGGCGTGCATGAAACACGTTAAATACACGTGATACAGAAACTGTTGAACATTATGGACAATAACATGCATCCCTTACACGATCTCGTGTTTCAACAAAAGAGTTTTTAGTGGGACTCTACGGCAGCTAAGCTGCAAAAAGTACAGATTTAAAAATACTGTTTTACCTACTACAATTGCACTTTATAACGACTCCCCTTTAAGTGAGGACAGAAGACATAAGGACAACTTTTGAACTTTAGCCTGAGCTGCATATATATATCAAACTGTATTTTGCACCTGTATATCTGCACACTTTACTGCTTTTTTATCATAATTCTTTATTTATTTATCATACTATGCACTGGCAGAGCTAGTATTTTGTACTGTTATCTGAGTAACAGCTACTTCCATCCATACCACTTTTTTTTATCCTGGCTATGTATTGTGGGCTCTATGTATTGTGGTATATGTATGTATATATGTGTTGTGTTGTGTGTATGTATGCTGGCTGCTGGAAAACCTACATTTCCCTGCTGGTATAAGTATATCTTATGTTATCTTAATCTTGTGTGATGAACCATTCCGCGCGCCATAGCTTGCGTGCGTCTGTGTGGTACAGGACATTTCATAAGTGCTGAACCATGGATTAAACCCTTTTTATCAATTCAAGGCTTATCAGAAATCAAACAACAGACAGCTGCTATGAGGGACAAACAGTAACTTAAGTAGAAATAAATAAATACAAATATCAATACATAATTGCAAGAAAAATAATAAATAAATAAATGCTGGAATTAGCGCATCAATAAATTTTTTTTCTACAATTATATATTCATACATTTTTACATTTCAACATCTATTTATTTCTGTATTCCTGTGTCCATGTTGTATGAGGAAAAGTATTTATGTAAATTAGGTGGGCGATCCTAACATCACTGATGAATTTGTGTCACAGCATCATTGATTTAAAGCTACTATGAGGAGTCTTTTTTTTTATCTTGATATAAAACAGACTTGACCTTATACTGAATTCTCTTCATGACTTACATAAATTCTTAATAATGATTGGTATATTTGACTGCAAGGAGAGAGCAGGATGATTATTGTGTTAAAGAAACACCATCTTCACATGTACAGGATCAAATCATCAAAGAAACAAGAGGCACCTCTTTGTCGACACAACCTGAATGTTCCTCCCAGGAGCTTTCAAGGACACTCTCTGTTTTTCCACCAACTCTGTGACCTTTATACATCAGGGCAATATACAGTAGCAGGGGCATTTTTGAATATCAAATATGAAGGAAGACTCTTCCCACATCCATATTTGTGACAAACTGTTTCAGGTATACAGGTCGTAAATAAACAGACCAACTGTAGATCTTTTTCTGATCTGATTTAAACATCTATATTCTGTTTTTTTGACCCGGCAGTGACCTGGACCCACTTCAGGCTCCTCACTGGTCTGTCAGAGTGCGGACAGCTGAAAACCCTCAGTGTTTACTGGGTAAGATCAACTTTCAGAAGCCACTTTTAAATCCAATTTCTGCATCTTTGAAGGCTGAAAATAGTATATTAGCATTTTACGCCTGTTTATTATACAACTTATCCTGCTTCAATTGGTGTTTATACTCTTCTATACAAGCAAGGCCTTTTTTACAACATTAACCATTCTGAATCTCACTGCTTCGGACAGCAGAGCCTTTAAAGCTTTTTTTAATAAATTCATTCCGTTTTTTTTTCTTTATTAGAAGCATCAAATGTGAAGAGAGCCTTTATTATATCATGTATTTAAAAACATTGAGTATTTTTATAATGATTTGACAGGTGACTTCCTGTCGGAGTTCTTTAAGCTCTGCTGTAAGAAGGAGTCTACAGAGGAGTTTCTGGGGAGAGGATTGGTTGAAGAGGAGGGCCAAGGTGAGCTCACTGCCTGTGTATAGTTTAACACTTTTATTCTTGCTAATGTCACTAAAACATAATTTACTACTACTATCCCTGGTGTTTGGGAAGTGTTTGAATAGATTTTCTCAACTCTAAACATGACCTCCGAGAAGCAACATACAAACATAATTATTACACTTTCAGTAAGCAGATGAAGCTACATTCAAATGACTGAAATCTAAATAACTCTTTGTTTTTATTTTCCCCTGCAGAAAACACTGACATCAGCTCAGCATTATCAAGACTCACAGAGCCTACTGCAACAGTACCCATCTCAAAACTGTCCGTCTCTAACATGGTGCACAGCGCACGAAAACACATCAGACGCCACCGCCGTGTTGCCGAGTCACCGCTCAACAATGATGTTCTCAATTCTGTCCTGCTGGTAAGGGCGATTCATCATGGCTGTTTTATATTTGCTACATTTCACAATGTATGTCTAAATTAAGTGTTCATGCTAGGGGTGGGAAACGCAGGGTAAGTCATTATATTTGTATTTTGTATATCTGTATTTGTATTTTTATACCATTGCAGTTTGCACCGTGGTTTGGAGAGAAACTATTTTTCTGTATGTCCAGTACGTATGGACAAATTGACAATAAAGATGACTTTGACTTTGAGATGGCCTCAAATGTCAGGTGTAACACAGCTGTAAGGGCTGCAACATAATCCCTGCAGACAAATGTGCATGATCAAAGAAGATCCAAGAAACCTGCTGGTTTTTAACCAGGAGTTTAAAAAAAAAAATTTTTTGTGTTTTGTTTTGTTTCAGTGTCTCTTCCCAGATGCTGCAGTGGAGAAGTCATCAGACAACAGCAAGAATAAACCTGCACAGTCGAACGCCTGTGGGAAAACTGAGCAAGACAAGAACTCTGACTACGTATGTTTGACCTTTTGAAAGACTTTTCATGCTGTGACAGTTTGACATCTAAGGTTTTAGGTCATTTTGGTGTTTTCAGAGTCAGAGATGTTATTGATAATTAAACATACTCGTGTACACACTGCAGAACGATATAAGGAACTATTATGATTGCAGAACCAGTGAAAGCAATTAATATAAGAAAATGACATGTCACAAAAAATAAATAGCAAAAATAATAATAATCATCTTGTACATAAAAGACATATATGAACACAAATCCCACTGACACAAGCTGCTCCTGGGTCGTGGAGGTACAGGAGAGCCTTCTGGGGTTGCCTACAGTTAGATTTATGTATGAAAACAATACTATATCCGTCTGTGGGTTCTCATTTGTGTCACCTTTAAAGTCCCCACCTACTGAATGTGGTTTTAAGAATACAGTTCAATTGCTTTTCATGTTGTGTTCCTTTTGGTGGTTTTAAGATTGTCAAAAATATATTTCTTAACATCAGTGGCTGTGGCTCAGTGGTATAGTCAGTCGTCTCTCAACCGGAAGTTGGGGCGTTTGACCCCCAGCTCCTCCAGCCACATATGCAGCCTGATAACACGCTTTACAAGCAGCATTTAACATATGAATCATATGTAAAGTGGTAAATATTTAAATGTAACTTTTCTACAAACTGATAATCTGTCAGTCCTTCTTTTTGCCCTTCTCTCTTTCTGTTTGCAGAATATTTACCTGCAGCTGAAGTCAGCTCCCATCGACAGTCTGACCTACAGACTGGCTCTGTGCGTTTGTCTGATCAACTACAACCACGGCGGGCTGCGAGCCGTCGCCCACCTCTGGCAGGAGTTTGTTCTTGAATTACGCTACCGATGGGAAAACAACCATCTCATCTATGGGTGGGAAACTACTGTGTTCTTTACTATTATGAGTTCTGTATCTCCAGGAAGATCACTATACAATGCCATGAACCTTGTACTGTTGTACAAGAAAAGACAGTCATTTTAATGATCCTCTTGAATCATATGCAGATTGGGGCGGCTTTGGCTCATTTGGTAGGGTCGTCTCTCAACCAGAAGGTTGAGGGTTCAATCCCCAGCTCCTGCAGTAACATGTCCGATGTGTCCTTGGGCGAGACACTTCCCCAGTTGCTTCCGCTGCTTTGTCTGCGGTGTATGAATGTGTATGAATGGGATTAGTCACTTTACACAGCAGCCTCTACCATCAGTGTGTGAATGTGTAAGTGTGACATGCGATGTGTAAACGCGCTTTGAGTAGTCAGAAGACTAGAAAAGAAATATACAAGCTCAAGTCCATTTACTATTTATTTTACATATCTATCACCATCCACTTCAGTTTAGTATACAGACTGACAAAATACATAAACTTACAGGTGCCTTCAGCTAACATACCTAACAAATGCAAGATCATTATGAAGGTTTACTTTTAGAGGCCCATTAATAAATAGTGCTTCATGCAGATAAAAACAGAGCATTCAGAACATCATTAAATCTCCTGTGAGGAGTTTTTTAGCTGGTTATGAAAAAGTCTGAGCTTAATACTGGTGTCTCTTTATGACCTAAAAAAGCAAACTAGGCCGTCAGCATCATCAAGTTTTTGTTTATATTTATTTTTAGTGGCAGAAACTGCTGCCGGGATGTAATGTGTCAGATTAAGTCATAAAACGTACGCTGCATTTGACTGTTAAGAGTAAGCAGGATTTTGTCACAAAGCACCACTTACACCTTCTACATGTACAGGAAGAAATCCACAAAACACACAAACCAAAAGTTCCACACAGGAGCTTTAAGCAAAAATAAGACATAAAAATAATACATTTATTATCATCTTTTAACCACTCCCCTGCATAGGCCTCAGTCTTTTCTCCTAAAATGCCTTTCCAACACAAATATTAGATACGCCTTTTAAAGTCAACTTGTCAGTTAAGGTCATTTGTTTTTCTGTGGGGCTTCAAAATCAGCAAGTTGTTTTCCAAACGTCCTCTTATGGAGTCTCTAACTCTTCATATATTCTAAAGAGACTTGAACCCTCTTAGTGCATTCACATGATTCTTAAATAAAGATAAGCTGCAGCTTGTGAAGTTGAATTATTGGATTATGTGCTTTATCAAGTGAATATTGTCATGTTCATTGTTAATTGTCTTCTCTTTCCGTGTCTTATGACCTGCAGACTGGCAGCTGGACCTCCAGATCTCCGCTGTTGTCTTTTGCATCAGAAGCTCCAGGTAACTCTTTTAAGTGTGTTTGAGCTGAAGTCACAAATTAAAATGGTTTGAACACAGAAAACATTAACAATGGTTGTGATTATTTCATATATAATTATGAATAAATCATAACGGAGGACAGAGCCCAAAGCCAGCCCGTTATGAGAACGCCCCCAGTAAGATCTTAAACTCCTGTCAGTATGTAAATGATCTACAATCTGAAATACTCGGAATAAGCTTTCAGAGTTATCGTTAAGGTTCTTCATATTTACAGTCAGACCTGCGGAATTTTACCAAAAGAGAAAAAGTCGTTACTTTAAGAACAAAATGTTTGATTTTCCTGCACAGATGCTGAACTGCTGCATTGAGAGGAAGAGGGCAAGAGATGAAGCTCGCCGGGCTCAGGAGGGAAGCAAAGAACGAGAGCGCAGGAGCAGCCAGAATGGCCGCCCCACGTCGGACTCCACGGCTCCATCTACCTCGATGAAAGAGGTGTCTTCTGGGAAATCTTGGGACTCCTGGAGCGACAGCGAGGATGAGTTCTTTGAGTGTGTGAGTGACCAGGGGGAGACGGAGTTCTCCCACACCGAGGGTGAAAAAGACAGCAGTAAAAATAAAGCAGAGGGAAGACTCCATCCGTACAACAACACAACTCTGCTGAAGTCTACAGAGCCACTCTACGTCCCCATCACACAGGTCAGACTCTTTATTTAAATGAACAGATTCATTCAGAGAGCGTTTGCTTTATTCCTTCAACTCAATAGCAATGATCCATTTGCAGTGTTTCCCCTACCATTATATTAGGGGGACGGCCCGCCAAGGTCAAGTAAAAAAAAAAAGAATACTCTTTTTTTTTTTTTAAGATTTATTTTTGGGCTTTTTGTGCATTTATTGTCGGGATAGGATAGTGGATAGAGTCGGGAATCAGGGAAAGAAGTCATTTAAGGATACTTTTCCGATAGAAAAGGACAGCTGTCATTAAAAGTAACACATGAACACCAAGATTCCTTCAAGTGTTTGTGTCGGCGTGTGTCTCCCCCAACGCTGTAAACCTAGGGGAATCACTGATCTGTGCCTGAATTTGTCATTTTACTGATGATAAACATTCCAGGTGTTGATGTCAATGCTTCATCTGGTTATTCAAAAGGTTTAATCTGGATTAGAGTTATCCAGATTTGGTGATTCACTTTCTTTTCTAAACAGGATCACATATCACGCAGCTCACTTCATCCTGGTTTTTAGAAGAAAAAATGAATTGGATCGACTTTATCAGGATGCAGACTGTTAAATATGAACAATTCTGGTTAACCAGCGCTTTAAAATTGACTTCACACTACATACTTTGTCCAAAAGGGAGTGCCAAAATCCACACAAACTTTAAGCTCCTTACCGTTACTTTAAATGAAACATTCAATCTTTAATATTGATGCTACTCTAATAATGCTTTATCATGTGTATGACCATGATGTACTTTTCATCTTCTTGAACATCAAAGTTGTACAGATTTCTAGAAATAGTCTTAAAATATAGATTACCGTTTTCGGAGGCTATAGTCTTTGAAGTGGGTGGCCTGGCTTCAAATCTAACCTGAGGCTCCTTTCCCACGTGTCACTCCCCACAAAAATAAAACTTTAAAACAAGGTTGTACTGTTTGACCAATACAACAGCTTTCTTAAATTAGTTTTTCTGTAATCCAGTCTGAATCCATTTTGAGATTTGATCTGGATTACAACAGGATTGGATTCTCTGATTACTGGATTCTCTGAACAACCTGATGTCAGGATTTGATCTTACCTGATACCTTTATTCCTGTTGATTACTTTTGAACAACCAGACCAACAACCTCACCAAAATCTTTCAAATATATGAAATCATTGCAGAATAAATAAGTGAAATACTTTCAATACTTTCATCATCATGAAAGTATGATGACCAAACACAGTGAACCTTAAAATACCGGTATACGAATGCATAATCATTTTCTAATTATTTTCTAGCACCAAATAAAAGTCCGGTGTCCAGCTGCTCCTGTCATCATGTCTTGAGACATTTGTTATGGATTTTGTGCTTTACAATCAAAAAAAAAAAAAAGTTTGTTGATTGAAAAATAAATCATCTGAAGTGTCTTTTTTGAAGAAAAAAAAAACAGAAGCTAAACAAAAACTGTTGTTTGATTTCTAGGAACCTGCTCCTATGACAGAGGATCTGTTGGAGGAACAGTCTGAGGTTTTGGCCAAACTGGGAACGTCAGCTGAAGGTTCCCACCTCAGGGCCCGAATGCAGAGCGCCTGTCTGCTGTCTGACATGGAGTCCTTTAAGGTGAGACCCATGATGCTTTTATCAAACACACATGATGAACAAAGTGTGAGTGCATGTGCTTTTTCAATGTGTTCTTGCTACTACTTACCACAGGAGAGATATCCAAACACATATGCACAAAGCTCCTGAAAATTTCCCGAAAATGTTTTTAGAGCTGCATGTGCTCAACGTTGCCTGGCGGCTCCATTTTAATATTTCTGTGAGAAGTGTGGTGAGCCTGTGTGAGCGCAGCAGGAAATATCCAGGAAAATGAATTGTGAGCACGCAGGCAAGGTTGATGACTTTTCTATGATGCGACTGGTGCATTCTTGGTGCATGTAATTAAGCTGCTTCATACTCTTTGCTGCCTGCCAGAATGTTCTTTCCACTCGTTGGCTGATACTGTGATGTTGTAGTATTGATATGAAGGCTAAAGTCTGTAACTATAGTGTCAAACTCTGTTGCTTTGTCAGCCATCTTGGATTTTTGGAGGGTTTTTATTACTTCATGTCCTGCCGCTGCCAAAATATGACTGAATAGTTTTTTTTTAAAGCTTCCGTACTTTTTGATTCTGTCGATCATTAAAACTAATCTATCATTTAAAAACATGTGCTATCAAAAAGTAGCATTAGTTCTTTTTTTGCACAAATGTGTTTTGGAAATGCTGCTAAATTTATTATCACTAAGTTCCCATATTGCTGTTAAAAGAGTTGACCCTAATCTTATGGGGATGAATGCAGATGAATGTAAGAAAAGTACAATTCAAACATTCACAAACACTACACAGGCAGCAAACCCGGGCTGTGTGCTGGAGGACTTTGTGCGCTGGTACTCGCCACGGGATTATGTAGAGGAGCAGGTGGAGGATGACAGCGGCAACAAGGTGTTGAAAGGAGAGCTGAGTGCCAGGATGAAGATCCCAGGAAACATGTGGGTGGAGGCCTGGGAGACAGCCAGAGTCACACCTGCACGCCGCCAGAGACGACTGTTCGACGACACCAAGGAGGCTGAAAAGGTGACTCCATCTAATGACTCTGCGATGTTGTAGTCAGTCGTGAAGCAGTGCAGATAGAACAGATGTTGCTAAGAGGGGGAAGGTTGATGGGGGGGAAAAATAAACCTGTGGTATTTCTGTCTCATCAGGTTCTGCACTATCTAGCAGTGCTGAAACCTGCAGACGTGACTCGTCATCTCCTGCCCTGCATCCTCACTCTGCCATTCTGAAGCTGAAAGAGGAAGGTGAGCCGAACCAAAACATTCTTGTGTTGGGAAGACCTTTCATGTGCAAGAGGGAGCAAAATATCAGTAATGAAATAGGCACAAGACAGCATTCCTTCTAATGCAGATGGTGAGAGATCAAAGAAAACTGATGTGCAGCACTGCTATAGAAAATGAAGTCTACAATTTGTTACATCATGTAAGCCATTTTGACCAGTTTTCTTCAAAGTTATCAAATAGTGAGTTCAGCTTAATTGTAATTATTTCCATAGTATAAATCTTATAGGCTACATCGATCCTTTAATTTATTGTTGGTCTTTCTTCAATCTTTAATCTGCCACCAGCAACAGCCTTTATATGTATTCATCCCGTTTTGAAGCTCTTCTAAACCCAAGGTTGATTTCATGTAAAAAGCACTTACATTGTTGTCTCTCAAACATGACAAAGCATAAGTTTACTTACCGATGGCAATTCTTTTTTCAAGGTCTGACCTTGTGTTTGTGATTTTGTCAAATTTCAAAATGTTCTTTCTTTAAATGACTATAATTGACAACAAAAACAAACTTTTAAATAACTTTTCTTTAATGAAATTTCATTTTTATGTTTAAACACTGACTAACACTGACACTAGGCTAACTGTTCATGACGTCCCCAGGTTACCTGTTAAGTAAAACATGTTTCACTCTTTTCAGCTGCATTCTGCACAACTCTGAAGGAATTAGGAATGACCAAACACTTAACTACAATTGACGACTATTTCATTTGGCTAAATCTCTGCCTGGGAGAACAACATTTGCAGCTACAGAGAGTTTTTATCTTGTTTTTTAAATTCTTTAATTGTCAATATTTTGTCTCACAAATGCTCACGCATTGAGGTTTTACCATTTAAATAATATTAATGAATGAAATCTTTATTGTAGATGTCTGACATGTAATCTTTATCTTTATTGAGAGGATAATAACATAAAATAAATCAATACACTGGAAATACTAATCAAGAATATTAAATATTTAATATACTTGATTAGTATAATATTTAAAGAAATGAGATCTGCTAGGAGAGAGAGAGAGAGCATAGGTATGGACAGTGCACATGCAAAACAAAATGGGATCTGAGCGTGCTATATCATACAGCTGTATTACAGCTTGAATCTATCACACTGTTACTCCTATTAAACATCTCTTCTTGATCTCCTCCACAGAGTCAGTAGAAGACATTCCCTCAGTCAGAAAAAACATTCGACAATCAACGAGTCAGGCAAGCAAGCTGCTGCACCCGCCTAACTACGACTACAAGAAGATAGAGGTCAGTGGGACAGGAAAGCAGCTGATGAGACAGAAAGTCTTCTGCTTTGTGTCATTTCAGTCTGTCTTTGAATTCATAACAACATGATTGACAAATCTGATAAAAGAAAGCAGCTATTTTGTTTGAGGCATATCTCAACGATAACTTAACCTAACTTTTTATATTTATCAATGTTTAATGACCTCAGTTTTTAGCCTGTTGCACTTTGAAGTCCGTGTAAATGTGTACGTATCACAGGCTCAACACCTCTTCATCTTAGCCTGTTTTAACTTCAAATCTAACATGTCCAAACACTCACTGAGACACACCAACCTCATGAAAAATACAATGTTTGACTTTTCCCCTGCTGTAGGATTTTATCAACCAGCTGATCGCCATGGAGACCGTCATCACCAGAGCACGCTCACTGAAGGCCAAATTTTCTATCTGTGAGGGCGAGAAGGGAGAAGATACAGAAGAGCTGGAGAAGTAAAAGACACGACAAGGATATGAACATGTATAACATAAATGTTTTAGAAATGAGGAACGTGAAGTGAGGCTGTGCTGAGCCCCTGAAGGGAAATTATGTATTTTAACACGAGATCTGAGGAGGGTTAAGTTAGGTTAATGTATGGCTTTGCTGTACCCCTGCATGGATCACGTTACTACTTCTATAAGGACATCTTTATAGGAGAGATGTGTTCTTTTAAACTTGGCCTTATTCTCATATGTTTTGGGGGTTAAATAACTTGACCAGCAGCTATATTAGGAGTCACAGCGAAACTTGAAGTTAGCTCTATTGAGACCACTTTACTGCCCATTGCCACCGAAATCATGTCTGATATCTTTCTCCAGGTTTGTGAGCTCCCTGCTGGAGGAACCAGAGGTGGAGGTGATCGGAGCGGGCCAGGGGCCGGCTGGGAGCATCATCCACAAAATGTTCATCAACGCTCAGAGAGTAAGGAACCTTCTCATGTCCTTTTCAAAGATAAAGATAAACTTTATTGATCCCCCATGGGGGACATTTTTTTGTCACAACAGCTCAAGAAACAGGAATATAATTGTAAAAAAAACATATTAAAAATCAAACATATGTACATCAGTTAAATAAAGGGAGAAAAAATACAATAATAGAATAATACTAGGTATGCACAGTTCCACTTGTGGAAGAGTTATTATTAAAAACACACACAGTGTGAAGCATTGTTGATATGAGTCATGAGGTGTTGATGCTGTTAAAGAGTCTGATTAAACAGTCTGATGGCAGATGGAATGGGTTGTTGAGGGGGGTGACAGGGTGCTCAGAAGGAGTGTTTTAGAAGTTGGCTGGTCTGCGCTCTGGTGTGTGGTGGTGGGGATGGGAGCAGAATCAAATCTATTGAAGAACAGATTCAGTTTATTTGCCCACTCCCTGTCTCCTGCTTCAGGGCCCCTCCCACGACCTCTTCTGTGACCTGAGATCTTATTCAGGCCTCTCCAGACTTCCCTTGCATTTTTCTGTTGTAATTGCTCCTCCATCTTTGCCCGGTAGCTAGCTTTCCCCTCCTTGATTTTTTTCTTTGAGCTCCTCCTGCACCCTCCTCAGCTCCTCTCTATCTCTCTATCTAAAACCCTCTTCTTTTCCAGCAGCAGGGATTTCAGCTCAGGGGTCACCCAGGGTTTGTTGTTGGAGAAACACTGTACCAAAGTTTTATTGTCCCTGGTATGGCACTCAACATACTGAGTGAAAGTAGGGAGAGTGGCAGACAGGGAAGCGTGATTAAAGTCTGTGACAGTGACACTGTCATGATTTATGTGCCAATACAGGTGTGAGAAATCATTCCTGTTTAACAATGTAAGTCAATAGCCCTGTTCAGATTGTGTTTCTTCAAAAGCGCCGTAACTAAGCTCAGCCGCCATCACGACTTTGTATATTCATATTGATTCGAGATGGCGTAATATTGTTGTCTCAGTCGGTGAATTCAAATTGCATTTTAGCGTTGTGAAAGTGACGCGCAGCTGGAGCTACACATGAACACATCCAATCAGACATGCACGAAACACACCGTGCTGTGCTGCCCCCCGCTGGCTCAGCTGTTACTACCTCTGAAGGCAGAACAGTGAGGGGTGTCACTTCGTCCCTCCGTTACGCCTCCACAATATTCAGATTGAAGGCGAAACATCACAGGGACACTAATATCGGACCTTCAAGAACAGTCTGAATAGTGACAATATGAAAATATCTCTCATTTACTGTTTCCCCACTATTCATAGAATCAACCACCCTGTAATCAGCCATGGGTCATCAGCATCCGCTCTTGTGACTATTTTAAGACCTTTTGTGGATTATTCTTCTATAACCTTGTATTTTCCTGCTTTGGAAACAGGTTTTTTCTAAATGTTGTAAACCTTTTTCTCTGAGCTGTGATGAAGTTGACGGTTATCATAAGACTTCTACTGTTAAACTGTGCTGCGTCTAAGCTTGTGTGTTTCTTTATTCTTCCTAGGTACATAAATATTAGCTTTTTCATGTTTCTGTATATGCATTTCCGACTTTCCACTGTGTCTTCTTGTTGTTTCTCCTCCTGCTGCCTAACATCAAGCTGGCTGACTTCACCAGTGATGAGGTAACCGAGAGAAATGAGACTTCTCCTCCAGTTCCTGATTAACACTCCGACAACAAACACTAACAAATAATACATCAAATGACTAGATACATATTGTGAAAACTGTTTCATTATCTCATTGAATGTATTGAATGTGTAGGCAGTAATAAATTGTTCCAACACAGACTTCATCAGCCCCCCCGTCAACCTTTTCACTGCCGGTTGGTAACATTTCACCTTCTCTCCCCCTTCAGGCTGCCCTCCTATCAGCTCTGGAGGAGGACCTTAGCTCCGACAGAAAGCCAACTGGGGGAAGCAACAAAGTGCCTGACTTTCCCCCTCCAGCAGGCCGGGAGATCCTGCTGCGGACGTGTGTCCCTCGGCCCACACCGTACTCCAAAGCTTTGCCACAGCGGCTCTTTTGTGTGCTGATGAAGGAGGAGTTCAGGCTGGCGGGGGCCTTCTCTTCAGACACCTCATTCTTCTGAGACCAAAATGCCTAAAACACAGCATTCCATCTCATAACATACTTGGTTTGCAAATGACTGAGCTCTGCGGTCTACACCTCGAATCCAGAACCGAAGCCGTGAAGACGTTCACATGGCCCCACTTCACTCTTAACGGTCCATATTATAATCTTTTAAACAAGTTTAAATGTGTTTCAAAGCTCCACAAGACATGCCCTAATGTTAACAGTGAGAAGGCAGACTCAGAGGGCAGAACAAACACCTTACTGCCCTTTGTGATGTCATGAAGGGAAAACCGCCTGTTCGAGCACACATTTTCTGAAAAGTGAAGCAGGTTAAAAGACGGAGAGGATGAACATTTCTCATAATTGGGGTTTTGTAGACAGACTAGGGCCACACAAAACCATGGTAAAGTTTATTTTGCACAATATGTGACCTTTAACTTTCAGAAGTTACACTTGGTTTCGGGTAAATTAATTTGTTTGAGAGGCATGTGAGAAAAATGAATCTTTAATGTTTAAGTTTGATCTGAATTGTTTTCTCTGTTTGATTATGACAGTCAAATTTCAGGATCATTTATTTGAATAACTTTTTTTCTTTATCAGTAAAACCATGAGGTAAAAGAGCCAGTGAAAACTTACTAAGAATTTTTAGCAGGTAAAAGATAAACATGGGGCCTTTTTTTAGGTTAGGGGCTTTTATGCCTTTATTAATTAGACCAGACGGAGATCACCATCTCACCAAATAGCACCAGAACTAGGAATTAAAACCTGTGAGCAGTTCTTTAGGGACTACAGCCTCTGTACGTAGGAGCCCCTCTTTATGAATGTGTTTGTGCTAAACTTTTTCACCTGTTTTTACAGATGGAAATCGGGAATATAGAGAGATTAACCCTGAAACATATGTTTTAGTCAATAAACGAGAAAACGATCTTGATCAGACTTTGATAACTTTTTTTTTTTTACTTTGTTCTCAGAGCTTCAAATAACAAACAGTGCAGGCATGACATCCTGTACCTGTATCTGCTACATGCCTCTAGATAACACTTCACAATTACAGAATTACAATCAGAAAAGAAGAGACAGATACCCCCTCTATTGCATTGTGATACTTCAATGTCATGTTCTGCCAACTAATTAAATTTCCTGCACACAATTATAAATATGAAGCAGGAATTATTAGCTTGAAGAAATATCACTAATTTATTCTCATTTCTGTCCATGAAAACTACAAAATATACGTCTTAAATATAACTATCAACTGGTGATTATTAACACTGCTACGACTCCTTTATTTAACCTTCAGTGCACATTCAGATAACTTAGTTGTAACTTTGGCCTCTTGTTTCTCATGTTCTGATCTCCTATATGTACATTTACTGATGTGTCCCTGTTATTGACCCATGCCAAGTGACATATGCTATCACTATCACATGTTTTATCTTTGTGTTGTGTTGTGTGAGAGTTTACTGAACTCACTTTCTGACCGCATTTCAACACTATTTTGTCGCTTAATCTGAAACGAGAGGAAGCTTGTTGATACAAACCTGCCCTCACATATAAATCAATGAAACCTGCTCTGAAGTACAACATTGGTAAAACAATGTTTTTATTGCTGCATTAGAAGCCTGGGTGATTTAACTCACGTGTGTTGAAATAAAAACCTGTTGTTTAGTCATTTTAATGATGCTTGTCTTACCAAGTGATGCGAGTCTGCTGTGTATGTCAGAAATGTTAAATGTACAGTCAGAAATAAAATAAATATGTGCTCCTGACTTCAACTTCATCATTTGAACACTCACCTGGCTGGCCATTAAAGGTTGTTCTACATAAGAGAGGGATTTAACTGTAGTTGTTCAGCGTTGGTGTGAATAAAAAGATGTTTGGAAGCAGAAAATCTTTGCAAAAATGGAATGTTGGAAATATTAACCAACATTTTTAAATGAATCTATAATGATAATAGACTAAACCAACTGACAGAAACACAACCTCACAGCAAGCTACTACAAGCAACAATACCTTTAGGCGTCAGCACCTGATTCCTAGAGGCAGTAAGGATATGATTTTGATTTGACACTTCCATTTAGAATACGTAAAAAGTGGTAAATGGACTTGAGCTTGTATAGCGCTTTTCCAGTCTTCAGACTACTCAAGGTGCTTTTACATCACAGGTAACTCGTACTATTTCACACTCATTCACACTGATGGTGGAGGCTCTTATGATGTTTTTTCAAATATTCTTTCATTTTGGTAATTTTGTCGTTATATTATTTTAAATCTGTTTACCATCGAAAGTAACTTTTCATTTAGGTCTGTATAGATGTAAAAGTATGTCAAGTTTTTTTTGAGAATTTACAGGAAACAAGATCTGATATTTACTAGTTTATGTAATGTCGTCTTTCTAGCCTATAAGGAGTTTACCCAAATAAAAAGGAATTTGTAGGCATACCTTCTAAAAGAATATAAGCAAGACCGTTAACATGATGAGTGTGTTGTAGCTGTTTTCTGCCCTCGACCAAATAAATCCTAAAATAATCCACAGTCAATTTCACGATTTCAACACTGAACAATTCCAGAAGAAACACCCCCACCTAACATATGTGGGGCGGCTGTGGCTCAGTTGGTAGAGTTGGACGTCTCTCAACCCAAAGGTCGGGGTTTGATTCCCAGGTCCTGCTGCCACAAGTCCAATGTGTCCTTGGGCAAGACACTTCAACACCAAGTTGCTCCCGCTGCTTCGTTGACGGTGCAGTATGAGTTATTTCTGATTACCCTGACCACCTGAGCTCAGAGGCTGCTAGGTTGTCAGAGGTCCTGTCTGACTAAAGGTCATCAGGTGACCACACACTTCTATCCACCCTAGGATCTCTCAAAGGCAGACAAACTCATCACACACTCCTGCTCTCAGCCAGTGCCTGCAGAGACTGTCATTTGTAGGATGGAGAATGAATACAGACACACAGACTCCTTCACAGACTTTCACGTGTATGACCACTTACCTCCTCTGTGTAACATTATGTCGGTAAATATCCAGTGTTTCGAGGCCGATGATGATGCTCATTTGTGTACGTACGAGCACGCGAGGGACAGCGAGCAACAAGTTACTGGTGCAGTTCACCTAACGGCCATGCGGTGTCGCTACAAACGCAGTCTTTTTGAAAGTTACATATAGCCATATAGCCCCTTTAAAGTGCAAGAGTGTAGACCTGTTATCTGCTTAAAACCATGAACTGTAATGATGAGCGGATAGACAAATGAAGTGAACTTGAAAGCAGGGCTAATGTATAAACTTCACATGAGCAGAACAGCCTATTAACCTAATATTTCTGTTGGGCATAACCCCAGACTGTACAAAATATATAAAAACCCTAAAGGCAATCATTAGTTTGACTCCAAGAAAGTTCAGAGAAAAACATCTCTCAACTATCTATTTAACCAAACGGGTATACTGTAAAGATTCATAAATGAGGCAGCAGATAAACAAACCCACAAATGTGGGCATTTATTTGCAAAAAAAAAAAAATATATATATATATATATATATATATATATATATATATATATATATATATAAATAAATAAGTGTGCATGACATACAGCATAACAAACAGAACATGATAAGCATACACATTTCTTATATTTTGCCCCACTGAAAAGGCACAGCACCAGGGTCAGAATTGAAGTAGCGGCATAGTTCATCCCTGTGCTGCTTGGCCCGTGTTGTTGCATTGGTTGTGTGTGGCAGGGAGGCCTGTCGTAGTTCAGGTTCTTGTCTCCAACTTCCTGGTATAGTGTTGTGATCCGCTCCTTCCTGGTCAACGATTCCCGTCATGTACAAGTCACAGCTCTCGGTCTGCAGGAAGTTGTGCAGAGCACAACAAGCCAAAGTGATGTCCTCCACTTTGGCAGTGTCTTGAATGTTAATGGTGGTTTGAAAGACACGAAAACGGTTGGATAAGATCCCAAAGGCATTTTCTACCACCCTCCGAGCTCGTGACAGTCTGTAGTTGAAGATGCGTTGCTCGACAGATAGTTTACGGTTTAGATATGGCTTCATGAGGTACTCCTTCAAGGGAAACGCCTCATCTGCCACAATGCAAAAAGGAGCAGGCGTGTCAGAAGCAGGAAATGGTGCAGGGGCAGGGATCTTAGATGTCCTGTTCTCCAGAGCATCCTGCAGTGTCCATCCCCCAAACACTCCGCCATCTGAAATCCGCCCATTGGAACCGACGTCTACGTACAGGAACCTGTAACTGCTGTCCACCAGAGCCATTAGCACTATGGAACATGTATGCTTGTAGTTGTAGCATGTTGATCTAGTTCCTGGTGGGGGGCGAATGTTGACATGCTTCCCATCCAGAGCGCCTAGGCAGTTTGGGAAGTTCCACTGAGCCTGGAATCCATCGGCTACTTGCTGCCACTCTTGGACTGTGTCTGGGCACTGAAAAACAAGAAAATACCATGAAAAGCCCATGAAGGCTAGTTTAAGTCCGACCCTTCATAATAATAATAATAAGCATTATTAATATTATAATACATTTCGTTTATATGGCGCTTTACAAAAGGTACTCCAAGGCAAAAAACAATGTCATTAATAACTTTTAGTCTAGTCGTGTGGCCATGTGTTGTTGTCCAAATGCCAACAGACTGCACTGTAAACATAAAAGTATCTGAAAAAAAGAAAATCGATACATCACACATACCTTCAGGTATTTGTCTTTCAAAACCTTGTAGATTGCTGCACAGGTTTCAGGAACCAATTGCCGAATTGTTGATAATCCAACTCGGAACTGATAGGAAAGGCTCCTGAAGCTTTCCCCTGTAAATATTAACAAGCACACAACTCATATCAGTTATAGAATACAATAATCATCATCAGTAACAGGTACAAAACACGAGGTTTCAGGTAACGTTAACTTCAGCAGCTCTCTATAACCCGAAAAGACAAAGTGCCTACCTGTTGCCAAGAAGCGCAGTGTTATCATCAGACGTTCCCCGACGGAGATACAATCCCGGTAGTTCGTGTTTTGCCTCCTAATGATTGGATTGATCAGTTCCTTTAACATGTGGAACTGCACAGGAAAGAGACGAGCAAAATCTTTAATATCGGGGGTTTCATTTCTCTCCGGCTCTCGACACAGGTTCAGGAAAGCCCCTTGATCCTGCCGCTGTCGTATCCATGCGTTCACCCATTCAGTGCGCTTTCTCCTTCCTGGTCTCCTCCGCCTCTTCTTTTCTTGTTCCACTAACAAAAGACCAAGGGCTGACAACGCCAGCGCCATTTTAAACTTTTCATCAGACATTATTCTCCAGTAGAAGTTCCTACATTAAGAGTGTTGCGCGACAGCGGTGAGAAAATGGTCTTCTCGTATCATAACAACGGTTTGTTTATCCGCGTTCCTCCTCGTCCTCTTCCGGTTTCCCCTTTTTGTAATGATGATTACAGACTAGCGCCGTCTGCTGGTTATTTCCTCTCACGCATGCGCAGAACGTGCGTGGTGGTCGGCCGTTGGCTTTAGTCTTTGCGGTGTGTTGTAGTCTTTTAGTGCAACTTTTTGGCCAAGACAAGAGGCGACGTAGTTTTTTGCCGTCTGCTTGGTGTGTTAGACGCACTGGAGTCAGAGACAGTAAGAGTGCTTCTTTCAGAGCACTGACAAATAAATGCACTTCCCTTGTGAGAAAAGCTATATCAGTTTACTACTTGAATTTAGTCTATAGCTGCTATTCCAACCCTGAAAAACTCCAATAAAATTCTGGATGGTGGTAAATTAATAATAGCAACTCTGCTGGGTCACCCTAATGTCCGGTTTGACGACTGAACAGAATGATGTTTTTGTTTTGTTATTTATGGTCCCGTTTAGCGTCACGTCCTACGGTCCCATTACTAAAATATAATATATAATATTAGATAAATCTGTGGATAATAGAGCACTCCGTTTTAACATTGACCATCCTTCTACTGACAATTCTATTGTATTCTAAATCATACTTCTCAGTTTATCTTATCTCCTGTCTCAAATCAACCGGTGAAGACACACTTTCTCCGTCTTTCAGCAAGCTTCATTTGAACATGACTTTAATTGGCCCCACTGACAGATTAAAACAATACGGATCTTTAGATGTGATTTATTCACTATTGATATCTGTGGATTTATTATAATCACGTGTCTATGTAAAAAAACAAAAAGAGTAAAAGTGTGATTAACCATAGGCTTTTATTAGTTGTAACAACACAACATTGAAAAACAAAAACAAGAGAGGTGCATACACTGTCACATCTTTCTCCTTTCCACTGACTTCAATCACCACGTCTGCCTCCAGCTTCCTGACCCGTCATAGACCACATCAGAGGTCTCAGAGGTCAGGGTGCTTTCTCTGGGATCATGTAACTTGAGTCAGAGACAGTAAGAGGTCTGCTGTTCAGATCAGTTAAGTCCACATTCAACAGGAACCTCAGAGGTCATAGAGAACAGAAAAAAATGATTCAGGTGCAACTTTGGCAAGACGATTATGTACTATACCTACACAGAACATCACAATTAGTGTAACAAAAAGAAAGTTACTGTCAATTTTCTACCTTTAAAAAAGAACAACCCTATGATGTTATGTTGTTTTGGCTCAGAGCATCAAATATACCCAACAATCTGCTTACATCAAGTTTGTCAGCTGAGGAAAGATGGCCTTGATCGACCCATTAAACCAATCAGAAATCTAAAAATGTTTTCCTAATGAGGCTGGTCAAGCCTTGTAACAACTTAAATAAAAGCATCATTTTTTAGTTCTGTCAGACACAAATGGGAATTGTCTGTTAAAATATGAACAATGTTACAAGTGTCTGCATGTTGGAAAATGTCTGTTAATTCACAAAAAAGTGAACGAAGCCAGAGAACATGCATGTACAGTATTGTTGCTTAGTAGCAGCACACAGGAAAACATTTAAATTAACTATGCAGCGTTTGACCAGAAGTAAGGTTCCTCCTGCTGAGCGGTGATTGGCCGACACTCAGAGATTTCTACCAAAAGCTCTTAGGTTAGAGCACCAAGACTTACTGGTTATGTTTAGAAAAGATCATAGTGTGTGTGCAAATGAGTGTAAAGGGTAAAGTTGAACAGCCACCTCCTGGCTTATAGTTCCATCTTTGACTTCTCAGTTTTCTGGCCAATCACAGTACAGCAGAGCAGGACTGTAATTGGACAAACATAACAGGTAGAAACAGTAGGTTGATCTGTGCAGGAACCTATTTTAAAGTTTCCTGTGTAAGCCCTTTAAACTGAGGATACAACAATTCATATTTTGAAGTCATTAGCGTCATGACTTACAGATAGTAAAGAGACATTTCTTGAGACCCATGTCAGTTTACTGTCAATTGTTGTTGGTTTGTTCGGTGTCTCTCAGTGATATTTGTATCTATTCATTTGCAACAACCTGCATCACATCCATATTTCAAGAGTAAAAATAGGTTAATAAAGGTTTGTCATGATATGAGTTTTAGTCTCAGTAGACTGGAAATACAACAGCACATGTTGCTTCAAGGCAGGAACAAATATAAAAACAACACATACCTCAATTCTCTCTTTGACAAATTAGGCAAATAAAAGACAAAAAAGAAAAAACTGTTTAACAGGTTTGGGTGTGTATACAGTGAAATAGATGAAAACATGTACGGTTAAAAGCAACAGAGATATTTTTCATGCTATGATGGATTATTTTCCAGTGCTACATTAATTGATAATTCAGGTGGAAATTCATACCATAGAAATTAATGATATCTATACGGGATCTGAATGTGACTTAAACAGTAGTCTTTTAATGTGTGCAGCTATAAAAGGTAACAATAAGGCTTTTTGATTAATCTTAATCTTCTTAATTAATCTGATTGAGTTTCAGTTATTTTTCTTTATTATTGTTCATTGTTGGAGCTTCTGAATGCAAAAGCTGCAGCTTTAACAGATCGTTTTTAATTAGACATTTTCTGATGATTATTCCGTGAAAAAAAAAAAAACTCACTTAAAACATAATGAAACATTATCTCAGACAGATGGCACCCGATATGATGAAACCAGTTCAGTGCTCTGACAGGATGGGGAGGGGTCCTTTGCCTGAATTGAGGGTGCATTAAGGTGCATTTGAGACATAAGAACATTGTGTATCTAATGACTGACTGTGTTATACTCGCAGTATAAAACAAAGATAAACATGGAGGAAGACATTTAGGGAATGTTGTGAAATTAGTTTGAAGGGGAGGGGGGGTTATGTTGAGTTGGGGTCCCTTTTAACCATCCCTCGCTGTGACACGAGGTTCAGCCAGTAAGCCGTGGATGATGCTGCTGATGGACTCCACTCCGGCTCCCTCTAGGATGGTGCGGTGGTCTCCCTCGATGACGTGGATTAACACCTTCCCATCGCATACCTGCAGCGAGACCAACAAACAATTTTTATTATTATTATTAATTATTATAACAGATACAAAGGCAGAATGTGAAGGTGACGGGTGTGATTTTTGGTGACAGGCGTGTTATGGTCTTAATTTGCTTATTTTGTGTCAATTTTGTGTTGATTGTTGATATTTAATGTTATACCTTTGTATATAAGCGGCCAGTAGGGGGCCCCTGAGGACTTACCATCTCAATGGCTCAGAATGTGCAAATTTTACAATGACAGTAGGAAACCTAACTTAAAATCGCCACTGTCCTCAGCTCCATTTTCAAATCCAAAGCTGCTAATCTGAATGTAAACAAGGTGTAAAACATGCAAAGGAAGTCTCTGCCCCAACATCAGCTGACCAGAGACCTTGATTCTCAGCCTCAGAGGCTAAATCTCTGAGACCTAACTGGTTCTCACTGGTGCCAGTTTAGTCCGAAGGGTAAAGCGTTTGAGGCTGAAGTCATTGTCGCAGCTTTTGTGGGATTGAATCCGACCTCGGCCCTTTGCTGCATGTGACCCCCCACTCTCTCCTCCCAACAGTTTCTGTTTCTCTTCAGCTGACCTACACAATAAAAGGCAAAAATGCCCCACCCAAATATAATTAGAACAATCATTGTGATGTACATGTATAAGTTTGTTAAGTGTATTTAACAAAAACAGTGAAATGGCAGGAACCTGGGCTTCATCTGACACCAACTCCCTGGCAGCATTTTCTGCCATTCGTGTTGTTTGCACATATTTAAGTTACATAAGTTGACGTGTAAATGCCTTTGCACACTGAGTCTGTTTTTTTCGGATGCGTTTTTTGAAAACCTTACGCACCTTGCACTTTGAGTCTGATGCGTTTATTTTTCTATTAATTCCGAAAGTTTGCAGTATGAGACAAAATGCCTTGTACTCCTCACGCAGAGTGAGCAAGCAGTGAAGATGATTTTGTGCTTTTTTCACACTACAAACTACAACAGAGTCCGCTCACTCCTGAAAACAAGACAAGCGCGAGGAAAGTTTGACCTGTCAATAATGAGAGTTTCACCTATCAATAAGACAGTTTCACCTGTCAATAAAAGACAGTTTCACCTGTCAATAAAAGAGAGATTCACCTGTCAATAAGGAAATGCAGGCTTATCCCGATCACTTCCAGGTGTATTTCAGGATGTCAGTGGTCCAGTTTAATACGCTGCTCTCTATACTTTTACCACACATTAAAAAGAAACACCACTAATTTCCGCGAAGCAACTGATGCTGAACAGTGTCTGAGGGACACTACAGACACACACAGAAAATTTAACCCGTTCTGAAAAATATAATGACGGACGAAAGATTCGGAGTCAGTGTGCGAACATAACATCGAATTGTATATATTTTATTTAACGTGCATCAATTACGGGTGATAAAAAAACGGACTCAGTGTGAAATGGCCTTAAATGTATGTATGTTACCTCGCTTAGCTTGTAGTCTGCTCCCAGGCTTTGTCCGTATTCACTGCTTGTTTTGGCTCGCAGAAGCGTCACATTGCCGTGAAATTTAGTCACAGGTACGTAGCCGTCAGCAGCCTTCAGTTTCTCGTAGAAGGTGCTGGCTGCGAAGTGAAGCATGTCCTTGCTGATGTCCTTGTGTCTGGAGATGATCAGGTCCACTGCAGAGTTTACACGGGCTGCCAGGTCGCTCAGCGGGAGAAGAACCTCCACAAGCTGTCAAATGAGAGGAGGTAAGTAAAACTTGTTGAAGATTTTTATAGCAATAGACGTAGACGATGTAGCAGCCAGTATGTTCTCCTTCTAAGTTTAGATTCTGGTCCTGAATGCTCTAGATTTGTGTGGACCAGAGAAGGTAGGCGGTTTTAAGGCACCCCCACACGTTAGTTTAAGACGCCCCTCAGTGTGCCAGGCAAACGGAAACCAACAGGTCTTGCAGTGAAGGAAGCGGTTAAGAGACCTGATTCAGAAAGAGCTGATTCTGTCCGATTGTAAAAGCCTCAGCATTTCTTCAAATAAACTCCACAAGCAGAAACCTGGTAAAACTAAGATAAATATTGGCGATGCTTTTGAAAAAAAATGGAGAAAGGTTTCATGCAGACATGTTTCAAGACCAGAGCCGGCTAAACACTGAAGCTTCAGGTAGCCTGCTTTGCCCATGGACTCTAGCGACGAGGGAGCGGGGGTAGACAGCTCTCTACAAACGGTAAGAATCGTGTTTTCCTCAGCACTAGATCAGAGTCCTCTTTTCGTTTGACAGCACTCATCGGCTCTTCCAGTTTACTTTGTGGCGGTACTTTTGCTTCTTTGTAAAAGTTTTGCTACACTCTAACTGTATGTGACTGGGTTGAAAGAGCATCTGTGTGTGTCTATGTGATTTAAGGGACTGTGTACCTTGTTGTACTCAATGCTGGTGAACTGCTGGATGAAAGCACACATGGCTTCGGTTTCAGCCTCAGACTCTTTTCCTGGTGTCAACTTGGCTCTGTAAGTCTGAAAACAAAATAATGAGTTAGCTCAATTCAGTCGCCAAATTAAGAGTCAGTACGTGCACATTTTTAATGACTGCTTTTGAAACATCACACTCTACGCTGTTTTACATACAATCTTAATCATGTCAGGCTGTTTAAAACCACCAAATGACACAATGTACGAAATATTAACCTAATTTGTTCATGTGTGACTGCGAAGAGTCAAAAAAGTGTATTAACCCTTTTTCTCACCTGTGTGTATGCTGCCACATAGGAGTGTGAGCCGTCAAACAGGAACAGGTGCTCCACAGGCTGGTTCAACATCTGGAGCTGACAGCACATCTCAAACGCCACGCAGGCGCCAAAGGAGTATCCAGCGACCCGGTACGGCCCGTTGGGCTGCACCTGTCTAATACAGTCCACATAGTATGCTGCCAGAGACTTGATGCTGTCCAGAGGAGCAGCTGGAGAAGAGAGGAACAACAATGAGCATGTTCCACCTTGTTTGATCAGGTGAATGAAAACTTAATAAAAGCAGATTTATAAGCACACATGAACACACATTTATACATCTAAAAACTCAACATGATTACTGGGAATTCCCTCACTGCGGATCAATATCTTATTCTTGGATAAGTCTTGATGTTTTTCAGTTTGTTTCTGATTCAATAAAATCTTTAAACTCCTACTTATCTGTGTGAGTAGAAGGTAAAAATAACAAAGATGCATATCATTTAGCCAAATTAGAATGTCAAAATTCTCCAAAGATGAAAAAACTGCTACCTTTGGTGCACTGCAGGCCGTAGCAGGGTGCACTGAGCTTGAAAGCGAGCGTCTTAAAGGTAGTGATGGAGCCCTCGATGGGATGGACCAGGAACAAAGGTCTCTCCTGGCTCTGAACTTCGTTCAGCAGCGTCACTGTGGAGTCGCTGGGGTTGACTAAGATCTGGGTCAGGTCAGATTCCAACACAGATTGAACACTGTTCTTTTCAGCTGTGGCGTTAGAAGATGCTAGAAAGAAGTGAAGACACAAAAAAAAAAAATACATTGAGAAGTGTACAATGAGATCCTTACTGCCTCAACAGAATAGATTTTTAATTTCTTTTTTACCATTTGATCCAGTTGTCTTGTTATTAGAAAGATCTCGCAGCTTGTTGATGGTCAGCAGGCGGATCTCCCTCATGGTCATGACAATTTCGTGGTCTCGCTCCAGGGTCTGACGAACCTCCACGCCCATTAACGAGTCGAGGCCCAGATCAGCCAATGAGGCGTCAGCATTCAGGCTGCTCACATCGCGTACACCTGAGGAGTCAAGTCTACTATTTGTCAAAATGTTCCCTGATACGTTTTTCCAAACCACTTGTTTTAAAACAATACAATCTCTGTTATTATAACGCTCGACAGCTTTAAAAGTACTGAAACTCCTATTTTGGTGAGAGAGCACTTTTTGTAAACAGAAAAATATATCAGCAATTCTAATTCACAACAAAAAATAATCACGATCACGATCTTTTCTTGTGTTAGCTCAGTTCTTACCCAGAATGTGAGCAACAGTGTCCACCAGGCTCTTCTGACTCCCTGCCTCTCTCTTCACCACCATCCTCTCTGCCAGCACGAAGCTTGACATCACCGCCTGCTGCTGGCACAGGAAGCGGTCCAGCACCTCAAGACAGGAAGCGATGCGCTGCGGCAGGGTGCCACCGATCACTGTGTCATTGCCTCCCATGGTCTCCAGAACCACGCCCACATCCCCGATGGCTCCCCATTGGACTGCCAGACCAGGCAAGCCGTCAAAGCGCCTCTTTTCACACACGCGCTCCATGGCGGAGTTGGCGTAACCATAGTTACTCTGACCGGCGTTGCCACGACCACAGCTGACAGAGGAGAAGGCCACAAAGTAGCTGAGGTCTGGACACAAGCGTCTCGTCACTCTGGAGAGGGAATGGGAAAGAGTGCATCAGGATTAAGAGAGATCTAACAGCAGTCCAATTAATCGTACAAAAAGATGGCAAGGCTCTTACTTATCTAGATTTACGGTGCCGTCATACTTCGGCTTGTTTACATCGAGGAAGAGCTGAGGAGTCAGATTCTCCAACATGCCATCTTTCAACACCTGGTAATAACAAACCAACATGCTTTGTAGCTAGTACTTTTACATGAGAAAAAAAACAGAGTTAGAGATGTCTGAATATTGAAGGGCACTGATGATGGTGACGAGGTGTCTTGGTGTTTTACCATAGCGAGATGGAAGACTCCGCCCACTTGGCCCAGTGAGCTGGACTCAGCGATCAGATGTTCGGTTCCCTCCAGCGTGCTGACGTCGTTTGTCGACACAAGCACTTCCACACCGTGACTCTGCCATTCACGCACTCGCTTTGCCTGGTAACCTAGCAACAGTTGGGGAAAAAAAGATCTAATAACTGCAGCAGTATGAGCAAAATGAACTGTCTAGTTGAACCAGTTATTATTTCAATTATTTCAGAGCCAAGCTTTGTAACACACAGTGAGGCCAGATTTATATTATTCTTTGTATCTCCATGAAGCCCCTTCAGAAGCAATACATCATCGTATAATTTGGCAGCAGGCTTACCATTCCTGATTCCTGATCTGGACGTCAGCACCAGCTTGCGAGCCCCTCTCTCTGTCAGCCACTGAGCGAGCTCCAGACCGAAGCCCCCCAGTCCCCCAGTGATGATGTAAGAGTGGGAGGGGCGACAGAATGTACGACAAATCGCCGGGAGAGACAGAGGGGAGGACTTCACGACCGCGGCAGCTTTCTCTTCATGACAGACCTGTGAAGAATAGAATCAGTGAGAGGACACATACTTTCCATTCACAATCTCATAAAAATGATTCATAATTTGTGTCTTTTCTATAGATTATGACTCTTTGTTTATTACTATCAAAATCGAGGTTAAAACATACCCGCAGGAGGACTTTGCCGATGTGTTTGCCCTGAGCCATGTATCTGAATGCTTCCTCCACCTGGTCCCTCTCAAACACTGTGGTCTTTAAAGGCTGGACTACACTTCCCATGATGCCTTCCTTCAGCAGCTGGGACACTTCCTCCCACTCCTTGTTGCCCTCTTCAAAGAGAGCGTCGAGCAGGATGCCGTGGAACGCTACATTCTTCAGGAACAGAGCCATGCCTGCAGAGATCAGAGGACACAATCAACAACTACTCTGATTTGAAACTCTGAGAGAAATCTTTACAGACTTTCTGGATTTAGTCTATATTTTCAAACTGCCTGTTTTCTTTTCCCCCAAGGACTGAAACATCCAGAAAGGTGAACAGAATTTTAGTATTATTATCTATTGTGTTTTTTTGCACATTAATGAAACTCCAATGAAACTGCTGATTTTTTTACCCTGACTTTACATATTTTTTGTAAATTTTCCTGCCAGCCCCTTGTAAAATTTCAGAGTGAAGTTTGGCAGAGCTTATGTGTGAACGCAACACAAAATATCCATAAATTCACCTTGAATGAGCGTGGGGCTGATGATGTGTATATCATGTGACAGTGAGCAACCACTGAAATCGCCTTGCATGTAAATTCTCTACCACTCTTTAGTTGATACAATAACACATAGCATTGGTATTAAGTCAAAAAAGTTTTCATAGCGTCAGACTTTGCATCATCCACCAGCTTTATTAAAACCTCCCAAGGCCAGATTGCAGCCTGGCACCATCACGTTTTCAGCTTAATGAGCATGAAACATCAATCTCTCCTATAGAAAAAAACACTCGAGCTGTAGTGATTCTGATTTTAGATCACTTTTAAACAGGATTTTACCATCTGTGAACTCCATGTGTGTCAGATAAATGTTAAGGATCACACAAAGAAAATACTGTCATCTTTTCGCTTGACTGGAAATGATCAGCAGTAAAACTGTTTCTAAAAGTCTGTGTCATTTCTGTTTCAGGTAGGAAGACAACTTCAAATAATCAAATAATATAAATTAAGGATGGGACTCTTTCAATTTCAATTCTTTCAATAAGTATTAATGGATTTTAAAGATATAGAGCCTTTTTTTTTGTCAGTGGGAGACTGAGCCTAAAGTTTTCCTGACTGACCCAGAGGAGAGTTGTTGGACAGGTCGTATTTTCCGATCTCCAGGAAGCGTCCATGTCTGGCCAGGCAGCGAATACTGGCCTGCAGCTTCTCCTCAGCCAAAGAGTTCAGCACAATGTCCACACCTGAAACGCAAACAGAATACCAAACAATACTGTGATATTCAAATAAGTATGTGTGAGGGGTACCGGTAGCCTAGCTCAGCGCTCCATGTACAAAGGCCTAAGTCCTCCAAGCGGGCGGCCTGGGTTCGAATCTCGCATGTAATACCCCACGGTCTCGCTCCCCTATTTCTGACTATTACTATACTTCTAATTCATTCACAGTCCTGTCTTTAAAATAAAGGCATTAAAAGCCCCAAATAAGTCTTTTAAAAATACATATATACACATCATTGGTTGTTTGTTCGAACATGAGAACAAATTTCTCTAACAATTTTAAAACACATTTATTAAACCTATATTTTTCCAGCTAAATAGATCTTTCTCTAGACAGTAACCTATTCTTATTTTATTTGTCTTCAAAATTTGCTTGGAAAAGGGGCTCCTTTATCCCTTTACTATAGTGTGGTATTATCTTTGTTTTCATTATTAAGATGACTCTTAAATAAGAAATCCAACAGAGAGTATGTGTTGTATTCGTGTGCAGCAAAGTACAAAAAAAGCGAACCTTTTCCCTGTGTGTGCAGCAGGATGTGTTCTTCAAATGAAGTGTCTCTGGAGTTAGCAAAGGAGTCTGCAGACAGCTGAGGGAACCGCTCCCGCAAGTACGCACGCTTCTCTGCCGAACCTGACAGACAGAACACGCAGAGATGTTAGGGTTAAGGGAAACACAAGACACTATCTCAAAGTTATAACCAAGACGAAGTCACACATAATTCACTGGATCTGGCTCAGGCTACAGGAGTTCACCACACCAGGCTTTATTTAAATGCCTCCCTGTGAGATTACATTAGCTCATACAAGATCACCTGAGGTGATGCAATGATCTCTATGGCAAACAGAATTATCTAAATATCTAAGTATTTGTTGTGCAGAACAATTTCAAGTTTTGCAGTGTTTGCAAATTTGAGAAATGAACATCAGAGCTGTTTGTCTTTCAGTGACTAGTTTCAGAATCAGTCTTCATTTTAAAACTCCTGCAGGCGGCGTTCAGCACGGAGTGTTAGGCGAGTGTGAAATACTTACCGACTGTGGTGAAGACTTTACAGTCCTTGCTCAGAGCTATGGCGATGGCAGCCTGGCCGACGCCCCCTGACCCTGAGTGGATGAGAACAGACTCTCCAGAGCGGAGCCGGCCCCGCACCACCAGAGAGTAGTACGCTGTGGCGTAGACCACCGGGACTGAGGCTGCCTGCTCCAGTGTCCTGCACACACACAGACCACACAGACCGACATTAGGACTGTCATAATCCATTTTATAGCAGAAGTTTACACGCATACATACTGCAGGGACAGATCTCAAAAAATGTCTCCTCCTCCAAGGGGGCAGTTTGAGAACCACGGCTTTGGAGGAACTTTTGTCTATGCTCTGTACAGCTGACAGTTCTGATATAGAAAATATGAAGGCCAGAGTTTTGATAAAACTGATGTAGACTGTGTTGCCTTTTGAAGGTTTTTTTTTTTTTTTTACCAATGAAAGCATTCAAGACGCAGAGAAAAAATACAGAAAAGAAATGAGTCTGTGCCTCTGCTCACTATGAAAACACACACTGCTGCAGTCCTTGTTCATCTTGTTGCTGCCTTGTACCTTTTAAATATGAAACTACATCTCCTGCCTTAGTTGGAACATCAGATCTTTAATTGCAGTATCTTGAGTTTCTAACTATTTTAGCAGCTCGTTTGTGTTTCACATGCAGCATTTTTCAAACTGTGACACTGACCAGCTGGAGGGAACATCCCACAGGAAGCGTTTGTCAGCATCCACACTCGTCGCCAGCCCTTTGGCAGGAAGCAGTCCCATCACACGCCGGCCGCTGGGGTCCTGACCGGAAAACTCCATACCCAGCATGCACTGCTGCAGAGCCAGGTCACCTACAAGATCAACCATTAAGGGGGGGTTAGATCTTTATATGTGGACGCTTCGTATTTAATTTGACCACCATCATTTCTAGTTCGATTTAAGATTAGCGACCACTCAGACACTGTGTGGTTACTCATTCTGTTTCTTCCACACATTCAGTACCTGGGATTGCGTCTGGAGGGAGTTTTCCCGTGGCCAGCATTATGTCTCTGAAGTTCAGCGAGCTGTAGAAAACGCGACACAGCTGCACGTTGGGGTTGCTGGTCACAAAGTGTCGGAGCGGGGATGCGATCCAGCGCAGGGAAGACAGGTCACCACGAGTCAACACATTGACATAGGCGTGCTCTGTCAACGCTTCATTTAGATCTGAACGCACAAAACACAGACAAATGCTGACCCAATGGAAGTTTGGAAGAATGTCAAAAGGCATATAAAAGATAACAATCCTGCATGTGTATTCAGGGTTATTTTTAAACAAGGACCGAACCAAAGTCATCTTCCAAAGCTGACAAAAACTGTTTTACGAATGTAAACATTAAGCATATGTATACATTGTATACAAGCACAGAAAATATTTGATGATTTTAGTACCTTGAGAGATCAGCTGGTGCCTGAAGACGCCCCAGTGTCCGTCTCTGAACACATTCATGACCAGATCCCCGTCCAGCACCGACTGCATGGACTTATGGGTCGGCTGAAAGGTAGGTACTGAAGAAGACTTGTTCAGGTTGGAAACAAATGCACAGCTGGGTACAAGGAAGGAGAAATCAGAGTAGAAGAATTAAAAAAAGGGGAATAGAAAATCATACTACTTGAATAGATACTCAATCATGCTGTTTAGTGTAAATATCTCCTACCGTATTCTGTGACCACCGGGCTCCTGCCGCAGACAGTTGACCATTCCCACAATGCCACAATGACTTTGAGAGGCAGTCAGCCACACTGGACAGTCTGATGAGTCGGCAATGGTCGTCTGTATCAAAAACACACACATTACAACTGATGTCACACATACACGTACTGAATCTGACAGACTTTGAGCGGTTCAGTGTACGTGTTGTAGAATAAACACAATTCATTTTTACTTTAAAGAATATTTTTTGCAGGTCCCGTTGGTTCTTTCATAAATCACACTTACACACAGACAGTTATTAAACCCACCTTCAGTGTATCCACCCACTTGTAGTCGGTACCGTCCACAGGTATGAAAACAGGCTGTTTTTTCTCTGGAGCCTGACAGCGACAGAGAAAGAGAGCAGAGCCAGAGAAAGACTTCCGGACAGCGACCAGGCTTAGAGACGCCTCAGAGAACACCTTCTCCCACTCAGCCTGGGGAGGAGAGAGAGAACACATTATCATCTCCAGGAAATCCTTACAGAGAAACACATCTGGAAGAAAAATATTTTCATAGTTGTCTTAAAGTTGTGACTGAACCAGAACCAAGTTTAGCTTTCTAATCAGGAGAGATATGGTTCATAAGTACCAATCATAAATCAATTTCCATATCACCACCATGTTAAGAAATCATCTCAATTTAGTGAAACAGCGTATCCAAGCCTTAGTCTGAATATACAGAATAAAATGTGAGAGAGAAGTATGTCATGCATATTTAACCATTTCTAAGGTGGGCTGGAGAAAAATGAAAAAGTAAATTAAATCTAAAGAATCAGACTTAAGCTGATTCAACGCTTTAATTGATTCAACGTATCCACTAAAATGTGATTTGTATTATTTTATTCATTCGTATGTTTTGCTTTTTATGTATTTTTCAACTAACATCTTTCCCCTGTCAAACCTTTGTAGCATCTTAGTTAAATGTTTCAGATCACAGACAAGAGGAAATCAAAGTCTGAAAAAAAATTGACACTGTGATTTATAACTGCAACAAAAAGAAACCATTTTTATCTTCCTTCAGGACTCGTCCAGGAAACTTGTGACATGAATGAGGATACGTGAAAGCAGGTTATGTGGGACAGCGGTTTAAAGATGTAAAGAGATGAAGTGTGAAGAGAGTTGAAACTGACAACAAATAAAAGTGAACAAATATAATAATTCTGCACTTTTTTTTAAGGACATTTAATATTCTTCAGTTGATCAGATATCGTGATGTATCATTTAAATTATTAATTTGCTATTTATTAATGGTAAGGTTACTCATGCTTGGCTGAAGTGATCTAAACACTGACCTGTGTGAGGAGTCCCTGCTGGCTGCTGTTCTGAGTGCTGCTGGAGAGGAAGGCAACCATTTCCCCAAGAGTCTCTCCCTTCAGCAGGGTGTGCAGGAGAACAAACCCTCCTTGTTTGGCTGCAGAAGCCAGATTTGCCACTAGCAGTCCAGGATCCATCCTCAGAGGGCCCCAAGCGTGGTTACAGAGCACCAGGTCAGCCCCTCCCACAGCACCTCCAGGAGCTGGGCCTGTGAGGGGGTCCCACTGAGCTGAAGCCACTGCCAGTTCCTCCAGGGAGGTCTGGTGGGGTGTCAGAAGGTCTAGGTTGGATGTGGTGGCGGTGTAATCCACACGCAGCATGGGCTGGATGTTCAGGAGGGGAACCACGCGGGAGAAGAGCTGACCGTCGTCTGAGAGAGCCTGGAAAAGTTTGAAAAGTTTTAGGGTGTGACTGAAACAAAGTGCTGAATGTGACCGGAACTATTTTAATCTTACCTCCAGAACTTTAATCTTGCCAGGTGTGCTGTTCTCCACGGCGGTGTCCAGACAGTGTCTAAGTGCTGGATGGTCAAGCAGACCCTGCAGCAGGCCGTCCTGCAGCAGACACGCCCTCTCTTTCTCCACCGTCTGCTCCAGCTCAGATTGAAGATTTCCGTTTAGCTCCAGGCCGCAAAGCAGGGCCAGCAGCCGGACCAGGCCGGGCTCAGAGGGCTCAGGGCTGGGGAGGGGGCCGTCTGACTCTCCTTGAAGCCCAGGTATGGACAGTTTGACTCCTTGATTGGCCAGCTTCCTCTGCAGTCTGTGGATTAAACCTGAATGGAAAGGCAGGAACAAAAAGAAAATTGGCTGATGATGGTCAAATTGTTTTTCTCCAGGCAGAAAAAAAATAGAATTCACTTTTTTAAGATACTAAAATATATTTTGCTTGCTTTTAATTGACTTGATATTGAAACACCTCAAAAAAACACTGCGAGAACAAGATCGCTCTGTGATGAAAGCACCACTGATAGGTGTGACCTGTGGTGTAAAAGTGCTGGGAGTAAGGACTGCAGCAGTGTGTGTTTGCTTTATTTTTGATCAATTTGTTCAGAAAAAAAGCCAACAACAGTCACCCAAGGCTAGACTGCTGAAAACCCCTGTGTTGTCACCATTGTTTTGTATTGCATTGGTATGTAAACATTATGTAAACAACCTCATCATCAACATCCATCTTGATGCAAAAGTTATCTGAAGAAAACACTGACTGCAGCAGCCATTATAGTTGGATTTTAAATGATGATAGATTATGCAAATTAACTGTCGCTGCCTCCTGCTGTACTAAACCTGAACTGGACTCGTTAGCCCCTCAATACTTGCCCGTCTGGTTTTGGCTGTTTTTTTTTAAGTTCAACAGATTTTTAACCTTCCTTGTCAGTATAATATATGTTACTTTTGGGTCTAAACTTAAGCCTTTAATATTAATAATTCACATGATAACCTACATTTCCATATGTACCGATGCATCATTTACAAAATGTAACACTGCCAAAGGTTTGCCTTGAATATATATTTTGAATATAATATGAGCCCAAAGCTGTCAGCTGGTATCTCTTTGTACCTTTGCAGATCCTCAGCTGCTCGGTGTGCTTCCCGTTGGCGGTCAGACACTCAGTCTCCACATAGGGCACAAACACAAACTCCTCCAGGGTGGGGGGACTCTGCTGCTGCTGCCGGCGGGGTGCAACAGTTGCATGAAGACCAGAGATCTGGACTCCGCCAGCTGTGATGTTGTCGAGGCAACGGTTGACATGGACATTCACAGCTGCCGGAACAAGAGGAGAGCATTTTGAAGGAGTTACAGTGGGTAGAAATGTTTAAAGTTAGATCAGAGCGCAGATGGCCTAGCGGTTAGGTCGCGCCCAATTTAGGAGGCTAAAGCCCTCCAAGCGGGCCGCCCAGGTTTAAGTCCGGCCTGTGGCTCTTTTCCAGCATATCATTCCCCACTCTATCTCCCCTGTTTCCTACTGTCCTATCAAATAGAGGCAAAAAGCCCAAAAATAAATCTAAAAACAACAACAACAAAAAAGATAATCTATAACAGTAATGATCACAGACTGAAGAAAGTTTCATATAAACAGGTCAACACAAACCTTTCTTTCCGTCAGTGTACTCGCTGACCTTCTCCTGATGAACAGCTGGATCGATGCAAACTGATCGGATCCTGGTTGGCAGACGCAGACTGCGACCTGACAGCCCGACCACGATCATCTGCAGCATCGTGTCCAAAAAGGTCACCCAGTTTCCTGTCCACTGCAGCTTCCCAACATCTCCTGCAAACAGATAATTACATAACTGAGGCAAAAACAATAAGTGCTTCTTAGGCCTGGGAGATATAGCACATTGGTAAACTTCTTTTTATCAAATGTTTTCTTGATCTTCAAGAGAAATACAAAATAAACCATCAATGACAGCAGGTACAGTTTAAAAAATATAATACCTGCATTGTTGGACTCTAAGATGCCCTGAAAGGTTTTCCCGTAGTCGTAGCCCCTCAGTCGCAGCTCTTTGTAGATATCAGGAGCCGTAAGCTTCATTTTAGGGTCACTGTCGTCGTTAGTAGTTTGTTGACTTATCTGACTGTGGAATGAATCGAGGGCCGCATCCTGCAGGAGGCTCACCTTACCTGAAATCACGCAGAAGATGAAAAGAAGGGAAGGTTAACGGTGTTAACTGATCAAAAATTAGAGCCACCATGTACTGCTGCAAGACTACTATGGAGAAGATATTAAAAAAACACTATTGAGATAACATTTGTTACTACTGGGGGGGGGGGGGGCAATCGTTTTTAAGCACGGGACAACATTACTAGTGTGAGTGCGCCATAAGTCGTGCTGCTCATGCAGACATGATTGTCACGCTCTTTTGCATTTGATTTGTTTTTTCTTACATAAAAGATCCTCCCTGAACATGTTCAGGTGAACTCAATTCACCTTTTGCACCAGAAATTTTCAGTTTTTCTTAAATGTCCATAAAGAGCATTAAAGCTCTCCAAAAATGATGCGGAAATATTGCTCCCCGCATAGTTTAGGAAGAGACTGATTTGATGTGCAGCAGCAATCTAAATGACTAGATAATATATTTTAAATATAAATATTGAAGGCAATCAGTTTATTGAATAATGGGAGGCCAAAATCAGGATTTAAATAAATATATTCAAGTCTTTTCTATTGTGGATTTTGTCTTTCTGGTCTATCTGTTCCTAAAATGTCCAAAAACTGCTCTTTTTTTTTTTTACTATCAAACATTGTATGTATAATATCTTCTTACCACTGACAGTCAGATTCCCGTTCTCAGAAACCTCAAACTTGTTGGTGGCGGGCATGAGACGTACCTCCAGCTGAACAGAGCCTGAGAAGAGAGAAAGGTGCAGAAAGGCCGACACCATCAGTGAAATCAGTTTATATAAAAACACAAAGTCAAACAGCTCATCAGTCTGTAGCGTCCAATATCTCCACCCCTGCTGCTCCACTCTCACCATTTTTTGGCAGAATGGTTGCCCTGTGGATGGTGACGTCTTCGAAGGTTATGGGGTTGGTTTCCATGACAACTCCCAGATTTCTTATCAAGGTACGCCAGGCCAGCACCAGGTAGCCGGTTGCTGGATAAAGGACGCGCCCATCAATGCAGTGTCCAATCATGTAGTAATCAGGAGACTCTGGGTTTATGTCTGTGGTTGGTGGGAAAAGAAAATGACAATGAGAACATCATGTGGTCAGATTAAACAACATCTTCTTCTCTTTTACTGTCACATCAATATTTTTAAACTTGGGCCCTTCTGTTGCATATGTTTGGTCTCAATGACAAGTTTTGAAATATTCCAGTGGATTGCTTCATTGTGAGTCCATAAAACATGCTTTGATGACTAGATAACAGCGGTTGCCTGTCTTAAAGGCTGAATATGCGACAGAAATCAAGTATATCCTCTGAAAATAACCCTGTGAGTCATGACTGTCTACAATGAGTGTGACACCCGAGTCTGACTGTCTGTGATGTTGTCCGAGTCGTGTCTACAGCGTGTTTACATGGACGGCCGGCTGACTCATCCCCTCGCGTATAAAAGTTGTTTAATTGAGGGACGAGAGAAAAGAAGAATAACATACTGTACTCACTGCTTTTTTAAATGAGGGAAAGTACTAAAACAAGTATTAAACAAATGTATACTGCAGCACTGGAGTTCAGAAAAGTAAAATGAGGGTTTTCATCGATGGAGTTTGATGGATTTGAAGACAGAAAAGCAACTGCTGTTTCTTGGTCAAAAAGTCTCTATCTCTGTAGGGATCCTATCTGAAATGTTACCAGACACTTAGAACAGAAATCTGAACCCGTTGATCAGCTGATTATATTTCTTACCGATCTTGTAGACAGTAGCAGAATTGGAACCTCCTGAGCCAGATACAAAGTGTTCTGCCTTGGGGACATCCCAGGTCTGGGCATGATCCCATTGCACCAAGGGGGAGATCAGTGGGGTGCCAACAGGCACAGGGTACCTCACTGCTGGGCAGAGGTTGTTAGTATCCACGTTGATCCTGAAAGGCAAATCAGAAAATAAGTTAAAGAGGCAGACAGTGGAAAAGGAAGTCCTCTTTACAACACTAATACAGGCAAAGTCAGAGTCAGTGTTAACTCACCCGTTCATGTAGATTTTTCCAATGTTTGAGAGGAAGAACTCGAGGTTGTTGGCGTGTCCTCTCTTCATCAAGGGGAGGATGGAGCATGTGTGCTTCAGGCTCCGTTTCAGGATGGCCTGTGCAGGAAACACATATGTAGGTTTAACCTGAAGTTCATCACAAGACTCCCCAAACTTTTTATTAACAATTCAAAAAGGCTGATAAGGACTTTCATGGCATTTGTGGTCTACCTTAAAAACCATTAAAGGTGGCAAACATCCAGTAAGCCAAAAACAGAAAGGATATATTGAAACAAAAAAAGAAAGGAAAGATGACAAATGTTCTCGTGTCAGCTATGCCATAAAAACGTAAAGTTTGAGGGCAAAATAAGAGACATCTTGCATTTATGCACACAGATGTGCATGTGAAAACAGAGATAAATCATTCATATTAAAATATGATGTTTTATTTTCAAACCAATAAGGCATTACACAAGTTTTTTTTTTTTTTAAATGTTCAGGTTCCCATTAAATATACTTAATTTATGAAGCACACTCATTTTGATATTGTAGGAAACATTTGATATCTATCTGGGTTTCAGACCTGTAGTTGTGACAATCTGGAATGTAAAAATGCTAAAACATTCCCTATGGCGTCGGAGGGCATTTCAATTGCTTTTCAACATGGTGTCCAAAAGGTGACAATAAGATAACATATCTATGTCAGCAGTGTTTTTCTGTATCAACAGCACGCTGGGCGTACCTGTAGCAGAGCATGAGGTGCTATCTCCACCACCACAGCGTTCTCAGGCACCAGACGGAGTGCCTCCTGGAAGAGGACGGGGCTGACCAGGTTGTGACGTTGGTAATCCGCTGAGCTGGTCAGAGCCAGAGGAGAGTCCCATTCATCCTGCGGGATGCTGGTGCTCAACCAGCGGGGAGAGCGCTGTCGTGGCTCCTTAATCACCTGCACACAAGACCAGTGAATTCTTCTTACAAATATGAAGCAGCTCTATTCTCTTTTCTGCTCGCTGGTATGTGTGTTTCCACTCTTTAGTGTGATGATAGTTAGAATATGAATCAAAAAGACGGCCACAGGCGGCCTTTGTCGCCACTAGTTCTTTGCCGTCTGCTTGTTCTCTACTCAGAAATGAAATATTGGTAAGGTTGGAACAAATCGAAATGGGTCTCCTAGCAGCTGTTTTTCTGGTAAAAGCAGGACTCAGAGCCTATTTTTTTAACACATGAAAGCTACATACCTTCTTCAGAGCAGCCAGCAGGGCCGGAGCGATGGACGCCATGTAGTAGGAGTGAAAAGCAACGCCAGCGCTGCGGACCTCCTTTGCAAACACACCCTGTTCTTTCAGCTCTGCCACATATTTACTGATCGCTTCCTGGAGACACAAACACATCTGTCAACGTCAGCCTTCACTTGAGAAAACTAGATAGGTGAAATCATGCTATTATTAGGTACATAGGTACAGTTATACAGGTGCTGTTATGCTTGTTAAACAAGACAGTTTGTAAATCGTTTAAAACGTCCCTATTTCAACCATCTGTCTGTTGACCTACTCCTTCATGTTCTTTCTTCTTCCCTTCATTCTGTCCTCAGTCAGGAAAGTTAACATATGAATCTAAAATGAATGCCTTGAGGCACTAGTTTAGCTTTAGTTGAAGAAGTGGGCTTGTGTCATCCCCCACTCTCTCAATCCTGTTTTCAATCTATCCACTGCCCTGTCCTGTTTCACTTTTTAATCAGGGCATTAGAGGTATTTTGTACATAATAAACATGAGTCTCCCTAACTGTCATTTCTAGGGTACAGCTTGAAATAGAAATGATTCCAAACATGCTGAGAAACAGAATCTACTGTAATTGAACGGGATTTTTTTTTTTTCCAGATGTGAAAAAGGCTCAGATTGTCAGAACCTATAAAGACCTAAATACAAAGTTTAATAAAAGATGTGTGACCTGTGGACCGGAGATGGTAACGGTGTCCTCAGCGTTGTGACAGGCTGGGACGACTCCTTGTGGACACTGAGCCAAACACTCCTGCCAGGTCAAACCTGTAACACACAGCGAGCACACAGGTCAAAGATGTGCTACAAAGAAACACGTACAAAAACAACAAGGCCGCAGCTGAGGAAAGAGGGTCAAGAATCCCAGCTGTGTCTCTTACCGACTGCAGCCATGCCTCCTGGAGGAAGGTTGGCCTCCTTGATGCAGCGTCCTCTCCAGTAAGCAGCCAGGACGGCCTCGCTGTGGCTGAGGGAGCCGTCAGCGTAGCCGCAGGCCAGCTCTCCCACCGAGTGTCCTATGATGCCGTCAGGTTTTAGACCCAGCTTAGTGAGCAGGTCGATCTCAGCTATCTGCACACAGGTATACACAGAACACACAATGGATGACTACAATGTAGAAAAGTAACTGGGCTTTAGCCTAAATGAAAAGCTGCTTGATTACGCTTTCAAAGATAGTAGTACTGATAAAAACTATTTTTTAATGCTCCTTATAGTGCAAGAGACATCTTGGTCTTAAACTAGAAATTATGAATTTAATTTATCACCATGTTCTCAAAAAGTGTTTTTGTTTTCTTTAAATCTGCTGTCTTAATTTGTGAAGTTAACTCAAGAGGTCTGAGGCATGAGAGGTATTTATTGCATTTGTTCACTAGTTATAGCTCATTCCTTTGTTCATGTCAACTGTGTTTTTGATAAAGTTGAACTGTTTAAGTTGTATTAATATAGGTGGATATTTCTGGCTGTCTGCTAGGTGCTTAGCTAATTCAGTTGTGGATTTTGGATCAATAAACTGGCATTACATTCTATAATTCTCCAATTCATTTAGCAGACACTTTTATCCAAAGTGACAAACGTCAGAGAGTAAGTACAACACAAGTGAGGATCTAGAAAAGAGGAAACAATGTCAGTAAGTGTTCATAGAGATGGGTCTTTAGCTTTTTCTTAAAGGTGCAAAGGGACTCCGCAGAGCCAATGCAGTTTGGTAGTTTGTTCCTCCACCGGGGGGCGACAGAGGAGAAGAGTCTAGTTAGAGACTTAGGACCCTGTTGTGATCAGACTCCTTTCATTGGCAGAGCGTAGTGGGCGGGAGGGGGGGTGTATACCTGGATGTTAGAGTTTAAGTAAGAAGGAGCTGTATCTGTCTCTGTTTGTAAGCGAGAGGCAGGGTTTTAAATTTGATGCTATCAGTATCTGGGAGCCAATAGAGGGGGATGAACAACAGAGTGACATGTGCTCTGGTGACATGTGTATGTTGAAGACCAGTACATGCCAAAGAGGTCGATTGGTCTGTTGCAGCTGAAAAAGATTGGTCGTTGGTTTAGCTAAGTTGGTGAAGCAGGCGTCCCCTCTTGGATCAAGGAGATAAGTGCCATCCTCCGATATCCCTCCCCACATTAACCATTTCTCGATACCTGTCTAATCAAATTAAGGCAAAAATACCCCCCAGAAAACGTAAAAGTTTGAGACACTTGCTCCGTTGAATAGTGTAGTGTAAAGCAACTGGATTCAAGACAAGAGAAAAAAAACACCAGATTTCCAACATCGAACATATAGTCCACTCTACCTGTATGGCGGCGAGGCCGACGAAGGCGTGAACAGTGTCTTCCAAAGCGGAATCATCTGCCTCCATGAGCAGACGAGACACAACCAGGCCGGTGTCCTTCAGCGCGGCATCAGATCGCAGTATCGACTCTCTGAACTCTGGAAGCTGCATGAGACTACGACCCATACCTGCCCACTGCGTTCCCATACCTATGAATACAACCAACAGTCAAAGACCGCCTGAAAAGACCCGCCTGTCTGAGCAGATCTGAATTTGCTAGTTATTGTTTAAGCAGATAAATCTTAAGTGTTGTTCTATCAATGTTGGGTTATGATTTGTATTTAAATCGAATATCAACAAAATTAAATCTGCAAATCACACAATACTGACTAATGATGGTGTTTTCACATGCACAAGGAATTATTGATCTATTATATAAAAATGTTGAAATGTGATCCACCTGATGATAAATTCATCAACAGTTATTTCAATCCATTCAGATTTTTTTAAATCTCTCACTCTGAGATTTAAGTTTCAGGTTCATAACAATGGATGGGTTTTAACTCTGAAAAAGGAGATTTTCAGAAATATACAGCAACATCTATCCTAAGAGGTACTCTCATAAGCAAAATGAAACTTGTGGTCATACTCAGTAAATATTTGCCCTTCCAGATCTGTCAAGAAGCTAAGTCTATCTCCAGCGAGCAGTGATTTCCTCTACTTTCTTCATTTCATTTGACTTATCATTTATGTATTTTGTTTTTGTCATTTGTTCATTTTAATTGTACTCTCGACATCACTGTAAATGGTGTACTTGACATCAGTTATTTCTTGAGATTAAATAAAGGTTGAATGAATGAATGAATTACATTTTGATGAGTAAGATTGTCTATCATTGGCTGTAATCTGGCACGCTGTGATGCAATAGCACTAAATAGGTTGAAAAGACGCTGATTTGCAAGAAGTTATAAATCATACTTTGTCACTGTCTGCAAAACCAGACAGGCCTCAACGATCTTAAGTTTTTATGGCTTTTTTTTTAATTGAGCTTGGATTAAACTATTTTTTTAATGCAACCTCAGGTTGTCAGGAAAGTGCTGAGGCTTTGCAACACAGCCAGCTCGAGAAGTCAGGTCTTTAACTCTGTATGTAATTGCACTGTGCTAAACACTGATTGCATTAATACTGCATATTGTATACATTGCTTTTGGTCTGAACACAGGTTAAGGACATTATATGAGTTAAAAAAATCTGCTGTATTTCAAACACCTGGCTGATCACTCACCTGAACAGATGTACCATAGCGGTCTGGCAGCGCCCTGCACCTGCTGCACTTCCATGATGTCGCTCTGAGAGTCGATCAGAGTGTAACCTCTGTATGGCATGCTGCCTGTAGGAGCTCCTGACACTTCGTTCAGCAGAGACAGGAAGTTGTTATCTGCAGCGTGCTCCTTACCCTTCTGCAGCAAGACATTCACGGCAGCTTCTGTGCGGCCACACACTTGAAGCACCCTGGGAACGGTCCTGGGTGGTGTGGTGGCATCAGCTGGTTTCTCAGCTGGACGAAGGATCACGTGAACATTTGAACCCCCAAATCCAAAAGAGTTGACGCCAACAATGCCTCCTCGAACAGGAATTGGGCGGTCAACAACTTGAAGTCGGCCGTCAGTGAGAGCTGGGATGTCAGTGTTTGGACTGTTGAAGTGCAGGTTGGGCGCCCAGACTCCTCGCTCCAAAGAAAGGCACACCTGTAAGTGGGATGAAAACAAAATTTAAAAACACAGGCAAGGTCAAGATCAGAAGTGTATCACGGCAGAAATACTTAAAATAGTGGAAAAGATAATTTCTCTTATAAAGATATGAACAATATAAATAGTCAAATTCTGTTAAAATAATATAATAATGAGTTGTTTTTTTTACATCGACAGATAATCGTTAAATTCATTCAATACCAATGAGTTGAAGGGTCTTGTACTACCCTCCAATTCATTCAAAAACTCTTCTGTACTGAATATGAATGCATATTACTCACATACTAATGACTTTTAATCATTGTTTACCCTTTCCTCAATAATAAATTGTAAGTCATAAAAAAGAAAGGCAGTGTGGTGCAGCCAACAATATGCTCGAGTGGAAGGTTTCAAAACAGGCAGATAAAAATAGCAAATGCTTTCTGATATACAGTACATATATATATATTATAATAGAAGTTTTTGTTTTTGAATCCTCAGAGCAGCCAGTTTAATGCACAGTGTCTCACCTTTGCCAAAGCAGCAAGACCAGAAGCCGGTTCTGGATGACCCATGTTGGATTTAGTGGAACCGATGAGCAGAGGTTCTCTCTTTGAATTACAGAATACACCGACGATGCCGTTCACTTCCTGTGGGTCTCCAACCTGCATGTTAAGAGAAGAAACACAATAACATTATCATAAGGTTACATGAGTTATACTGTCATCGCCCCTGTTGGGAATCTTTTTTGTGGACTCTATCTGAAAATAGAGCAAAAACGCAAACATAAACAATAAACCAGCCATCAAACTCCTGTAAGTCACTCCTGTTTTTAAGTTTGCCACATGTTTTTATATACTTCAATAATCCCTGAGGGAAATTCTGGTGTACTCCGATTTCATTCCGTCTTAAAGCACAGAGATGCCCTGGAAAGCAACTTGAATGTGACTAAAGAAAGTCGACTGTTGTGTACACTGACCTTTGTGCCGGTGCCGTGGGCTTCAACGTACTCCACCTGCTCAGGTGTTATATTTGACTCCTCATAGAGAGAACGAACCAACCTCTGCTGCATCTCACCTGAAGGAAATGTTACACCTGAGGGACACAGGAGAGTGTGAGGACAACAAAACAAGAAAATGATCACACAACTTTACTTTATTAGCATTTACTAGAACAAGAATTTAAAGTAGAATGTCCCATAGAAATAGAGGCGGGGACAACCAGATTTCTCTCTCTTGGATCTCCACTTCTCATCTCAACTTACATGATTATATTTAGGTTCTGTCACACCACAAGTTAGTGCCACTCCTTACCTTGCTCTTTATATCCATCTGTGTTGTTTCCAGCGTTGACTACTGTGGCATACACTCTTTTAGCTGCCGACCGCTTTGTTAGAAGCACGACCATGGCTGCCTCCGAGCGACAGTACCCATTTCCTGGTCCACAGAAGGATAAAAATCTTAAGTTTATATTGCACCAATACACAGAGTGCATCAATAATTGTACAAAAAAAGTTAACTATATCAAGCAATGTATGATTATAGTGATGATGAAGAAAAGAGCTGTAGCATAAGATGTGTGGATAAGAAACACTGCTGCTGATAAATATATTTAGTTCAAGACAACGTCTTAGAGGCAACATAAAGCCATGTCACATTTATATTCAAATGCAGGAGAATAAAATATATATTTTGGCAGTATCAAGAAGTATTGTTTGTTTGTTAAAATGTACATAATCAGTCGGTCTAGTTCTGTGAGCAGAATTACACAACCTGAACGTTAAAGGCCGTGAAGAAAGAGATGCAACACTGTGCTAAGACGCTGCCTTTGCAGACTCTGTCTACTTTAATTTACCTGAAGCATCAAAGGACTTGCAGGTCCCCTCAGGACTGAGCATGCCCAGCCTCATGAACTGCACGGAGGTGTTTGGCTTGAGCAGCAGGTTGACTCCGCCCACTAGTGCAGCTTCACACAGACCCTGGCGCATGGCGTGGAAGGCATTTTCTAAAGCCAGCAGGCTGGAGGAGCAGGCTGTGTCGATGGCCGTGCTGGGGCCTGTGGGACGATATCAATATTCAAAATTACAAAACAGTTTACACAAGGATATCCTGGGTACTATCTTCATTAATTACTTTCTCTTTAATTTGAAAGCAGCCAGTCAGCACTCAGACAAACTCTATTTCAGTCTTTATCTACATCCAGGGGAATTTGAAAATACAGATATTTGTGATATCAACAACAGTTTATGTGGGATTCTGCAGGCTTTGCAAATGTAATATAACCAAAATTGCAAAATAATAGTACAAGAGAATTTGTATAAAAGTTTTAAATGTTGGCCAAATCCAGGATCTGGATTGTATTTGGATTGCTGTGGCGTTCACTGCAGGAGCTCTGAGCACAGCAGATAAATGGACTCATTTTTTGCATCATGCAAAGTTAACAGAAGCATTTTCACACAAAATCCTTTGGCTAGGCATCTATCCGAGAGAAAATCAGGGAAATTTTGTTTTTATTTATTTGGGTTTTTAAATGACAAAGGGGTGAAGGTGGGTTGCAGCAGCTGTGAAAACAGGAAGTAATGGCTGCAATATAAAGAGTGCAGATGAGAACATCCATAATGTCTTTTATTAACCACTGACAGACTCAGATTGTTATTTTAGGATCAAATAATGACAAAGAAAACATGGTAGAGAAAACATGCTCAACTCCCTTTCAAAGTAAAACAACTTGGTGCTGAATCCCGGAAAATGTTCCAACAATTCTTCTTGTTACACACGCTGAAGAAGAGCATCTTTTCCTGAGACTAACCATCCTAGAAAACAATGTAAGACAGGAGGTAGTGCTGAGCGTCCCCGCTTTGTCTTATAGTCTCTATTTTTGTCTTAAAAGCACATAAAGAGTGTTTCTGGTGACATAAGCTTATAAACTAAAAACTAATCTATTTTATTAAAAAGTAAAAGTAGCTAGCACATTGATGAAGGTTGTCAAAAAAAGGGAAGATGTATATGTCTTTCCCATCAATAGAAGTAATAGCTTAATCCTTTTAATTCTCACTATTGAGTAACTCTGCATTGGGTAATAAGGGCAGCAAGTTTAACTTGTTTCCATAAATATATGAGGAGTTGGCAAGTGAACAAAAGGTTGTCTCTGTAACCCTCAATGTTTCAGAATAAAGCAGGCTATAAGAAAGTGAAAGAGTTTAAACTTCAGATTTTAACAGGCCAATCCACAATTGGAATCTTGGCGCTGCTTCTGGTATCGGCCTCTGTTGCTTTGTCGGCCACTTGAGAGTGATTCTTTTACGTCAAGTTCTCGGCTCACGAGTTCCCCCGACCCCGTCTAATCAGGTAGAGTCTCCCGCTGTGAGAGACATGTGAAAACAAGCAACGCTGGAAGATTTCAGGGTCTGTCTGAAGGTTTCTAGAATTTTCAGGAGTGCATATTTGAAAACAGCTTATGTGTGGATGCTGGATGTTTGTGTTCGTACCACTAAAATCAAAGAAGTAAGAGAGTCTGTTGGCCAACATGGCGCGCTGACAGCCGGTCATACTGTAGCCCAGTAGCTCGTCCGGATCTCTGCTGAATGCTTCACTGGCCTCTGAGCCGCTCACTCCGACATAGACTCCTGTTTTACTGCCACGCAGCGCGGCCGGGTTCAGTCCTGCAACACATTTCAATGTTTTTAAACCATTCAGTCAGTATTTCATCAGAGAGCCTCACTCGGAACAGGAGATCTCCTTAAAACTCAGCCAAAGAAGAAAGGGACAAAAAAGCATTCTCCAGCAGACATTTTCTGTATTCCTGTCAGACAACTTCTTAACTCTTTCACTCATGTCACTGCTCTCTACAGATCTGCAGTTTCCTCACCTCCGTCTACAATGGCCTCGTATGCAACCTCCAGCATGATGCGGAGCTGGGGGTCCATGGTGTTGGCCTGTTTGGGGTGGACTCCAAAGAAGGCGCATCGAATTTGCTGATGTCTTTCAGTTTTCCGTTCCGCTTTGGGAGACCGTACAGACCTGGAAACAAGAAAACAAGTAAAGAAAGACCATTTTTAGAAGAATTCTTCACTCAGGGAGCGATTGTTGCAAATGGCAGGTCTCAACAGGCCTGACAGAACCAAACTTGGCCACCTAACTGATAAAAGGACACTTGGTGGAGTTTTTTTGGTTCATGTTTGAGATACCTGTTTCCCCAGCTTCCACTCTTATTGTAATAATAATAATAAATAATATTAATACATTTTTATTTATAAGCGCTTTTCAGAAATTCAAAGACACTGTACAATGAACAATTTAAGAGTGTGAATATAATATTTGGTACAGGATCTGTCAACACAAGTAAAAAAAAAACATCTGTAGAATAAAGACACACAGGTCAAGGTCAAATCATAAAATATATCACAGAGATCATAAATGCTAACAACTTGACCTGCTCTGATAACAGTCTGGTTTTATCTTCTCAGAGAAACTGATAGCACCACCTTATTCACGATTGTGTTATAGATCGATTTACTGTGGAAACCTTACTACCAACAACTACTCATCTGATGGCTTTATCTGTTTATATAAAAGATTCAAAAAATGACAGGGAAATAATTAATTGAATTAAAATATGCACCGTAAATTCAGCCTTTATGCAGACGACATTCTCCTATACCAACAAAAACCATCATCATCTGTACCTTCCTCGATCTTATAAACACTTTCTCCAAAATCTAAGACTACACTATCAACTGGGCCAAATCCACTATTCTCCCTCTCTCCCCAAATAGTTGGGATGTGGCAGCTAAAACTTCCCCAAACTCACATATTTAGGAATTAATATTTCCCCCAGGCTCAAAGTTAACTAATCTCAAATTCAACTCCCTTCTCAAGACAATACATGATGACCTCCAACGCTGGATGACTCTACTGCCATCAGTCATAGGCAGAATTGCTACAATAAAAATGACCATATTACCAAAATAAACTACATGTTCTCTATGATCTCAATGAAGTCCCCACAATCCTGGTTCAAATCTCTTGACTCCATCATTACAACATTTTATCAGAAAACCAAAACAACCAGAATTAAATGATACAGTTTAGAAACACTACAAAAACCCAAACCCCAAGGAGGTCTACAAGCACCAAACATTTTCCACTACTTCATTGCCCACCGACTACAATACATAAAAAAAATGGACCAATCCCATTGAATCTGACAACTCCTGGAAAGACATTGAACAAACATTATGCAAAGAACTCCACATGTCAGAACTCCCATTGATTTGCCCCTCTTATCAAACACCACCCCTGTTTTTAAACCCCTACCATAGCAACAACTCGCCAAATAACTAACACCACTATTTCTCCCATCAAGCAAACACCCATCTGGAACAACCCTGACTTTGCAATCAACAGAAAACTGCTCCACCTCCCAGCATGGATCACTAAAGGTATCACACACCTCCAGCACATTCTTCATAACAACACTCTTGTCTCATTCCCTCATTTGTCCAGAAGTTTAGCATTGGGGAACAGCATGTTTTAGAATATCATCAAATTCAATCTTCTATTAAAAGCAAAATCAATATTATCACATCCAACTTTGAACTTCCACCATTAACCTCAAACATAATCAATATCAAAACAAGAAAAAAAAACTATTACCTAAACTCTCCAAAATAATCTCCAAATTTGCCAATATCTGTCCCTTTCATTAATTGGGAAACAGACCTCCAGGTTACCCCCTCAATTCCAACTTCTGGACCCAAATCTGCAGAAACATATTCTCCATATCAAACTATGCAAACATACAATTTATACAATACAGGATTATTCACTACTAAAGGTGAGAGGAAAAACAAGTTTCACTGATTCTAAATTATGTTCATACTGGACACAAAACACCACAGGCGGATACCTGCACCCCACATAGGACTGTACACTGATAAAATAATTCTGGCATGACATCACTGACCACCTCTCACTGCTCTTGAGCTGCCACATCCCATGTTCACCCACACTGTGTTTACTAGGAGACATATCCACCATCAACTTAAATATCACATCCAGCAAAATACTCCTCATAGCTCTAACCATCGCCAACAAAACTGTCCTCCTGAACTGGAAGTCAAAAAATATATATTACTGCACATTGGAAAAACAAACTCATCCAATGCATATCAATGAAAATAGTATCTACATCACTCATAGAACAAACTGCTGATTTTGAATCTGTCTGGAATTCAATAAACTACAACCTCGATTTATAATTACCAAAAACATTAAACCCATCATTCTTCCTGTGCACCAATCACAGCTAAAACAAACACACACACACAATTTACAGATAACTGTAATTACACGCACTACTATTTTTCACACAGTCCCCATGCTCTCTCCTATCTGATGCTTTCACTTTCACTTCCAACCAGTCCTCTGAAATATCATGATACATTGCTACCTACCCGTAACTTCATTGTACTTATTATCATATCTATTTAAGCATAATATTTGGGCATACTGCTGTTATTAGTAGAGCCAGACTGATATGAGACTTTTTGGTTCCGATATCGATCGATCAAGACTTAATGGAGCTGTTTTTTGTTCTGCCAGTCAATGAAAACAGTCAATCTGTGTTGAAATCCATTCTGACCCTCAAAATCAATCAAATCCAGATTTATGAGGACTCTCACCTGGAGTCCACCGCCGGTTGTCCTCTGTCACCATGTCCACACCACCCATCAGGTTTTCCCAGAATTCCTCAAGGTTGTTGGACTCGGGCAAACGACCCGATATCCCAGCTATGACTATATCATCCATGTTGAATTTCTGTGAACAGAGAGAGAAAGTAAGATGAGTTTACCAGTGAGAGTTGGAGAAATTCTTTATAAGGAATGTAATCAGCATTTAAAGGTTAGGTTTTTATCCTCATTAAACGATACATCACAATAAAAGTCTCTTCCACACATAAATAATATTTGTATAAATAGTTAAAGGGAAATAAGTCAATTAAATCAGGATTTTTTTTCTAAGCTAAAGATCAACCAAGTGGAAACCTAAGGAGTTAAAAAATGAAGCCAATGCAAAAACTGCAGTTCCTTGAGTGTCCACTTGAGAATGGCTCCAAAAACCAAAGAAGTACCATTAACATTTGTATTCAAAATAAAAAATGCCCACTTTGACAGCAGAAATAAATGTTTCAGCATGGTTACTAAAAACTATTGTGGTCTGTCAAGTCCATTTCTTTCTCAGCAAAAACTGTGCAGGGGTGATTTTTTTATAACTCATCCGATTTGATTTTATAAAGAACGAATTCGATGGTGCAAAGAGAGGCAGAGAGACCAATTTTTTTTTTAGAGAGGCTCGGTGCCACATAATAAGCACCTCCATTACAGCAACTCTACCTACAAACTCTGTATCACTCCATATCTTCACCAAGTCTTTCCCAAAAATAAACTAAATGAAACTTCCGGCAGTTGGTACATTCCCTTTCCGTCAAGATCGTCGTCCGATGTGGTTTGTACATTTTTTTTTTTAGGACTGGTAAAAGTGTTCTGCCACTTGTAAATTTGTCTTACTTGTAAAAGTCTTTCACATCTTGTACATTTGTTTTGTCCTTGGTAAAAGTGTTTTAGTTTTATAATTTGGTTTAAAAACATTTTTTACATTATTTTGAAATATAAATTTGTCTCATATTTTGTAAACCTGTTTCACTCTTCGTAATTTTGTTTTCCACTTCCCAGCCACTCTGCAGATGTGTCAAAATGAAATCTTCAAACCAAAAGGATTACGTTAGAAGCTCAACCTGCTAAGAGGTGAACACACAGTGACTTATGAAAGACATCTAATAGCAACTCATACAGGCTCAACTTAAACTTACAAAAAAGAGATTGTTTTGCTTCTCAGATTTAGTTGCAGCTTAATCAGTGTTTGATGAGAAACTAACCTGCCTCAAAATAAGAAACAAAATCACTCAAATGTAACTCTTTATGAGCGAGAAAAAGACCTCGTCAGTATTCTCTTTAACATTTTGAAGATTTCCATTCATGAAACAGCCTATTGCTTGAACATTATAAGCCTTGATAATTCAATTAAACATCCTAACACAGAGAAAGGTTGCAGCTTAAAAAAAAAAGGGGGAAATCTTCTCTATATTTTTGGCAAATTGTTTACCTGAAGACACGTCTGCTTTCTTGTTAAAGCTGGAAATGCTGTCTCACCACAACCTTCAGTCAACCTAACGACAGGCTGAGAGCTGGAGCTGAGGCGGGTTTTAAGCCTCCTGACAAACCGTTACACCACGCCCACCTGTCAATCAGGTCAGCTACACGCCTTATTGTGAATAACTCTTATTCTTCATCAAATCAAAACGGATGAGTCATCAAAACATTCACCCCCCGTACAGTGTGTGTCGATCGAGACATGAGCTAATCAGACTTATTTGTTTTTTTTTAACCCTGGCTGTAAACAAGTTAATCTCTGCTGTAAAAAAAATTGGCTCTTTTGAATCTTGGGTGTGTATGTGACTTCCTGTGCTTCTGAAGCCAGCCTCTAGTGACACTTGAAATAGGTTCTGCAGTCTCCATTCATCTGGGATTTTTTCAGAAAAACCAATAGCTAAGATTGGGATATACAACGGAGTGCCAGGAGCGAAAAAAAAGAGGTGCATTTCATCTGGTTCAGTGAACACATTCACAACGAAACACTACTGTATTGTACATAAACTACAGCCATTCAATAGCAAAAACTGTTAATTCAAATAGAACTTGAAAAAAATGTTCCTGTTGGAGTGCTTTAATAAAAAAAAAAAATCACTACATTTAACACATTTCAGTTAAGAAGTGACGGTGCTAACAGTGATGGGCAGCTTTGGGAATGAGGACTTGCTCAGAGTATGCATGACAGAGCACTCAGAGCAGACAATGTAGTCTGCTGATAGACTGCTCTGTGTACATGAGTGAGCATGTTAATGTATGTGTGTGTGTGTGTGTCTTGGTCTTTGTTCCTTGTTTCTAGGCCAGGACATTTCATGTCAGCAGGGCAGAGCCTGTCGACCAATCAACTCTCAGCTTGGGACAGAGCTACTGTAAACAAAGGCCCGTCACAACCTCAATGTAGAGCAGGCAGACTGCTCCCCCCCCCCCCCCCCCATGACATATTGTACAAACAAACACAGTGGTGTTCAGCAGATAGTCTGAATCTCTTATAGACACATCAATAATCACATTTTTATTTTAAATTGTCATGATTTGAATTTCAGAGATTGGTTCCTTGCAGTTTTGTTGATTTAAGCCGTTTTGTTGTGCACAGAGCAAAGCAGCAGCAATGGCATGTCAGGTGTTAGTCTCAACATGACCTTTCACTGTTTGTTAATACTCTATAGCAGATTCACATTAAAAATAATTGTTTCTCTAATGGTCTTTAGTGGACGCAGGATGTGTGTGGGGAGAGGGCTGCCAGGTGATGTGCCGATGCGCCTTTAATAAAAATAAGACTTCTGCAATAAGTTGATATCCCCATAACGATGACTGTGATTAACGCACAGCCTTTAGTTTCACTGTTTTAAAAATCCTTTACAGAAGACCTCACCTTTCTTTGCTGCAGGAAATGAATGTGAACTCTGTGAACTAAGCATGCAAAGCAAAAAAAGCAGAGCAACTTGCTATTGTCACTGTTACTGCTGCATGATTTATTGAACAGACACTTTGTAGGCAGTTTTATAATGACTTCACTTTTAGAAATTAGATGTGTATGTTTCACATTGACAGTCCACCTCTGTGAGAGCTAATATCAGGACCGAATGAAATGTCTTTAAGAAGCACCCATATTCTTTGAAAACTTATGAAACCAGCACTGGGTTTTTATTAGCAATGATGTGAGAGAACAACCTTGGGGGAAACTATCTAATATTCTTTTACTGCTCCATTTAGTGCAAAAGTAGAAGTCCACATATACCTGCATATCAAACATTTGCACACATTTTAAAGCAAGCCATAGGAAACCTATAAATAAAACCTTTAAATAAATTCCAATTTATATATTTGAAAGTCTTATATCATGCATATCATTTATCCTACAATACTAACGTCTCTGTTTTGTACATAAATTCTACGTCTACAGGCTAATATAGAAGTGCAGGCTCTGATGTGAGTCAAGGTAAAAACATCACAGTCAGAGTACGATTTGCTGTCCTCATCCTTCCACACGCTCAGCAGCAGGGAGGATTTGGAGTGCAGGACACACAGGCCTGGGATTAGACCTTAAAGAAGAAGCACCTTCAGTCAAAACGTGTCTTACCTGGCCCACATGACTCACTCTGCACATGACTGTAAGGATAAGGAGGCTAACCACACTTACTGGTAAACAAGTTGGCCTACACTTACTCAGCAATCTATGATACCATGCCTCAATGCAGCGTGTTGTTGTACTGACTTATAATCACTGGCAACAAGTCAGTGGCGGTGTAGTGCTGCAGAGTAGTGATTTCTAAAGGCCCTGACACAACAAGCAGACGGCAAAGAACTAGTGGAGTCGGTGCACGACGCCTTTTGTATTGGCCAAAAAGTTGCACTTGAACACACCACAAAGACTACAGCCGACGGCCAACTACCACGTACGTTCTGCTCATGGGTGAGAGGAAATAACTCCATGCCAGCAGGGGGCGGTAGTCTGTAATGGTCAGTACAAGTACGAGGAAGAACGTGGATAAATAAACCGCTGTTGTGATACGAGAAGACAATTTTCTCACCTCTGTCGCTCAACACTCGTAATATAGGAACTTCTAATGGAGAATAATGTCTGATGAAAAGTTAGAGATGGAACTGGCGCTGGCTCTTGGTCTTTTGTTAGTGGAACAAGAAGAGAAGAGGCGCTTCTGTATTTCTTCTTGTGCACTGGCTCTCCTGTTTCACTTAGCTGAACAGCAAATCAGAGAGATTCCTATCGCCGATTCCACATTGTGGCAAAAAAACAAACAATTGGTGCCGACAGGTGACGGAGCGACAGCACTGGACACACCGTAAAAACTAGAGCGACGACCGCTCATCGAAGGACCGACGGTCTCCTTGGTGTGTCAGGGCCTCAACAGCAGTGCATGTGTGTGTTCTCCTTTGGTATTCCAGCCTCCTCCAACAGTCATGCAAGTTAGGTTAATTGGTGTCTGCAAAATAGCCTGTAGATGTGCATGTGAGTGGTTGTCTGTCTCTTAAAGTGTCAGCTCTGTGATTGACCGGCAGTGGCAACCTGTTCTGGGTGTACCCGCCTTTCAGCCTGGAATCTGCTTCAGGCATCCCACCTTCAAAGGAAATGTGGTATGAACAATGGCTGGGTAACTGCCTGCAGCCTTATCCTTCATAGCTAACTATCAGCATATTCCAGTCTTCGACCTTTTAAGTTTGGATATTGTATAACTTTAGCGGCACCCACAACAAGCCCTGGCATGTCTACAGTATGAGAGAGAGTAGGACTAAAGGTGGACACACAATTATGTCTATATATTATTATAGTGACAACTGTTTTTTCATCTTTGCAGGAGTAAAGAAGTTCAAACCTTTTCCTTGATGGCATAAAAATACTGCTTCACTTTACTTCTTACATGAACTAAAATAAAAAAAACATAATTCAAATCCTGCATTCTCAAGTAAAGAAAAGTGTGTGTTTTTTTCTACAAGCTTATAATGATCCCAGGCAGCAACCTTCTGTGTTGTAAACTTGCGTTCACTTGAGGCTTGCTTTAAAATGTAAGGAATCCCCAGTAGGTAACATGTTAAAATGTACATTCATAGAGCATGTTTACAGCCTGGGTCAAAAACTAAAGTAATTTGATACCAATAGCTCATTGCTTTATCGATATACACTGTACAAGGGGCAGGACTCATTTTGATTTGAAGTCTTTACATTATTCATACATTTGCATAACAACAGGCGTGAATGAGTTCACTGACAGTTGGAAGTGTTGCAGCTGTTTGCCAGGAAGCTTAAAGGGATACTTCACTCATTTGCATTAAGCTTTGCATCAACCTGGTAGTACTTCTGAATGGTCGTGCATCCCGCCCTCATTTTCCCCTGAGACGGGAAAGATCTTTATTTCCAATGACGCAAAAATCGTAATTTCGCGTCATTGGCAGCTGTTGCGGTTAGCGGGGGTGAAACTACAACGCTAGTTCCTCATATTTTCAACCACTGAAGCTACAGACCAATCACAGATCAATGGGTGGGAACTCACTTCCAGAAACAAAACGAAAGTATGATAAAAGTATGTTTCAACTTCAAACTGATATGGATTTTGGAAGGTCTTGTGGTCGTGGCTATCTCTACGAGCCACAATATAGCGACAAGGTTGCTCAAGCTGGGGTGGACTGGTAGTGTCGGTGCTCTCACTGTTTGCTAATTGAGATGCAAATTCCTTCTGGAAGAAATCTCAGAATCAGTTGAGGAAACGGGCATATGTGTTGTAGTAAATGTCTGTAAATAGAGGACCCTAGCTTCAGTGGGAGTGGCCTGCGCTGCTGTGCATTCTAGGAGTTGGTGTCTTTCATCCACGAGCCAAGAAAAACCACTTTCTGCTTTTTCTCGGTCAAGAAGGCACCAACTTCAAAATGTATTTCACATTTCTACTACATATATGACCCAATGTCAATACAGATTCATGTTTCAACGGGTGAAGTATCCCGTTAAGGCCCGCCTCAGCCTTACCTCTCTGTCTGTTTCTAGATATTTTGAAAGTTAGGTTGAGATAGCATTTCTAATATGGGACTGCCATTGTTGGTTTCTCTTCCAAAACCAATAGGTGACATCACTGACATTACCGCATTGACTCTAGGGAGGAGGGCGGCGTGAGGACCGCTCTCTTCAATGTTTTAAATTTGGACTGTAGTTTTAATTTAATTTTAAACGCTACATGTCAGAGTTACATGTAGCTCATTTAAATCAGTATTTCCCCACACATAGCTGATACCTGGGCGGGCCGTCCAAGTATATTTCCGACCTGTTTTATTTTTATTTTGAATATATTCACGCAATGGCTGCATGTACGAGAGAGCGAGAGCGAGGGAGAGAGAACGCACCAGAGAGTGCAGACACGTGCGAGGACCTCACAGCTCCGTGCAACATAACAAAACTCCTGTTTAACAAAGTCGGCCCTCTCGACTCAGCAAGACCACGAGTGCAGAATCACATCAGCAGAGAGAGAGAGAGAGAGAGAGAGAGAGAGAGAACTCCACCACCAAGGTATCGTGTTATTCTGTGGGAAACACTGTTATTAAGTATTTGAAATTTAAATCAAATCATTTGTATTTTGAAAACAGAATCTAAAAAATGATTTGAAATTGAATTCATTAATTTTCTAAACTGTATTTAACATTCTGAAATTGAATACATTTTTTTTTTTTTTTTTTAACTATTTTTTTTTCCTTGATAAAAATACAAGACCCCAAATGCAGTTCTCTCTACAAATTCATTTTCAAAATTATTGTGAACACTTCCAGCTGGTAAGGAAGAGCAATTCTGTTCTGTTGGGGAGTATAAACAATGTTTTTGTTTTAGTCATGTTTGGCTAAATTAGCCTACTAGCTTTCAAGATATCAAGAGTAACTCTATATCTTCACAAGCTTTAGGCAAACATTTTAGTCTTTTTTACTACCTGGAAAAAACAGCACCCTGTGAGATCATGATTTAGCATTAAATAAAAACTAAGCTGTCAGCTTTTTGAAGAAAACATAATTATAAAACAACACGCTGTTGGGAACTTTAATGGTGTTGTAGAAAGTTAAACTCACTTTAAACAGTCATAGTAAAAATCAACCAATACCTGTTTTGATACCACAGCAACAACAATAAGTCTGAGACAAACATTGTCTATTTTCTTGTTTTGAATTGCCAAAAATTACGAGCAAACTCCTGCACTCTCTTAATTAAACAAATACACTCTGAATTAAGTACCAACACGTTGCCAGTATATTGGACATTTTTGACAACCTTAATTTGGTTTTCATTTCCATCCAGCAGCCATGCCCCAACTGGAAACTACACCACGAATCAGCTGAGGAATCTGGGAACCCACAATGTGGATGTGGAGCATCAATGAGCCATTCATTCGCCAGTCTCTCCGTTTGTAAAGGTTCGGGGAGGCTTGTGAACTCGGTGACCAGCAAGTCCTCACGCTGGGCTAAAAGCCCATCCTCTAATCATGGCTTATCATCGCTGTGTGTCTCACTCCTGTGACAACATGCCAGAGAACCAGAGCAGCATCTGATGTTATGACATCATCAGTATTATTCGAATGAGCGACCGGCACTGGCATGTTGTTTACTCTATAATCCACAGAAACGAACACACCTCCAGCCGGCAATACATAGCAGGATGAGCCTGTTTTTGACAATGGCTTTCTGAGGCACGCATAGCAGGTATATTCATGAGCCATAGTGTAGCACCTGACTGATACTTATTTGGAGGAGAAATGTCCTAATTATGCCGTAATCACTTGATTTAAGTAGACAATAAAAAGCAAAAAACACATCATGTTATTGTATAAGAGCAGGACAGTGAAATTAAATTAGGCCCACAAAGGATATTGGCTATTGTAGAAAATTACAGACAGGTGGTCTTTTCTGTTTTTTTGTTGTCCTTCAAGACACAATTTAAAACTTGACGCTGCTTAATGCCAAATCTGGACAAGAGGAGCTTAACATGTTGATGAAACAACATGCAGACTCTTTATTAGACCAGCATAGACAGGGAAACGCCAAAGTGCATTTGTCTTTTTTACTCCCTGTGTTTCCTTCTTTTATAAAGAAAATGCATCAGGATGTTTTCCCATCCAATGCGAAAGCACGTGAATGCAGCATTACCAAAACAGCAGCTAATGTGATTGTTTTTCTTAATAATAAAATGGACCTTTATATGTGTGTGTGTGTTTTTGCAACAATATGACCCAAGTGGCTGCTTTATACACACACCAATGGGTGAAAACATTTGATATTGATCTATTTTCATGCAGACCACCCCTCTGCTCAGCTGGGATGCTCTGCTCCATGACCTGAAGACAATGCTGAGTCCAAAGATGTAGGCATTGCTTAAGTAATCCAAACATAATGTTATGCGTTTTGGAAATCTCCTACACTGGTGATGCTGCAGGTCTGTCTTTGATAGAGATAATACCGGCTGATTAAACTCTTTTTTTTTACTTTCATCAGGCATGTTTAAGCTGATGAAGCACCAGAATACGAGTAGTCTAATATCAGGTGAAAGTGCTACCAAAACTACTGACTTTCATTTTGAGGTTGATTTATTTCTGTCCCGTCACAGAGCACGCCGCTTTGAGTTTATCTACATGATTTATATTTACATTTTGACGTCCTTTGTTTAGTTAAAACCTCTGAACATTTGGTCTCCAGCATGAGGAAGCAGACACAAAGTTATAATGCACGACTCGACTAAAAACCCCGTTAGTGAACTTACCGGTTGGGCGTCCCGTTAAAAATGACGATGTTGAACCAATCGGTGAAAGGTTTCCACTCGTTTGGCATGTATTCACCACCGGCTTGTTCCCGTTAGCCTATCTTATCTTGTGTCGGGTGTTCCTGTTACTGTAAAAAAATGTCTCCGTCCCTGCCCCCTTACTCCGTAGAAAGGCTTACGTTAGCCTCCGTGCTTCTTTAAATCGCTTTCTCTCATGAATTTAAATGTCTCACATTCTGCCTGGCCACGCCACATGGGCTGACAGCTTGGCTGGGCCGTGCAGTCCAATGAGAAAAGAGGCAGGGCTCTCCGATCCAGCCACTGATGGAGTAATTCGTTGAACGGCGGTAGAGGAAGACAAAAAAAACCGTAGACGAGGTTACTGGAGTTCAAATGATTCTCCTCCTCTCCTGTTTTATTCGCCTGCCGAGAATCAGACACCTCGCAGGAGTCAGGACAATACAAAAGCTAGACACTTTCCAATTTAGACACTTGGGATCTTTTGCATCTACCCTTAAAATACTATGATGCCGCACTGTTTGCAGGTCGCATGCTAATATAACAGCGTCTTTCATCGAGTTTAGAGGGAAAACAAGGAGGACACTTTTTCATCACAGATCTGCTCCTAGAAATACGATATTTACAGTTTTCTAACACTTCCGCAAGGTGCATGCAGGGAGGTCCACTGTGCTGCAGAGAGAGAGAGAGAGAGAGAGAGAGAGAGAGAGAGAGAGAGAGAGAGCTGCATCACAGAAAACACAGCAGACGTTATCAATGCTGTCTTTATTACTTTTCATATTTAAACCTGCGGCTCGTACCTTTAGTGTAATGTTTAAAGTTGTGTAGCCATACTTTATCTTACACAAAGTGTAATTATGTGTACACTAAGAGCTATGTGAAAGCGTTTTCATAAACACCCATGTAGGTGTACGCATAGTCTACCTGGACAATAAAGTTAGTGCTTAATAACTTTATGTAGGTAATTATCATATGCCTATGCAAATGAGAAAAAGACCCCCCCTTGATAAATAAATTCAAGACATTTTCAAAACTTCCAGAGAAATATAAGTAGCCTATTTAATTTCTTCTACGTTAAATATATATTTTGTTATAGCCATATTAATTCATGCACCATGTCGTAAATGATTTTTTTTTTAGAATAGATATATAGCCTACATATAAATATAGCCTATGAGTGTATGAAAAGTGAGGGTAAGTTATACATGTTTGCATTTATCTATATAATCTGGCTATATTTATATTTATTCCTTTCACTTTAAAAACAATATACTCTCATTGTGAGACCTGTAGGGGCTTGCACTGCTGATTCTTGCATCATATGTTAAAAAAAAATACTATTTTTAAATACCAAGCATAGCACATGTGAAAAAAAAAAACATTTGATCATACTGGTATATCCGTGATAGGCATACGTGTGCAAACTAAATTGTATCTATCCACTCTAATTGTACTATAAGCAAAGTTAAAGTTTAAAATGTTGTTTAAACTAGGATACCCCTGTGTGCTCACTTAGTAGAGTGCATAATATTGATGTCTTCTAAAGTACTGGTTTCTGTTTCTAATAAAGCCAACAAGTACAAATAATTAGATAAAAAAAACAGCTGTAATAGGCTGCACTTGTCATAATTTAAAATATTATTAAAGTACAATATAACAGGGTGGTTCGTTATTCTTTTTTATTTTATTTTTTCTAACAATTGCCTATATATTTATGTAGGCTATCAAATCCAAAACTGATAATGTACACACAATAATTGTATTGTTTTGTCATTTATTTAGTATATTTATTTGATCATCTCGGGCCTCCGGCATAAACATCAACTCTGAAACATCCTTCTGTCTTCTTCTGACTAGTACCAACATGTCAACATTACATAACTTTACATTAGACTTGAACGCATAGACCGGCATCGGCACACGTGGGTACTCACCTATGGTGCTCACACACTTCCTCTAGATGACACGTAAACTATCCAATCACAGGGCGTGGGTGTGAGGCTCCATCCAATCACAGCAAAGGAGAGGGCGCTGTTAGGAGATAGGGTGATTAAAAGGCGGGGCTGAGGTGATGACGTAGACCGGAAAGCTCGTCTGACTCCTCAGGGTTACTATGGTACATAACTTGGGTCAGCAGGGCCTGTAACGTTCAAAGACACACAGTAACCCGGCCATCTCCAGAGAAACACTTACAGACATGTAGGCGTAACAATCATATACAGGCTCAATAGAAAACGAGGTCAGATGAGGTCAGAAGACAAGTTTGTTTTATGGAAGTTTATTATAGCTTGTGCATGTGCAAAATTACAGAAGGCTTGTTCTCTGCAGCCTTATCTCCACATGAGGAGAGTTAGTATGCAAAGAAAACACATTTTTGAGATATTTTATAATGAGAGAATGGCATTTTATTAAAATAAATAAATATGCATAATGCATTTCTTGAACATATGTTTGGCTTCTGTCAATGCAGAGGTGTCAATAGTGGTGATTATTGGTAACTGATTTAAAAAAGAAAGAAAATGAATTTATTTTCTGTATTTATTGCATAGTTAAAAGTTGAGAGTTAACAGTGAATGAGTGGACATGAAGATGTGGTATCACTAAATGAATGGTAAAAACATTGAACAGATAACAGAAGGGGCTGTTTCAATAAAAGAAGTATAGGCCTTTCTATCCGTCCGAGAAACAGGCGCTGTTTAGGTGGATGTTAGATGATGGTTGCTGATGGGTTCCGAGATTGGTGTTTGAGTAAAATGAACATTTTTGTTTTATTGTATACAACATTTCTGATTACCTGATCAGTGCAGTACACGTAGAGATGCTGTTTTAATGAAACGTTGGAGCAGCGTCTTCACTTTCTCCAGAGCTGTATCTTATTTAACTCCGAAATGTGGTTAAATAATCTCTGCACATTTTATTTCCCGATGCCGATCAGAATGTGACTACAGAGGAGTTGTTGTAGAAATCTTAAATTAGTTTTTTTCTGTTCGATAAAAGCAGACTGTCTGTTATAAACATGTAGATGAGATCAATCTGATGATATCACTGTGACATAATCAGTTTCTCACACTTCAAAAAGTTTTTATGAGCCTGTAGTCTCTGTCTCAAAGGCACTCCTCATGAACATTCTGATGATGACATGTTATGTGTGTGTCAGTCTTTCAGATTGTAATTTCTGATCTTGCTGATGCCTCCAGGGGCTCCAGGTCTTTGTCGGGTTTTGTTAGTTTTTGATTGAGTTGTCGAGGGATTCCTCCCCTGCTTGCCTTCAGTTAGTGGGTGGTTGTGGATAGGAACGCTGACACCCTGCGTCATCATCTGGACTTCAGCTCCTCCAGACTCAGCCACCTCCGTCCTGCTCAGCTCACCTTCACGTGTGGACAAGATACGTCTGATTTTAACAGCTGCAACATCTTATAACATATTTGCTGTTGTATCCAAAATGAGTCAAATCTGATTGGACCAATGAGGTAAAGAATACTATCTAGTTCTCTTAACCTGCACCCTTTCTAATGGCCAGCAGGGGGCGAATCAGTTGATGTATCATTTCAGTAAATATTTTTCTAGATGGTCCAATTTGCTAGTTTTAAGTCTTTATCACTACAGAACGATGTCTTTGTTTTGTTAATTATGGTCCCATTTAACATCACGTCCCATTGTCCCATGACTAAAATATAAAAACAGAAGGGTATGCTGTTTTGGCAACTTTGTGATTGACATTTTGTTTCCATTGCAGCGTTCATTTTAAAGATAAGTACATTTTGTTTTGTTGCTAGCATACCAATTAATATCATGTTAACCCTTGAATTAAAAATGTCCCTTCCTATACAAGCTAGTTCTATTACTGACTAGAAATCCCTTGTTTCTCTCCAACTCCACCCTTTTTGATCACTACCAAAAAAACAACAACATGCTGAACTTGACGCTTAAAAACTGTCAACAAACCAACAATTGGCTTCATGGTTGCAACATGTATTTCTTATACACAGTCTAGAATATATATATATCCTTTACAATGTTAATCAAGACCATCACTTCACCTCTTGTAACTCACAAAACTGACTTTACTCACAAAATGGTCCCTCACAGCGTGAAGTTTTCACTGCTGGAAAAGGAGGACATGGTGTAAAAAAAGATGCTGCAGAAATCAAAGATGGCAGATGAAGCCACAGAGGGCGACACTATGAAGACAGTTTTTTGCCTTTATATCAACATATTCCTAAACATCAGTCAGACAACTGCAGCTGATTCAGAACGCTGCTGCTAGAGTCCTCAACAAGACCAAGAAAATGGATCACATCAGTCCAGTTCTGAGGTCTTTACACTGGCTCCCAGTCTGTCAGAGAATAGGTTTTAAAATACTGCTGCTGACATGAGTGACCTTCTGATAAACTATGAACCATCCACACCTCTCAGGTCGTCTTGTACAGGTCTGCTCTCCGTCCCTAGAGTCAGAACCAAACACAGAGAAGCAGCTTTCAGTTTCTATGCTCCTTATATCTGGAGCAAACTCCCAGAAAACTGCAGGTCTGCTGAAACTCTCACCTGTTTGCCTTTCATTAAACAATATAATAATAATAATAATAATTTATTTTAATACGATTTCAAACTTGAACTCTGCACTGTAACTATTACTATCTTTTATATTTTAGCTTCTGTTTTAATGGTAATGATTTATTATAACATATTTTAATGTGTTGTTGATGAATCTTCTCTGAAATGATTAATTGCCTGTTTTAGTGCTTTTTAAATGTTCTATTTTAACATTTATTTCCCTTTGTCATTTTGATGTCTTGTGTGAAGCACTCTTTATTGCCTTGTTGCTGAAATGCTTATTTATAAGATCAAACGGAAAGGAACATCCTAGGAAGCAGAAAAGAGTATGAAGCAGCTTCATTACATGCACAAAGGTGCTCGAGGTGAATTTTGTTGACTCTATTGCTGTGTTCACACATCAGCTCGCCCCAACTTCACTCGGACAACATTAAAAAGAAATAAAAGAAGAATTTATAGAGGGGGTTGGCAGGAAAAAGCCTGGGGTTAAAAATGATTTCTTTCACGTTCACACATGCAGCTCATCCAGAAAATGTTTGTGCATGTGTGAAAAGACCCCATTAAAGTTTATTTTGATGCAAATAAAGTTCAAAAATAAGATCTTTTTAAACATTTCTTCTTGCTCTGTTTGCATGTTGCAGCTCTACGGTTTTTTTTCAATGAAATAAGGGAAACCATTTCTAATCTGAACTCTTACAGCTGATTAGTATTTGAAATGGCTAACAGTCACTTCAGTTCAAGTGTGCCATGTTGTCTGGTTTCACAAATATGACATGATGGCATGATGCTGATCACTGCGTCTCAGACTGATCTGATAGCTGCTCTGGTTGAGAAACTGCTCCCTGGAGAGCCAACAGTTACAATATCTACAAATTGGGCAACAACGTTTGTTGATCAATCAGTGATCCAACTATTGCAGTGCTGTTCATACAGTGAGGAGAGGTTGTGTGTTGTTGACCTGCTGTACCTTTAACATTAGACTTTGTCCATTGGTTGATGAAATTCAGATTTCTTAAATACATATGAAATCCATGTTCACACAAGCCTGCACTCGTATGACGACCTCAGGTGTTTCAGGATGCATGAAAGGGATTCTTTATATTCTGTGTAGACAGCAGAAATAAACAGCTGCTTGGCAACCTTGTGTTGACATTTTGCTTCCATGGCAGCGTTCATTTTAAAGATAAGTAAATTTAGTTTTGTTACCAGCATACCAATTAATATCAAAGTTACCTGGAATTACAAATGCAGCTTGCTATACAAGCCAGTACTACCATAGAAACCTCTTCTTCAGCTCCGCCCTTTTTGGTCACTTACAAAATAAAAAATAAAACATGCAGAACTTGTTGCTTCAAAACTGTCAACAAACCATCAGTTGGCATCAAGGTTGCAACATGTATTTCGTATACACAGTCTATTATATACATATATCCTAGTTAATAAATACCATAACAACAAACTGTATAAAACATGGACAAAGTCTCAGTGATGTCACCCATTGGTTTCTGAAAAAGTGTTTTGAAGCCCAACAATGTTTGTTGCAATATTGCAAATGTCATCTCAAACTGAATGGATAGATCTAGGAACAAAGATTTGGACTTGAGCCGGGCCTTATGCTGCCCGGCAAACAGATATGTATCCGACTTTCAGTCAACTCAGCCACACCCCTAATTATGCAAATATATGCATAACTTTTATGCATAATACAATTAAAACAGATGGGTAATGTGAAAGCTCACAATACAGTGTGCACAAAAAAAGCTATTGATACCATTGTCTTTTTATTCCAGGCTGTAAACATGTTTCTTTCTGCTGTAAAAATGGACATTTTAATTCAGGACCTTATGGGGATTCCTCAGCTTTCACAGACAGTCCGAGTTGGACACTCGAGGACTTCCACATGGACCTAAATTTTCAAATCTGAGATTGCTGCTTTGGCATAACTCATACAAAACTTCATTGGGAGTCCCCAGTCTGTTTATCCACAATTCTTTTCGACAATTCCTCAATTTTGCACATGTCGATAGTTGATCTTATTTAGTTGATTTAATTCTTGTTTTGTTGCTTACTTGTGATTTACAGTTTTATTTTGACAATTGTAGCCACATTTCTCTCCTTGTATATTTTTTTTGATGGACTTTGTTTTGACATGTGTAAAAGTAAGCTTTTGTTTTTTTGTCTTTGGCCTTTTTGTTTTCAAACATATTTTTGCTTAAGATCTGCAATTAGGTCCCACTTCTTGTTTGACATGAAAACATACTTACTTGGCAAAGATCTTTTGGGTTTATTGTCTTTCATTGCGACACTTTAATATGTGGGGAATCTACTTCAACACGTATTGCTTGAATTAGTAAAATCTTTTTTATAATTTTTTTCCCTTCAGCCGGCTCAGATTCACTTTCATAAGCATTACTTAAGATCCAAGAGGCTACGTCCATTTCTTATGTAATCTCTTTGCTTTAAGCTATAAATGAACCCCCTCTGCAACTCTTGACAAGTCAGGGCTGATATTTAGGGCTTCAGGGTCCGACTAAAGTATGTGGTCTTCTCTAAGATGCAAATAAAGTTCTAGCAGGGAATTCCTGGTGCTATGGCCTAAAGGAATAAGGCAAAATAGTTTAGAAACATTTGTTCTGAGAGTTGAGCCGTAAAGATGAAGATCATGTTGAGGATGTGACAATAAGTATTTAAGGTACCAGAAATGTCTTTGTAAACTGTTTTTAATGAAGTTGGAGGGAAATTAAGGCTCTTAAGGTAAGTTTCAATTTTAAAACTTAAACATCAAAATATATATTTTCTAGTTAAGTGATGCACTTACTTACATACACTTTAAAAAAAGCAGCATAAGAAGCTATTGTTTCATGTCATATAAGCTGTTTTCACACATGAACATTTCAGCCTGTTTTCTGCCAGGCTTCTTCACACATGTCCCTGACAGCGTGAAGTTCTCCCTGTTGGAAGGAGAACATGATGTAAAAGGCGCTGCGGAAATCAAAGACGGCAGATGAAGCCACAGAGACCGACAATATAAAGACCTATTTTGGCCTTTATATCACCTTATTCATAGATCGCATCAACAAACAAGCGGAAAAAAAATGAAGCAGCTTCATTACATGCACAAAGGTCGCACTGATCACGCACTGATGCGTGATATAAACATCATTATCGGCTTGCTCGAGGTGAATTTTGTTGACTCTATTGCTGTGTTCACACATCAGCTCGCCTCAACTTCACTCGGACAACATTAAAAAGAAATAAAAGAAGAATTTATAGAGGGGGTTGGCAGGAAAAAGCCTGGGGTTTAAAATGCTTTCTTTCACGTTCACACATGCAGCTCATCCAGAAAATGTTTGTGCATGTGTGAAAAGACCCCATTAAAGTTTATTTTGATGCAAATGAAGTTCAAAAATAAGATCTTTTTAAACATTTCTTCTTGCTCTGTTTGCATGTTGCAGCTCTACGGTATTTTTTCAATGAAATAAGGGAAACCTTTTCTAATCTGAACTCTTACAGCTGATTAGTATTTGAAATGGCCAACAGTCACTTCAGTTCATGTGTGCCATGTTGCTTGGTTTCACAAATATGACATGATGGCATGATGCTGATCACTGCGTCTCAGACTGATCTGATAGCTGCTCTGGTTGAGAAACTGCTCCCTGGAGAGCCAACAGTTACAATATCTACAAATTGGGCAACAATGTTTGTTGATCAATCAGTGATCCAACTATTGCAGTGCTGTTCATACAGTGAGGAGAGGTTGTAGAGGTTGTGTGTTTTCTGTGACCTGCTGTACCCAGGGCCAGCCCGTGGCATACGCAGTACAGTGCTAGGGGTGCACAAAAAGCACAAAAGTAGTGCTATCAGAATGCTTGCTTATTAGCAACAAAAATGTACTTACTTTAAAAACAGTTATCACTGCTATGGAATCTAGCATGGCCGTCCCAACCAACACCTGACATCAAGCCACCACCATCGGACTGTGTCGTCCCCCACAACCACCTCCGTCCTCATTCATGCATGGCCTGCTCCCACCTCCACCTCAGCGGACAGGAAGTGTGGACAACAGGAACGAGAGGAATACAAAGGAAAAATCCTTCCTGCATATAATCCCATATGCTGTTTTATAAAGAATCTCGAGATAACACTTGTTATTAATTGGCGCTCTACAAATAATGATTGATTGAAGCAAAATATCATTTGTAAGTCAGTCATAGCCTAAAGCATCCCCTCTTTTCTTATTTAATGTACTCAAACAGTGCTCATATACTCCAAAATGAACAACAGGCTCCACTGAAGACTAAACTAAAAGAAAAAAGGTAAAACAGAGGTAAAAAACCTTTTTAACTGGGGAGTAAGGTCTTTTTTCTCAAATGCTTACATACAATTAGATTACCTTTTACAACCATGGACTGTATAAAACATGGACATAGTCTCTGTGACGTCACCCATTGGTTTTTTTAAGCATATTTTCGGTGGAGATGGCCACATAAAAAAATGCTTTCTCAAACTAACTTTTGGTCAACTTAATTGGCAAACAGCTGGAGCTAAGGCAGGTCTTAAGCCTCTTTTATTATTAGATACCATTTATTATGAATAACCCTTATCCTTCATAAAACCAAAAGGGATGACTTATAAAATAATTCATCCTCTGTACAATGTGTGCTGATCAAGAAAAGGGATAGCTTGACCAAATTCCTTTACTAAACCGCGCTGAATTTTTTTTTTCTACTGTCAGGATTTTTTTTTTTTTTTTTAAAAGGTGTGTATGTGGCCCTTGGGGGATTTTTGAACCAGCCTCAAGGTGACACTCAAGGAGCTTCTTGTACTTTACTCGGTGTCTTCATATTACAACACCAGAGGTTTCTGCTTGTTGGCAACCAGTGGAGTCACCCACTGCTTGCCATCAGAAAGAATGAAGGTTAAGGGTGCTTTTACGGTTTCACTTATTAAACCCAGAGGCTTCATACACATTTAAAACTACATTTAAAAATTCAAACAGGAGCTACAAGGAAACAAAACGTCTCTCTGTGATTTCAGGCAAATGAAAAAACCCAAATGGAATATTGACTAAAGCAATAGGAGAGAAACTCATTATCAAAAGAAGTTATTATTCTGGTGTGGATACCTTCAGAGAAAATCGATGGGCTCAGTCCTTGGTCCAGTTTCTCCCACAGCTCCTTTAATGACCGCAGTGACTCCTCCGACGACAACAGAGACCTGGATAAACCTGAGAGGGGCTGCAGCAGGAGAGTAACATCGTTTTAAGGTGTTAGACTTACAGGTGTGGGAGAAACATGTGACATCACAGAGCTCGCTAGAAATGTATTGAAATAAAAGAAATACATTTTCTTGATTGTGTTGAAATAATAATTTGGATATTTTGGACTGTCTCGATTTTGGAGACCTGTGTGGACAAAGCTGTATATCATATATCAATGCTGATTTATAATTTATGCCATGGAAAATGTCACAAAGGCTGTATTGGCAGCACTTGGAAATTATCTGGTAAATTGACATTTTCTATAGCATTAAAACATCACTGTCTGTAAGAGGAAACAGTTCATTTTTAAAGCTCCTGTGAGGAACCTTTAGTTTACTTCGCTTTTGGTGCCCTCTGTGGACACCTCTAATCTCTTTGCTGTTTGTGCCCACAAACTCTCACCAGTACTCTTTTCACTCTTCTGTGAAAAAACCCCGGCCCACTAAACTCAACCACTATCGCCCTGTTGCTCTCACCTTCATTATAATGAAGTGCCTGGAGAAACTACTACTGAACACCATTCTGACAGTTGTTGCCCCACAGCTGGACCCCCTCCAATTTGCATACAAGGCAAAGAGGGGCACAGAGGACGTTGTGGCCTGCCTGCTGCACCTCCCCCTTTAGCATCTAGGATCCCCAGGTCACTTTATCAGAATCCTCTTCGTGGACTTCAGCAGTGCTTTCAACACCATCCAAAGGCATCTGATGATCCAGAAACTACACCAGCTCAACACCCCCTCCCGCCTGATCCACCTCATTCACAACTTCCTCAGTGACAGGCTGCAAGCTGTGCGAGTGGGCACAACCTTATCACCTGCACTAACCACCAACACTGGAGCACCACAAGGATGTGTATTGAGCCCATTCCTGTACACACTCTACACCAACAACTGCACCAGCCCATCACCCACCACCACATTCCTCAAATACTCAGACGACACAGCCAACATTGCCATGCTCACCGACAACAACTCTGTCCAGGACTACCACAACACTATCACAAACTTCACTCAGTGGTGTGAGAATAACCATCTTCATCTCAATGTCCCTAAGACAAAAGAATTAATAATCAGTCCCCCCTCACCTCAGCACCCACTTCTCATCAATACCCAAGCAGTGGAAATAGTAAACCGTTTTAAATACCTTGGAGTAACACTAGGCAACCAACTCAGTTTTGAACAGCACACCAGTGACATTCAAAAAAAGAGCAATCAAAGACTGTCAGCCATCCGCAAACTGAAAGGACTCTATGTTGCCCCCCATCTCCTCCTGCTGCTATATCAGAGCATGATCCAGCCCATCTTACTGTACTGTTCCACCTGCTTATTTAACATGTTGTCTGTAAAAAACAAGGCCAAACTCACACGCATCACAACCACAGCTGCCAGAATAATCAGTCTCCCCACACCCAACAGAACTCAATAACAGGGCCATCACACATATTGCAACCTCAATAGAACAAGACATCACACACCCACTGAACACTCACCTCGCCCCACTCCCCTCAGGATGGAGGTACAGAGCAATGAGGTGCAGAAAGGCTCGCCTCGGGAGGAGCCTGATCCCTGCGGTTATAGAGGCCCTGAACAAAAGGCCTCGCTGAACAGGCCAGAGTAAGAACTCTTGACTTTTTGTCTATCTCTGTTTGTGTTATACTCTGTTTTCTGTGTATGAATGTTTTTTGGTGGGACTTGTCTGTTTGGACAGTAACGGTGCTGTGGAAAAGAATTTCTCGTCGGGGACAATAAAGTCTGAAGTCTACAAAGTCTGTACATGTGTAAGAAGTTGTTTTCTCTCTTTAACAGTCAATTGTATCACTCACTGTGAATCTTTCTTGTGGTAAATGTTAACAAATGCTTTTTCGCCACATGCTGCAACTCACTTCACTATAGCCCTTCCACACAGCTTTTTTTTGCAAAAGTGCTATAACTAAACTCAGCCGTCATCACGTCTTTGTACATTCATATTGACAGCATAATATTAGTGTCCCAGTCTCAAGCACGGCACAGCGGGAGCTGCACACTGTCAGACATGCCTGCACACACAGCGCTGCGCTCCTCAGCTGCCTCCGCTGATACGTCTTCTGTAATGCCTCTTTTATTATCTCTGATTATGGTACAGAGGAGGGTATCACTTCGTTCAGAACATTGAGAACAGCTGATAGATTAAGCATATATAATATGCATGCTTTATGTTTGTGTATTTATCACACTTCACATCCTGTTTGCAATACAGAACAATGTCATTGGGTTATTGCATACTTTTCACATATGGTGCAGGCCTAATTCTGGAGTTACCTCAGGCCTGTCTAGGGTTTTTCGCCCTTGGATCCATGGGTTGGCAGCTTCCTTTGTGGCAGGACCTCTGCTGTTGGTTTCAGGGAGCGATTGTTCAGCAGACATGGAAGTACTCTGCCTCAATGCATACTGGAGCTCCTGGAGACAAAAACAGTGGAGCTATTAAGCTCTCTAGAGGCAGGACTGAAAAGTGCACAACACAAGGAACATTTAACACCTTTCCCCAACAACCACTCTACTAAAAGTAATACCTAAGTATAATTAAATGTATCTTCCAGCAAAGCAAACACAACACATGTGATGCTTTAATTCTCAAAAGTGGATTTAAATTTTGTGGAGTCTATGGCATAAAAACATCCCTGACTTACAGCAGATTTGTGTTTACCAAATGAAGCATCCTACCTATTTTTGGGCAAGTTAAGGTTTAGAAGCCATTTTATCTGTATTTCTTTAGACTGTGAGAGTAAATTGTTAAATCTCCTGTGAGGAACCCGTGGTTTGCATCGATTTTGGTGCCATCTGTGGACAAAGTGGTACCTCCAATGTCATTGCTGATTGTGTCCTGTACATGTTTAAAGGAGAAATGCTTACGTGGTGGACACTGAAGCTTCAGTGTTTATATAACATGCAGAGGCTTTTTAGGTCAGGTACAATCACTTCTATCTGAACCAGTTCTCTTGCCCGCTTCCATCGCTGCAACACCTGTTGGTTTGACCTGATAACTGCTCTCATATCTGGCAAACCGAGGGGCGTCCAAAACGGCCGTGTGGGGGTGCCTTAAAACCGCCTACCTTCTCTGGTCCAAACAAATCCAGAGCATTCAGGACCAGAATCTAAAGTTAGAAGGAGGACATACTGGCTGCTGCATTGTTGTCAGAGAAGCCAGCACTTGTTTACATGTTTCCTTAATGTCTGATGATGATTTTATCATTTTATTCAGGATATATCTTACATATTGGTCCTTTAAGAAGTGTTTTCTTTCATTGGGAGTCCATCATATCACTCAGTGTGAATCTTTGTTGTAGAAATGTAAACAAATGCTGTTTTCCGTATAACTCAACCTTGTCACTGATGGTCTAGTTTTCTTTTGTTGGCTATAAAGAGGCATCAGTTTTAATTTCAGTCTGTGTCACAACCAACTAAAAACTCCTCACAGAAATGTAAAGTTTCAAACTCTTGATAAATCTTAAGATCCAACATGAAGGAAACACTGAGAGAAGAGAGAAGTGTATTTGAAAGATCCCTGGGTAAGGAGCAGTGTACTGGTGATACGTGGATGTGAAAAGATGACCAGATACCTGGGTGGTGAGTTGGTACTGCAGCTGTTCTAAAGCAGACAGTCGGCCATGTTGTTCTCCTTGTGTCTCTGTGGACGAGTCCATCTGTTGCTCTGCTGCTTCTGTTTACAGAGTTAAAGGCAGACTGTCGGTGCTTTACATTCTGGTCATGAATATTTCCTAGCGACCATCAAACTGTAATATTAGATGAGAAGTGGTTAAATGCTAACATTAGCTGTTGTCTAATTGCAACTAATGAGTCGTTAATGGAATATGGTCACATTTCCTTCCAGAGCTCTTTATAATATCTTATCTATTAGCATTATGAGGTGGTGGTTTATAAACAGTTTTTTAGATTTCCAATGGGTATGTATTTTTGCAAACTTGGAATTCACCAGTACATCATAACCGCATTTAAGCCTCTAACCAACAACATGAAGTTAGAGTTTAATTGCTGCAGTATGAACATATATATTTATATATCTTTGTTTTTTCTAAAGTGTTTTTTCAAAGATGTTGCGGCGATGTGTCCTTGAGCATGACACTTAACCCCAACATGCTCCCGCTGCTTTGTCGGCGGAGTATGAATGTGTATGAATGGGATTAGTTACTTCTGATGGATACTTTACTCAGCAACCTCTACCATCAGTGTGTGAATGTGTAGGTGTGACCTGCCGTGTAAAAGCGATTTGAGTAGTCAGAAGACTAGAAGCGCTACAAGCTCAAGTACATTTACCATTTACCAAATGGATTGTGGTGACATGACTCCCCAAAATAGCAGTCCCCTTATCGGAAACTTTGGTTCGACCCAATAAAAGGCGAAGAGGGGGGCTTTTAGCGTCCCGGAAAATGCCTTAAACGCATCCACTCATTAAAACTGACCATGCCCCTAATTATGCATAACTCTCTATCAAATCAAATCAAAACAGATGAGTTATAATAAAACCTGTCTAGGAATTTAGAAAAAGAATTGCTATTTAGACAAGTTTTTTTTTATACCAGGCTGTAAATATGTTTATTTCTGCTGTAAACATTTTTAATATGTGACCTAATAGGTATTCTTTGGGCCATGAAGCCACATCAATTGGACACTGGAAAAACAGCAGTTTCTGGCACTTCTGCATTGGCTTCGACACCAGAGGTTTCCGCTTAGTCTCGACAAGAATTCATGAGGAACTTTAGCAGATGAAAACTTGTTCTGGTACACTCTTATTTGGAGCATCAGGTATTTTTCTTTAAGTGTGGAATACTTAGGTTTAAAAGTATCTTAGCTAACGCTACTTTCACAAGGGTTTGTAAACATAAATGGTTTAAATGAAAGCCGTGTTTAATCTTTAAGACTGGACGATTAAAAACTCCTCATGTCACTAATCTTGAATGCTAATAAACAGAGTCACTGTTGTTGATAAAAAGCTAATAAACTCATCTGATAATGAATATATTATGAGGTAATAAATAACTTGTGTGTGGCTGACAGTGTGTAATTATTGTACCCTGTAGTTCAGCGGTGGTGATCTTGGCCCGGAGGCGGTTGCCCATCTTTATCAGCTGCTGTTTCTCGATGCTCAGACGGCTGATACAGAGCGCTGCCTGCTTCAGCCTTGAGTGTAACAGAGTACAGTCGCTTTTATTAAACACACCAGCAGACATCAGAGCTGAGGCCTGCTGCTGACGCAAATGCAGGTTCTCCTCTTGCAGCTGTCGCACCAGAGCACTCTGGAAGGAGAACGAGACAGAAGTTCAAGGATGTGGGATGATGCATAAAAATCACTCAGTATCTCCTTTTGATCTCACATGACAGACCCTTTCACAACTAGGAAGGTTACACAGTATGGACATACATAAAAAGGGAGTTAGAGTTGTTCACATTTCTCCAATTCAGCCTTTAATGCAGGATCAGGTGTTGGCGAGTATGTCAGTCTATGCACCAATTATTTTCGCCTTAAAATAATTTATCATCAGTTCTTTGATGTTTTGCAGTGGACACAAGAACAAGTGATGAGGAAACCACTTTGCTCCTTGCAGAATTGTTATTATACCTCAGTTTCAGAGAACTAGATTTTAAAAGAAAGTTCTAGAGGTTCTTTTATACATTTGTTTGAAAATAATTCTAAACTGAGATTGACCATTAAACAAATGAAGCAGCCCCATCACAAACACAGGCTCTGTCGCATTCAGCTGTAATCGCTATCACACTGATATGGGATTGGTGCTTGATATCAGCCAATTTATAAATGCAGGAGTTAGAGAAAGAAAAAAATGTTACTGGAAATATGTAAAGCTAACTATCATGCGTCCTTCTGATCGTTGAGTGGTGGTGGTGTAAACTGACTGACAGTCATGAGTCGTCACAAAGGAGATAAGTTGCTTCAACTCCACAGAACAGGTCCAGGTCATCACCTGGATTGTCCTGACAGGATCACTGACTTCTTTCATTACCTGTTCAGAGATGCTGGTGAGAGCAGACTCTCCGTGTGACACCTTGACCTCCTGCTTGTGTAGGGTGGAGGTGTTGGCACATTTCTCCAGACGCCTTTGACCTGACGATCCAAAACAAGCACAAGAGGAAGAAGAAGAATTCAACTAAGTTTCCACAAATGTCTTTCAATTGTACATTTCACTTAGTAGACGCTTTTATCCAAAGCGACGTGCATCAGAGAGTAAGTACAACACAAGCAAGGATCTAGAAAAAAAGGAAACAATGTCAGTAAGAGCAAACGATCAGCTTTGAGTCTGATTGGACACACAGGTGCTGACAGAAGTGACCAGAGGCAAAGCACAACGTTGACGGTAGTTCTTCAGAGCTCTAATCAGTATAGAAACCATCTTAAAAAACAACATCGCCATTACCAACATCATCATCAATAATATCAAAAACCATCGTCATCTTTAAGGTCGTAGGTCTTTCAATGATCCAAACACAACAAACTATAATTTAACTTTTATACATTTGTCTTCCGCCTCTCAGTGGAGTTTTCTTTTCTTTTAAATTTTTTTGTACATAATAAAACAATGACTGTAAATTAGGCTGTTCAGTAAAAAATCTTTTTTCTCATGATAAGTAAAAGCTGCTTCACCCTGCGTTCTCCCTGACAACTGAAGGAATTAAGAATTACCAAACAAATACGGGACAGCATCAGATATTTTTTTTAAAGGATTGGCTGGTCATGGCTCAAGATACAACGAGCTGAAAATCACCAGCCAATCAATTAGTGCACCCCTACAGGTCAATATCAATGAATTCTAAATACAATTTTATAATGAATAAAAAAGATAAAATATTTTTTTTTTAAATTGCAACAGTAAGTTAGTAATCAGTCACTTGTTTGTTTGTGTGTTTAGGCTGAAAATAAAGAATACCTTGCTCGGGTCTCTGGAGCTTCATGTGTGTGTTGTCTGGGGCTGCAGGTGGAAGGTCGTCTGTAGGTTTATCTGTAGCGCCCTCTAGCTGCTCTTTGAGCTTCCTGCACTGAGCCTTCAGTAGGGACACCTCCTGCTCCAGAGCTTCAGTGTAATCTGCAGCTGGTTTCACAAAGATATTTATCACTGATCTATAGTCTTTAAAACATCATGAAGCAGTTTCAGTACATCACAGATAACACTGGCTACGTGCTCGTTTCACCTCGACTTCTTACCTAATTTAACATGGGAACTGGCAGGAAAAAGTCTGGTTAAATTCAGGGTAAAAAAAAAAACAGCTGTTTGTGATAACACATGCAGCTCACCTGAAAATGTTGGTCGGGACATTTCTAGGAGGCTGATTTTACACAGAGTTCATAGCAAATAAATCATACTTTTAGAAAATCAAAGGCTAGCCAGCTCTGTCAGCAGATTGACCCCAGCCCCAGCGAGCATTTTGTGTTGAAAAGTCATTTAAAAGACGCAGTTACGATGACGTTCACAATATGTTCAAAGGTGAACATTATTTTTTACTGACTATGAAGACGCTGACTAAATGTCACCGAGAAATTTGCCTCTGTCACAAGATTGATCACATATATAAACCGCAATTTTGAAGATGCATCTCATATTAATGTGAGCAATGCATCACAGTCACCAAAACAAAACAAAAAAAAAAAAACACAGGAAAAGACAGAGTTTTGAACTCCCAACTCCCTGCATTGAGTCTGATGCTCTCCATCGTCAGTATGGGAATCAAACAGTCTCATTACTATTCACGAGCAAATGTTAAGTTTCATAACTCGTAAAATACAATAAACAAATAAATGCAGAGGGATTTGTATCTGTACCTCTATATCTGTTATCTGTGCCTCTATTTTAAAACTTGTATATCATCATTTGCATGTCAACTTTGCCTTTTTAAAAAAACATTTGTGAATCTCCATCTATTTGTGTGGATTCTTTTGAGACTTTTCTACCGTTTCAGGAGCACACGTGACTCGTAAAATGCCACAGGACTCGTGTCTTGTACACACAATGCGCAAATAAATGCAAAGGGATTTGTATCTTTAAATAAACTTTTCTTTTTAGAAACGCTAAGTTGACGTACAAATGATAATATACAAGTTTTAAATTTGATGCACAGATACAAATCACTGCATTTCTTTTTGCATTGTATTTTACGAGTTACGAAATGGTTTAAGTAGTTAAGAAAGTTGCGCAAATAAATGCAAAGGGATTTGTATCTTTAAATAAACTTTTCTTTTTAGAAACGCTAAGTTGACGTACAAATGATAATATACAAGTTTTAAATTTGATGCACAGATACAAATCACTGCATTTCTTTTTGCATTGTATTTTACGAGTTACGAAATGGTTTAAGTAGTTAAGAAAGTTGACATTTGAAGGTTTGATCCTGCAGCCACATGTCCCATGTGTCACCAAGCTACTGCCACTGCTTCGTTGGCAGCGGATGAATGTGTATGAAAGGATTAGTTATTACTGATGGTCACTTTACACAGCAGCCTCTACCATCAGTGTATGAATGTGTAGGTGTGACCTGCAGTATGAAAACGCTTTGAGTAGTCAGGAGACTAGGAAAGTGATGTTCAGACCTAATTTCGATCCAATAGTGTTCACTGGGGTAGATTAATGTACGCCATAATAAAAGAACATCTTTCTGGATCATAATGCCTGAAGTCATAGGAACCTTTCACAGTATGAACATCAACGATATATAAGATGATGAACCATGTTTGTGTGAAAGAGTGATGATCACACCTGCTGGGCTGACTTTAGGGGGAGTCTTGGTGGACTGCGCCGGGAGCCCAGAGGCCATTGGAGTGTTATTGGAGCCTGAAGGCGCTGCTGGATGATGAACTCGCTGAGGAGGGGAGGTCTGTGGATGGAGTGGGAGATGGCTGAGACCCTCCATATCCTTCCTCATCTGGTTAACCACAGCGCGCAGGGCGCCGTTCTGCTCCTGAAGACGATGGATCTCTTCTGATGCTAGATAATCGACTCTTGGTGTGAGACCCTGTGAGTGGATACAGAGCAGTGTACTGTATTTCTTTTTTAAATTACAATTGAAATACAACATAACGGAAGCAGAACCCAGAATCTTGCAACCTAAAATCTCATCAAGAGTCAGAAAACACCATCCAAGAATGTTTGCATTTTCATACATAGCTAGAAGATAAGTGAGATTGGCATTTATCTGCCCTCGCTGTCTCCTAAAATGCTGCATAGCTAATTGTTAATTTGTCATTTGGGGTATATGTGACACAAAGGGCATTACATTTTTCCAACCAAATTCCCTCCCTTCTCTGTTGATTTGTTACACATAGAATGCTAACCACTCTTTATCAAGTAAGTATGCAGTTCTAGTTCCTATTTGGTATAGATAATGACATATTTTTAATGCTTTGCTGCAAATACTGCCTTAATGAGAGACACTTCTGTCCCTTTGCAAACTCAATCTCTCTTTTTCTCTAACCCAGGTGAGTTAAAGAATATATTATTATTAAATTCACTTATTTTTCAGTGCAACCTCTAGTTACTACATATATTTCATAACCAAGATTCATCACCACACATGTTTTTGTTGTTTCAAATGACCTTTACTTGTCACTCTACAGCAGCATTAGTTACTGTATGTACACGAGCTGCAGCTGACTGGGTTGCAGTCTCAGTGTCAGTCTGAGTATCAGTGCACGACGTCTTTGGATTCTACCTCAAACAAATCACTTTGCAGGAAGTATTGTAGACTAATTCATATTCGTGGATAATTAATGGACTATAAATGATGTTAAACCTCTCTACAGTCACTAATGCAGAAGCTGACAAACAAATCCATGGATTCCAGTCATGGTTCCTATGGTGATGGAAACAACCTGACATTTATTTAGTTAGTCCAAATTTGATTATTAAACCCACCACTGCGCCAAAAATCGACACAACCCTTTAGTGCCTCACATGTTTAGCTGTAACCAAATATAAAAAGAAACAAAAATAAAGCAAACTCTGAATTAGACATTTTTAGGTCACAATGTTTGCAACTTGTAATTCACACACAAAACATAACCTGCTCCATCTAGCATCTCTTTAATTTGGGATTGGACCAAATGGGCAGTTTAATTACATGCTGTATTTAAGAAGCCTTAAAACTGTTTATCAGAGTAGGCTAATTGTCTCATTTGCATCTTTAAAATCTGACTAAGTTTTGTAACCAATGGAGTCGCCCCCTGCTGGCTTCTTCCAAATTGCAGGTTCGATGAACTTTGACTAAAGGGATGTCACAATTTGGGGCCTACATCCTTCGGAGAGCATGTTTGAACACAGATTGTCTCACAGCAGAATGTCCAAAGTTGTTCCAATTCGAAGACTCCTTTAAATGCTGCTGAAAAATATGTCCTTCTTTGAAGGATACATCTCGAGCACCCTGACATATCCAAAGATTCTTGGCAAGACAATTCAAATGAGCAGGTAGACTCTGAAGCACCTGGGTAGTAAACATTTAAATGTCAGTTAACAGGCTATAAAAACTGGGTCGTAGCCGGAGGATGCTACCCATAAAATGAGGCACCACTCTAAACTGCGCTTTTCAGTCCACTTTGTGTATGGTTTGGACATGGCATATAAGACGTTTGAAAACTCTCATTGCAGCTTCATGACTTCTACACGAGTCATGTGAGAAGGTTTAAATGGAGCTTGGTGCCAGAGCAGCATTGTTACTGTATGATAGGTTAGACTTTAGAAGCTGATATGTTTGGGAGGCAGTGTGCTACACCGAAAGGCCATCATACCTCTCAGAGTACACGAAGAAAAGGCCAAAGGCCAAAAAAAGGACTCTAACTTAAGCACTGCATAAAAAACACGTATGATATATAAGGGTTTGTTGGAGGTTAGCCAGTTCACCCAAAAAGTCGTCCAAGCTTGAAGGTGACATATCTTTCAGAGAATACTTTATGAGAAAGATCATTGCAGATATCTCTTATTAAGTAACTGACATTTCTTGGAGAGCTTCAACATGTTGAGTGAGTTTAAATTTCAGGATAAGTAAATGTACATAGCCGAGGTGTGTGGTATGTCCTGAATGGTTATTTTTATGTAAATGTGTCCAGCAAACAGCTTTTGATATTTCAGTGACAGGGATCATCAATAGGAATGGTGAACTTTCGTCCTTTCATCTGTGCACCAAGCTGAGGTGTGACGACAGCTGGATTGTGTCTCATGTTACCTATGCAACATGTAATTGGCATTTTGACATATGGACAGCGCAGGAGGAAAAGGTCAGGAAATGTCATAAATAGAAAGAGTTTGTCTTCAGATCGGCCTGTGGCACTCTGCCAAACTGACATGATCCTTCTCGTGTTCATGTGGAACTAGAAGCATTTAAAGATGTGAATGTTTTCAAAACCACAGTGACTGCCTCACTTGGTGGGATATATCCAAAACAAATAACAAAGTAATCTGGTAAGTAGTTTAGGACAATTTGCAATATTCCATTTTTCAGATCCGTAGGAAGGCTGGGATTAGACATTTTATTGTAATGAACGTGTTATATTGTTGATATATTTTAACACATGTAAACCTGCACAGTGATTCATTGATGCAATAGAAAATAAGGGATTCTAACAACCTTTTGGACCCAAAATAACCTCTCAAGAGTCCACAGTCACAGTTAATCTTAGAACAATGATTATAATAACCAGTGTGTACTGTGTGTGTGTGTGTGTGTGTGTGTGTGTGTGTGTGTGTGTGTGTATACACACACACACACACACACACACACACACACACACACACAGTGTTTCCCCTACCATTATATTAGGGGGGCGGCTGGTTTATTAACCTGTGCAGGTTTCCTCCTGCCGCCAGTCGCTACTACTACACTTATTACTGTCCTCCCTCGTCTTTCTCTGTGATTGTAGTCACATTTGATAATGTTATCATTTAAAAACTTAATGCAAAAGCTGCATTTGTACCACGGGTTTCCAGGAATTAATTCTCAAAGACTTCTCTCACCATATAATCCAGAATATAAATCACACTGATATGTAAAATATGGTGTTTTCTGGGGGGTCTCTCAGAGGGTAACACGGTTTAAAATGTCTCCCCTGTGTGACGATTTCCATTGCATTCAAAACATTTCTGTGTAGCTGTGTAGTTCTTTGTAGTAGCATTTGTTTTGGCTATGTGGACTTTGCTAACCTGCTAGTTATCAGTATAACGCCGATTTGCCTAGAGCTGCTCAGCACACATCAACTTGTCACTAAGTATACCACTGTTTGTTGTATGACCACAAGAAAAGTCGTTAAAAAATGGCCCTGCCAGCATTGTCCACGTCGTTATAAATCCTCGTTATAAAACTTGAATGCTGCTTGCTGATGAACTCTCACCTGTAATACCTGGTCTCTCTCTGTCTTAACAGAACGAAGAAGAACAGTCAAGTCCTGCAGCTCCTTTTCTTTCTCCTTCAGCTCTGCTTTAGCCTAAGATACACCAACATGAAACATAGATTAGAATCATTATCAATTATATCATCAGCATGGGCTCCAAAGTAGTGTAAGAAAACATTATAACCACTAACGTGAAGTGAATAACACTGAGTATCTCTATATGATGGCACCTCTCAGTGGGTGAGATATGTTAGGCAGCAGGTGAACATTTTGTCATTGGAGTTGAGGTGTTGGAAGCAGGAAAATGCTTAAGGGTAAGGACGTGAGCGTCTTTGACAAGGGCCAATCTGTACTGCACAAAGCTGCTTGGTTGCACATCTCAATGGGTGCACTATTTGATAGAAGGCCGGACAACCAAGTCTGACCCATGGAGGCCCCCACTTGCAACTTACATGACTTAAGATCTAAGGTATTTGCGCCTGATTCCACAGCCCACATTCAGAGGTCAAGTGGCTCCTACTCAATATAAGCTGTTAGTTGTAATGTTATGGCTGATCGATGAAGCTCTTTGTATCACCATGAAAAAGAGGCACAACCAAAACGAGGACCTTGATGCACACTAAATGACTTGTAGAGCTGCTGGTTTTTTTTATATCCTACATAAGACTTTAACTCATGTTCTCCACTGTGCATAGAAAGTATTGTGTAACATAGGACAAGCTAACCTGGTCTCTAGCCTGGGTCAAGTCTTGTATCAGCTGCTCGTTAGCGAGGTAGAGTTCAGCCTTCACGTCCTCACAGCGTCTCTGCCACTCCAGATCTGCCTGGACTCTTCTCTGCTCTAAGATCTGCTCCCTCTTCAGACCAGCACTCAGCTGCTGCTTGTATCTGAACACACACGCCCATTTAAGAAAAAGAAGAAGTCAGTGAAAAAGGTTTTCAGTGCTCACTGTTCTTATTTTCCTGTGTTGTTCTGTTTGTTTCCTGTGTTTTGTGTTACAATGAAAAATATTCCATCAAGATATCCAGGTCAGTATTGAACCATTATCAGGTATCAATATCATTCAAGGGTTTTATTGTCTTTCTTTGTTTCTCACCCCTTCATCTCAGCCCTGCTCCTCTCCAGCTCAGCCTTCAGTTTGGTTTCTCTCTCCTGCAGGGCGATCATCTCCGTATCCTTTAAGACCATCTCACGGCAGACTTGACTGATGTAATCATCCCAGCCTGTCCGGATTTTCTCCACCTCTGTGTGAAGTCTTAGAAAACACACACACACAAATACAAACAAATACATGGAAGCTTGAGTCAAATGCAATAAACCATCATACCTGAGCAGCCACATACACAACACACTGCACAGAAATCATGCACAGAATCCTACACAAACAAGCTAAATACTTTTAAGAAGATTTTCCGTCTCACCTGTAGATCGTCTCATCTTTCTGCTTCACGGCCTCCTGTTGGTCTCTCTGTATGATGTGTGCCTGTGAAGCTTGAACCTCCATATCCTCCTGTTGTTTAATGATGTGTTTCTCAGCCGTTTGCAGCTCCTCTGTGTGCCCCTGACGCTGAACCTCCAGCTGTGCCTTACACTCCTTCAGAGCCCTGATGGCATCCTCGTATCTTTACAGAAAGAGCCATTCCGTCACACATGAGGAGACATGTTGAATGATTAGTTTACAGTTAAGCCTTCAGTTTTTCTCAGTCTGCATTGTATTTCCAAATGTAAAAATGATTTCAACCTGCTTTCTTTTAGCAGCCAAACTGATAAATAACTGAACATCTTCCAGTATAAAATGTAGATAAGAAGGCTGCCTCAGCTTTTAGTCCTCTGTCCTCTCTGTTTTGGGTTTGTGTCCTGTCAGGGTTCCATGCTGCGATAACAACCAGCTCACTGTATGTTTTTGCTGGCCATTTAATTGAGTTTCAATTCCAATGAAATGTTGGCTTCCCACGATCATGTAAAAAAAATGATTAAGATGAATGATCACTCTGGCGTATGGCGTTCATTTTGTCCGCAGGTCTCGCCATGTGTGGTAAATGTTTAAAAGTGTTTGTGGTTACATTTTGGTCACAAGAGTGAATCACCACCTTCTAAAAACATAAACAATGTAAAAACATCTAAATGTTTTTTTTTATTTTCATATATCTTTAATTTTTCATGTATTTATTTTCATTCATTGCTTGTTTTTCAGAGTGTTCAGATTGTGAAAGTGTAAAGAGTGCTTAAGTTTGATAAACTAATGTGATGCAGATGTTTCAATATTAACGAGTAATCCTTTTTAACAATCATGAGCTCAATATCAATCAAAATAATCGTGATTACTATTTATGCCATAGTTGAGCAGCCCTACTTTACATTATCCCTTACATGACTTTATTACAGAACATTGAAGCAAGGCTTTGTCTGATTATTAACATTAGATTTGCACATGACATAACTTGATAAAACACTTTCTGGATAGTTTGTACAAAGGTCTTTTGGTAAGAAAAAGAGTGTGTAGGCCTATTGTGTGTCAATGAAAGCAACTACTAAACAAATGTATTCTAAACTTTGACAGCAATGTATCATTTATTTTTTGTGGGTCCAGAGAAGGATCAGGCTTTCTTAGATTTAAGAATGTGGGGCTCCAAATAAAAAAATAATCTTTCATGCTCTCCAAAGGCTGGACCTCGTACAGGTATAATGGTAACCGTTTCTGTCTGTACCAGCATCAGGCTGAGAGATCATTTGTGTTATTAATGACTCACTTCTTCATGTGGTCATCCTCCTCCTTCTTCAGTTTGGTCTCCATAAATTTCAGCTCCTCCTCAAACGTCTTTATCCTGAGACAAAAGATAGCAAGATTAGACTAAACACATGTAGACATGTAGACACACACACACACACACACACACACACACACACACACACACACACACACACACACACACACACACACACACACACACACACACACACACACACACACACACACACACACACACACACACACACACACACACACACACACACACACACACACCTTACAATGCAGGAGCAAACCTGTATTCCTTGAGAGCCATGAGGTCTTGGATCTCCTGCTCTTTTTGTTTTAGCTGAGTTTGTAACTGCTGACAGAAATCCTGAGTGGATTTGAGAGTTTCTGCAGTCTGCAGCTGAGCCTGGCTGTGAATTTCAACCTCTTTGGACAGCAGCTTCACCTGGACACGCACAAACAGGTCAACCAATGATGATGATGAATTAGGGTGTTATGAAGTCAACAACAGATCTAGAAACCACTGTAGCATTTACATGTGTAAAATAGTATTTCTTTGAAACTAACTAAGCTGATATTTGTAGAAAACTTAAACTGACACCATATTTTCCTCTCCTCACCTTGAGGTCATGACCGAGCACCACAGCTCGCATCTCGTCCATTTTTACGTTGAACTGATGCTCCCGCTGTTTCAGCTTGCTGCCGAATTCTGCTGTCATCTCCTGTTGGCCAGAGAAGAGTGATTAAAGACAAGGGTAAGGGATTTGAACAACTATTCATTTTTTTGTGAGATGAAGGCATTGCTGCTATAACTTAACACTAAATCAGTAAGCACACTTTTGGACATACCAGCCTGCACTTGCCATTTTGTATCATGTAGAACTAGTTAGCTTGGTTGAACCGTTCTCTTTTCTGGTTTTTAACGTTGTTTAATGAGCCTTGAAAAGGCGGCTTTAAGAACACAACCAGCTACCTGGACTGCTCAGACAGAAATTCTGTGGCATGTAAAGGCTTAATTGAGGTTTATAATTACAGATACATCGATTCCTGGAAATTGATATTTTAAAGGTCCAATATGTAAGATATTTAATGCATTAAAGGATAAAATGATCTTACTATATCATCAGACATTGAGAGAAAATGCTATGTTGAAGTGCTGGCTTCTCTGTCAACAATGCAGCAGCCAGTAACCCCCTAAGGCCCTGAATGGTCTGGATTTGTTTGGACCAGAGAAGGTAGGTGGTTTTACGGCACCCTCAAAAAGCCATTTTGCATGCCCCTTGGTTTGCCAGAAACTTGGTAAAGCTAGGATAAATGGAGAGAAATGGAGAGAAGTTAGAGCGCAGAAATGTTTCATAACCGATGCAGAGCTGGATAAAGACTGTTAAAGACAGAAGGCTTTGAGTGGAAGATCAGCCAGTTCCAGCGTAGCTGGCTTGGCCTGCCACGAAGCCTGAGCAGCATCGCCCTTGACGGGTGCAACACCAAGCTGCAGCTTCTCTTCAGCAGTGTGGTAGAAGAGTTTAAGGTCACCAGCGAGACTCTGCTGACTCAAAGGTCTCCACAGGACCGAGAGGAAGTGGCGCACTTGGGCACTGTTGAGTATGGTCAGGTTGGCCTCGGAAGCAGTCCAACAGCTCGCTTCAGTAAATCCCGTGGGAAGGACAGCCACAAGCTTATTAAGCAGGAAGTGGGTGCAGAAGAGGAGGAAGCTCACTACTGCAGGATGGTTGGCATGGGTAAGCAAGGGACCATGACCAAGTGGGAACACACAACAGCCCACAAGAGCTCCTGGGCAAAACTCTAGAAAGCAGAAGCTATCCGCTTCAAGTTCTTGGTCCATTCCGTGTACATACCGACACCGTCTGCGCTAGGATAAGCCACAGCAAACAGCTCAGCCCATCGAAGTACACTATCAGCGTCATCCACGGAGGAGGGAAGCTTATGCCTCAACCCAAGTCCCAGGGTGGTGGAGAGTGGCAGCTCTCGGTAGACCTAGGGAGACAGCTGAGGTTCCCGGACAACATCGCTGTTACTACCCTCAGGCCTGACAACGTCCTAATGTCCGGGGGTCAAAGCAAGTGGTCTTAATCGAGCTGTCCGTCCACTGGGATGGAGTAGGCTCAGGAGAGGAAAAGAGCTAAGTATGCAGAACTGGTTGCTGACTGTCGGAGGCAGAAGTGGAAGGCCCGCCTCAAGCATGTGGAGTAGAAGGAGGAGAGCTGTCAAGAACATCCTGGAAGCGGCTGAGAAGGGCTCTCGTCCAGGTGAGGGTGTCTGATGTTAAGCCCTGAAACACCCCATGACCTGGGGCACATCACTAACGATGTGTCCACTTTGCACTACTAGGTGTACGTAGTGTAGCAGACACTAGTCAGAGTCACCTTTGAGAGGTCTTTTGTTTGGGTTCATCCTAAAGGTCTGAATGTCTCACTGCCCTACCAGTTATTTCAGTCCTGCAGACTGGACGGCTCTCCATGTACACAGCCAACTATGAGGGCTTATAGTAGGCGATAGAAATAGAAAGCATATTACTGTGTGGAGCTGCAGTGTACCAGAGCTTTTAATGTCTGCCAATGGTGTTTTACATTGAGTCAGATTAATATTTTCTTTATTTTAGTGTGTCTCTGTGTGTGGTTGTTCACCTGTCTCTGGAGGGTCAGCTCTCCCTCCACCTCTTGTATCCTGCACTGAAAATCCAGTTTCATCCTCTCATTCTTCTCCATTTGCTTCTGAATTTCACCAGCCATGGAGCTACGGTCACAGACACAGACACAGACACAGACACAGACACAGACACAGACGCAGACGCAGACGCACACGCACACGCACAAAGTTAAAGAACATTATAAAAGTTTAACATTAATGCCATTAATAATCAACAAAAAGCTAGAACCTTGGGCACCTTCAGCCCCAACAACACGTGTGTTGTAGTGTTGAACACCTTTGTTGTGTATGCTGTGTTGTGCGAGTGAAATGCCTTTTTAAACGCAGGGCTTATGCCAAGGGCCAACCTCCAGCGTTAAAATGGAGATAATTTAGAAAAGCACTAGAGGCTGACTGAAAAACTCAAGCATCACCAGGGTCCCATATCAAAATGTCTATCTTTACAGCCCAAATAAGAAGAAGAATCAGAACAAGCTCTGATCTGAGAACTAGGAAGGTCTGGTCAGCCATTTTCTAGAAACACAGACATCTTTTTAAGGCAGGTGGATTTTGCCTGAACATGTCTGGGGTGAAACTGTTCACCTCTAACCTATTTTACTCCCTGCTTCAACTTTCAGTTCTCCCTGCCAAGGACATGAGGCAGAGCTTTCAAAAAAGACAAAACACAGCGGGATGAAACCCTTTGTCAAGAATCACGTCTGCCAGTATCTGAGGAGAGACCTAAAGAGGAGAGACATCGAAACCAAGAAGAAGGGTCTCCACCCACCTTCGACCCCCTCACCAAAACCAACACTTGTGAAGTTTCTCCGCCCTTGCCCCCTCGAACCCCGATCAGATCATCATCTCTGTCCTCCCCCCACCTGGAGTTCACTGACCAGATGAAGGAGCTGGTCAATGCTGGATTAAAAAGTGGATTAAAAATTAGAGAAAAAGGGAGAAGGCCTTCTCCCTTTTTTTCTCCCATAAACACCCAACGGCGCCCACCTTCGCCCGTTGCGACATGGCTCTCACCCCCCCCCGTCCCCGTCCCCGTCCCCCGTCCCTCCGCAGGTGTGTCATGTTTTGTCTCCTCAGCTTGATAAGGATGAAATGCAGAACGTTCAGAGGTCAAACTGATGTGTTTTGGGTCCAGGCTGCAAGGAGACCAGCAGTCATGACTCTCTCCAGGACAAGCCGGGGCCCTGCACGTCAGTAGGTTCCAAAATCTCTGTGTTGATAGGTAATAGAAGAATAAAGGGGACTCTGCCAAGAAACAAAAGGCAGTTGTGATTTTGCAAACTTGTCAAACTTAGCATCCATTCCTTCTGAGCCACAACCTGTCCCAAAAACGTTAGCAGATGAAGCTTCTAGGACCCTAAAAGCTGGCTCTACTGAACATTAGATCACTGGCAGGGGAATCTTTTTTAATCAATGATTTTATTATTGAGCACAAGCTTGATTTTATGTTTTTAACTGAAACTTGGTTAGATCAAAATAACAGTGCCGCTGTTCTTATCGAGTCAACCCCTCCCAACTTCAGTTTTGTAAGTGAGGCTAGAGTGCATAAGAGAGGAGGAGGAGTTGCAGTTTTGTTTAATGACTCCTTCTAATGTAAGCAATTATCTTTTGGAAATGTTGCTTCTTTTGAATATGTGGCCCTTCAGTCCACCCCCAGAGCCATGTTCCTAAATATTTACAGGCCACCTAAATACTGTGCAAACTTTTTCGATGATTTCACTGAACTGCTGTCTGTGATCTGTATTAACTTTGACTGTGTTATTATTGTTGGTGATTTTAACATCCATGTTGATAACCCCCAGGACAGAGGGACTAAAGAACTGTTTCACACTCTTGATAGCTTTGGGCTGACTCAGCGCGTGACAGAGCCCACACACAACAGAGGGCACACTCTGGACTTAATCATCTCCAAGGGCTTTGACATCTCCAAGGTGGTTGTTTCAGATGTTGCCCTCTCTGATCACTCCTGTGTTTTATTTGAGAGTACTATGTGTACAAAAGTATTAAAAAAAAAAGTGATCACTCAACGGTGTATCACTGAAAACACCAGTGAAATATTTAACCAGGTTTTCTCTTCCACAGCTGCCCTGTCCTGGGTCTCAGTCAGTGAGTTGATAGATAACTTCAATTGTAAAATCACAAATGTTATTGATTCCATTGCTTTCACTAAGGTGAAGGTTGTCTCTGGTAAGAAAAAATCTCCATGGAGAAAGTCAACACTGGAAAAGAAACTAAAAAAGAGATTATCGAAATCTGATCGCAGGTGGCGTAAAACTAATCTCCAGATTCATTATGACATCTACAAAGAGAGACTTCAGATTTATAATTCACAACTGAGGAATGCAAGGCAATCTTTCTTCTCTGACATCATCACCAGAAACAATAATAATGCTCGTGCCCTGTTTGCTACTGTCGACAGGCTAACAAACCATCCTGTGTCAATAGCATCTGAATTTCATTCTACCAGGGCCTGTAATACATTTAACACCTTCTTTACTGAAAAAATCCAGAAAATTAGACAAACTGTCAGTAACTCATCATCAGGATATGTGCTGTGTCCATTTAAAACCAACTTAAGCACCATGAGACAATTTAATCAAATCAACCTTAAAAACCTGGAGGACATTATACAACAATTTAATTCCTCCTCCTGCTGTCTTGATATTCTGCAAACAGGTTTTTTTTTAAAAGTTTCCCAAGTCATGGCTCCAGATCTGTTACAAATTGTAAACCTGTCTCTTCTCTCAGGTGTCTTCCCACAGGCCCTGAAAACAGCAGTCATCAAGCCACTATTAAAAAAGAACAATTTAGACAAGTCAATAATGAACAATTACAGGCCTATATCAAATCTTCCTTTTTTAAGTAAAATAATAGAAAAAGCTGTTTTTCAACAGTTAAATAAATTCTTGACATTGAGTGACTGTTTCGATGTCTTCCAGTCAGGTTTTAGACAAAATCACAGCACTGAGACAGCCCTGGTTAAAGTGTTTAATGACATCCGTTTAAACACAGACAGTGGCAGAACCTCAGTCTTAGTTTTACTTGATCTCAGTGCTGCGCTCGACACAGTTGACCACAATATATTACTTGACCGACTGGAAAACTTGGTGGGAGTTTCTGGCAAAGTACTAAACTGATTTGAATCCTACTTAAAGGACAGGGACTTCTTCAAGTCTATAGGTAACTTCAAATCTGAGCAAACAAAAAATTACTTGTGGAGTTCCCCAAGGTTCCATCCTGGGGCCTCTTCTGTTTAACCTCTACATGCTCCCACTAGCTCAGATTATAAAAAACAATAAAATAAGTTATCATAACTACGCAGACGACACACAAATATATATTACAATGTCACCAGGCAACCATGGTCCCATAAAAGCACTGGGTAAATGCATAGAGAAAATCAATGAGTGGGTGTGCAAAAATTTTCTCTAGCTAAACAAAGACAAAACTGAGGTTGTTGTTTTTGGAGCAAAGGAGAAGCGACTAAGAGTCAGCAATCAGCTTCAGTCAGTAGACTTAAAACCACAGACCAGGCAAGAAATCTGGGCGTAGTGATGGAGTCAGACCTCAATTTTAAAAGCCACATTAAGACAATTACAAAATCAGCCTACTATCACCTGAAGAACATATCAAGAATTAGAGGACTTATGTCCCAGCAGGACCTGGAAAAACTTGTCCATGCTTTTATCTTCAGTCGTCTTGATTACTGTAACAGTGTCTTTACAGGTCTGCCTAAAAAATCAGACAGACAGCTGCAGCTGATCCAGAACGCTGCTGCTAGAGTCCTCACCAAAACCAAGAAAATGGATCACATCAGTCCAGTTCTGAGGTCTTTACACTGGCTCCCAGTCTGTCAAAGAATAGACTTTAAAATCCTGCTGCTGGTTTATAAAGCGCTTAAAGGTTTAGGGCCAAAATACATCAGTGACCTCATGATTAATTACGAACCATCCAGACCGCTCAGGTCGTCTGGGACAGGTCTGCTCTCTGTCCCCAGAGTCAGAACCAAACACGGAGAAGTAGCGTTCAGTTTCTATGCACCTTATATCTGGAACAAACTCCCAGAAAACTGCAGGTCTGCTGAAACTCTCAGCTCTTTTAAATCGAGGTTGAAGACACACCTGTTTACAGCTGTCTTTCATTAAACAATTTTAATAAGATTTTAAATTTTAACTCTGCACTGTAACTTTTAACTCTTTATATTTATTTATTTATATTTTTACTTTATTTATTTCAATAAATTTCATTTCAATTAATTTCATTTGAACATATGTTCAGATTTAATAATTTCAGTGATTTTTAAATGTTCTATTTTAATGTTTCTTTTCTTTCCTCTGTCATGATGCTTTTGATGTCTTGTGTGAAGCACTTTGAATTGCCTTGTTGTTGAAATGTGCTCTATAATTAAACTTGCCTTGCCTTGCCTAAGTAGGAGTTTTTTTTTTGTTTTTTTTTTTAACAATTTAGAGGTGATAACATGGGCAAATTAAAATGCAGGCAAACTTCTTCAAAATGTTTAAATTTCACAAATGTTTTGATAGTGATCTCTCACTCTTTCAGTAGCTTTGTGTTAGAAAATAACAGAAACATTTGTGATGGTTTTAGGCTTTAGTACTTTTCGATACTATTAACCATTTAAATAACTAAGATCGAGGATCTTATCTCATCTCACCTAATCTCTTTTTATCAATAGGCTGGTTTTTCTGTGCTGTGCATTGAGTTATTATGGTGTGGTTTGGTTTCACCCTTTTAGCTTACACTTCTTTCACTTATGTGGCTTGATAAATGGTAATGTTTTATTCATAAATTCATAACATCTTAATCCCAGCTATAATTATTGTATTTCTTCTTTCAGACTTACAGTTTGAGCTCCTCCAGCTGCAGCTTGTACTGAGCAGCACTGTGCTGACTCTGTCTGAGCTCCTCCCTCCACTGCTCGGCCTCTCTGGTTCTTTGCTCTTCCAGCCAGGTGACCTGCAGACGGAGCTGCTTCACCTCCTCCTGTCTGCACAATGACAGCAGTATTTCAGTATTAGTGGACCTTGACCGTCACTGTGTCTGCTGGAGCAATTACTGTTCTCCTTGAGGGTCATTATAAGACAAGGGGGAGCTCTGATTTCAAAGTCACCCTGCAGGCGTCTCATCAACACTGTGATTTACTCCAGGATGAGGTGTATAAGAACAATAAATCAAATGTACTAAGTAAAATCAGTACAGGAAAATAAATATGAGAAGACAGCTTCTTACAATTAAACACTGACAATGTAAATTCAGTTGAAAAGTTCATTGAAAAAAAAGAAAGAGAGAAACAGTGGAAAAAGAAGACATAATAATCTGTTCTAATTCTAAAATGTGTTGGTATTCATTATTGATCATAAGAATTTATAATCTAATGTAGCCGCTCTAATCGCATTTAAAATCAGAATCAGAATCAGAAATACTTTATTAATCCCAGAGGGAAATTCGGTCGTTACAGTTGCTCCAAAATATACAGTATAGCAGTAGAAATATAGTAATAAAAATATTATTCAAATAGAATAGGATTATAAGTAAGGTTTCAATAATAGGTAGAATAAATATTTACACGAATAAGACTAAGGTGGAATATATACACACATTTTCAAGATTATTGCATTGTTTTCTTCAATATTGCTATATTGATATATTTTATCATGGCCATATTATTCATTATTATTATATTGCAGTTTTAATACATAATGAGTTATGGTGGAGGTTACAGTTTTCAGTTTGTTTTGGTTTTTTTCCAGGTTGAGATAGTCCAGGGTCAGACGGAGTGTTTGTCACTCAAAGGGAGGAGTTATAAAGTTTGATGGCCACAGGCAGGAATGACCTCCTGTGGTGTTCTGTGGTGCATCGGGGGGGATCAGTCTGGCACTGAATGTGCTCCTGTGTCTGACCAGCACATCGTGGAGTGTGTGGTAGACATTGTCCAAGATGCAACGCAACTTAGTTAGCATCCTCCTCTCTGACACCACCGTCAGAGAGTCCAACTCCACCCCAGTAACGTCACTGGCCTTATGGATCAGTCTGTTTAGTCTGTTGGAGTCTGCTACCTTCAGCCTGCTGCCCCAGCACGCAACAGCAAACAGGATAGTACTGGCCACCACAGACTCATAGAACATCCTCAGCATCGTCATGCAGATGTTAAAGGACCTCAGCCTCCTCAGGAAGTAGAGTCGACTCAGGCCTTTCTTGTAGACAGCCTCGGCGTTCTTAGACCAGTCCAGTTTATTGTCCAAGTACACCCCCAAGTACTTGTAGTTGTCCACAATGTCCACACTGACCCCCTGAATGGAAATAGGGGTCACCGGTGCCTTTTTCCTCCTTAGATTCACTACCAGTTCTTTGGTCTTTGCCAGGTTGAGCTGGAGATGGTTTTGCTCACACCATGCGACAAAGTCACCCACCACAGCCCTAAACTCAGCCTCCTCACCCTTGCTTATACGTCCAACTACAGCAGAGTCATCAGAAAACTTCTGAAGGTGGCAGGACACTGTGTTGTAGTTGAAGTCTGTGGTGTAGAGGGTGAAGAGGAAGGGAGACAGGACCGTCCCCTGTGGGGCCCCAGTGTTGCTGACCACTCTGGCTGACTCACAGTGTTGTAGGCGCACATACTGTGGTCTGCCAGTCAGATAGTCCACAATCCAGGACACGAGAGGAGCCTCCACCTGCATTGTCGTCATCTTCTCCCCCAGTAGAGCCGGACGGATGGTGTCAAAAGCACTGGAGAAGTCAAAAAAACATGACCCTCACAGTGCTGTCCGGCTTGTCCAGGTGAGCGTAGACCCGGTTCAGCAGGAAGGTGATGGCGTCCTCGACACTCAGTCGGGGCTGGTAGGCGAACTGGAGAGGATCCAAGAGGGGCCTGACCGTTGGTCGGAGCTGATCCAGGATGAGTCTCTCCAGGGTCTTCATGATGTGGGACGTCAGTGCCACCGGTCTGTAGTCCTTAGCGTCGCGGCGTCTTTGGCACAGGAACGAGGCAGGACGTCTTCCACAGCACGGGGACCCTCTGAAGACTTAGGCTCAAGCTGAAGACATGGTGAAGTACTCCACAGAGCTGGGGGGGCACAGGCTTTGAGCACCTTGGGAATGACGCCGTCAGGGCCCGCAGCCTTGCCTGCGTGGAGTCTGAATCAGCTGCCCTTGGCCTCCCTAATGTTCACTTTCAGGAACCCCTGTATAGTTCTCATCTCCTCTTGATTTCCATCTCTGAAGGCCCTTTTCTTGGTATTGAGGATGGCCTTGATGTCCTTTGTTATCCATGGCTTGTTGTTTGAATAACAAAGGACAGTCCTTGCTGGGACAGTGCAGTCCACACAGAAACTGATGTAATCGTTGATGTCCTCTCCATGGGGCTCGCAGAGTGCTTCCCAGTCAGTCACCTCAAAGCACCCCTGCAGTGTGATATAGGCCACCTCTGACCATCGCCTCACTTTCTTCTTGGTTGCAGGCAGCCTTTTAACCATAGGTACATCAGGGGGTGAGGTGAATCATGTTGTGGTCTGACCTTCCTGGGGGGGGGGGAATGCGTCCTTTACATTGACTTTGCATTGAAGAGTAAAGCTCTATCTTTTTTCTCAGCTCATGTCTACTGCAAATAAGGGCCGGGCAATTAATCAAGTTTCAATTTAAATGATACATTTACCGACCCACGATCATGAAAACAAGATAATCAGGATTAAGGGATTACGTTGCTGCTTGCAGAGGTGCGCTTGTTTTGTCCACAGGTTCTGTCGAGTGGGGAAAGTGTTTCAAAGTCTTTGTTGTTCATCACCTCTACCACTACCTTTATTTCTTGTATTTATATATCATTAACTGTATATATTTATTTATTTTTCATTTATTGGTTCTTTTTCAAAGTGTTTCAGAGTGTTTTAGTTTGTTAATAACTGTGATCTCAATAGGTAGATACTTTATTGATCCTTTGTAGGAAATCAATCACAGTCAAGATAACACATAAAAAAACCTGGACCAATACCTTTAGGCACATAAAATCAAGAGATCAAAAACACTAAGATCAGTTTTTTAAAAACAGACTAACATTTCGTTATTATAACTAAAAGACTATATCAACAAAATAATCGTGATTATGATATTTGCCATAATCTAGCAGCCCTACTACAAATACATGCTTGATGCTTTACATAAATAAATTATTTCAAGGATCTTTCCACTTACATGTTCGCATTCAGTTAAGAATTTTAAGCATAAGGCTAGTAATTCTTTATTTTTATTTTTATTTAGGATGCTCTGTGTGACTCTAAATGCTCAGTATGAGCTTCATTCTCGCCCCCACAGTGTTTGATAAACAATTTGCTTACTTTAAATACATTAACAATCCTAGTTGATTGATCTTCCACTTATTTCTACAAGTTGTTCTGATACTCTCATTATGACGTAATCTTTACTTTGTAATTTGTGCTGAAGAGGTTGAGAAGAATTGTACCTGTTGTTTTCCACAGTCAGAGCTCCGGTAGTAACCACATCGTATCTCTCCAGCTCTCTGTCTCGTTCGTCCAGGACAGCCAGATTGAACTGGAAATCATCCTTCATTTGCTGGTAGCGCTCTCTGACAGAGGAATGCACAACAAAATATTATTTGATAACAGTGCTTACACACAGGAAGATACTGTAAGTCTTTACACAAGTATGAGTGTTATTTGCAAAAATCACATGATTTGGAAAAATCACATCCCTGCATATACTGTAAAATATATTTAATTTTTCAATATCTATACATCAATATAATTAGTGCTGCTCAAATAATTCTTCATGGGCTGGTCTATTCCAAATTCTTTATGAATCTTCAGCTTGATATCAGACTGATTATGGTATTAATCTAAATAGTAATATGTACACAGTTAAAGGACTTTAACGCTGGGCCACATCTTACTCCAGGAGATTGCTTCGGCGTTCTATTGCCTGCAACATAATATATTCTTATTTCTTTCAGTCAAAGTGATTTTCATTTAAAAGTTGTTGATGCAATTCATTTTCTTTCTGTTTATATGTTGATTGTTGTTTCGTATTATGTTTTTTTTTTTTACTTACGCTAGTGTGCAGACAACCACATTTCTGAAGTATTCCAGTCCAAGACAAGTTTTCATACAGGGCAAAGTATAACTGTATCGTACCATACCGTAACATTTTGTGTGGTAATGTATTTATTCTTAATGTCTGAAAACACAAGTGATTCCTACAGCGAAAGGCCTTATTATATGATTTCGTTTACACAACAGCCAGTGGACTCCATTGAATAATATGTAATTTTACTTTGCTTTCACGGTAGTTGCTGGTTTTCCCCCCATGGCCCAAGCATTAAGCTTGGCTGTATCATGATGTGACTTCAGTGTTTTTAAATAATTACTTCGGATCCACCACAATTTTTTTTTTAAGATTTCTTTTGGGGCTTTTTGTGCCTTTATTGGAGAGATAGGACCGTGGATAGAGTTGGAAATCAGGGAGAGAGAGAGAGAGAGTGGGGAATGACATGCAGGAAAGGAGCCACAGATCAGATTCGAACCCGGGCCGCCCAATTGGAAGACCACAGCCTCCATACACGGGGGGCGCACACTAACCTCTGCACCACCAGCGCCCCTCCACCACAATTTTGAGTGACACACAAAAACATAACAAATTGGAGAACCCTGTACAAATGTATTTTTCATTCCTTTATAAAAGAAAAAGTGGACATAAAACCTGAACATGTTCGAGTAGAAAAATGATCTTCGTGAGGAGGTAAGCAAACAAACATTTGTAGTGGTATCAGTCTTATCAGATTTTTATGTTTGCATATCTTTAGACTGACAGCTCTGCCTCCACTGCAGTACAATAGAGGTGCTGCTCATGGCATTGAAAAAGACGTTTAGACATTTCGACAGCAAGCAATAGCAAAGTGCCTTTCCAATTACAATGTGCTGCATACTGTTGATAATCCACACGCCTCAATTGTGTTATACCGAGGTAGATATCGCTGACAAACATTACAAAACTTGAGCAAATAAAACCAAAACGTTGTGCATAGACAGACTCCATCACAAGCAGCTGATGAACATGTTTCCTGGTAACTCTGCATAACTCTGTAAGAGTTCAAATGTTCAACTGGTGTCGTGTCACTAGGGTCCCAAATTAACTTTTTGACTCACCGGCCAAGGTGGCAGGTAAATTAAAAAAAATTCACCGGCCAAACATATTTTTAACTGTCCAAAAGAACAAATTGTGTTTTTGTGTCCCGCACACATCTGTTACAGTACATTTAAATGAGAAGGCATTATGTTCTGTTTAATCAATAACAGATTTAAGTCACAGATTCGATCATTTTATCAGATCAGGTTTTTTTCTCACTTGTAGGCAGTGTCACCAGTTCTTACAGGAGGCTTGAGGACTCAACTGTCGCACACTAAAGCATGAGAGGATATATTTTTCAAACTCAGGTATATTAGATATTTTAACAGCAAACTTGGGTTAACTGGATTTTTTTGGGGGGGCGGAGGGTGCAAAATGATTCAAGCATTTATCGATCAAACATTAAGTTTTACTTCGTTAACTGTCCTTCAATTAATTAGAAAAACAATTCAACACAAAAATGTATTCTTCTTCTCCTTATTATTGTTGTTATTATTATTATTGTTATTATAAATACCACCCTTACCATACCAGACATTCTCTACAGAGGGGTTTTCTGCTTTTCTCTTTTTTACATCATTATTCAATTTACAGAAAATGTTTGATCTTCTGAAAACTGAAGGTGTTACCTTGTGTTCTTGGAAATTGTCATAGACATTTTTAAATAACTTTTTTTCCCACAAGTATTAATCAGTTGATTAAAAAACTGGGCATGATTATCTACACATATTTCCCTTTCAGTGACTTAATCTCTCTGAGTCAGAGACGCTGGGTCTAGTACTGGGAATATTTTCCAGCTGAAAGCTGTGGTGTGAGGTGGAGGTAATCACGGTACCTGAGGGAGGAGCACTCCTCCTGTGCCTTTCTCAGGGAACTCTCCAGCTGATGAACCCTCACAGCTTGGAGCTCCTTCCATTCCCTCTCTTTACTGGCCAGCTGGGCCTCAAGCTCTCCCAGGTCACTCTCCACGTCCGACTGCATGGCCAAACATGTGTAAACCTACCATGCCACAATAAAGGTTGATCAACATAGTATTCTTGCTCACCCGTTAGTTTACTTTACCATGTTAACGCAACTTTCCACTGAACGCATCTGTGGCTGTCGTAGGTACCACAGATGTTCAGACATAAAGTGTCCTAATGCCTCCTCGTTTAGTTGTTCATTATAATGCCAAATACTTATCAGACATATCTTAAAGAAAAACCATAGAGGCATTCTTTAGGACACCTTTTTATCTTCATTAGGACACTTTCAGTCTTCAACATCTGGTGTAGCAGCTGAAAGTCACCTGTTGACATGGTCACTGTTTTAACCATGACGACGTGCATGAGAGCAAAATACAGGACACTACAGTAAAGACAAAATGCTGTGAGAGTGCTAGGAAAGTGTTATCAGTAGAATATAAATAACCCTTTCCCAAAGATAGAGTCAGGTAGTGATTTAAAATGACATGAAAACACATGTTTTTGGTTTTAAGATTGTATTTCTTAGTACAGCGGGTCAGTTCAGAGTTCTATTGACCCCCCCCCCCTGCACCTCAGGTGGGCGCAACAGGTAAGTAAAAACAAAACTGCGAACACACTGGATCAACAAACCGAAATCAATCACACAAACCTACCATGATCCATGAGCCGATTTCACTCGGCAGGTTTGGTAGGAGCTCCTAATTCTTTACACTTTATATTCACCAAGCCATGTAGCGACGTGTTTATTTATCTTAATTACTCTATGTTGGAAAACATCATTGGAGGAGCTAAAGTAGACGTTCAATAAAACTTGACCAGTCCGTCTTTCAGGTGAATGGTTTGCCCGTGGGGTTTCCCGGGCAACCGTCCGTTATGCCATATATGTTCCCCCGGCACAAGGAGAGAGAGAATAGTTCCGAGCGACGCTAGTTTCTTTTAGACACATTTTATTCATAGTGGCCTGATGTCAGTGTTAGATAGTCGTTATTAAACGCAAGAAATGTGTCCTGAATTTGAATCAACTGATTGGTTTTATTATATATTTAAATCATATATTTTGAAATTAGGAAAAAAAAGTGTTTGTCATTATAAGAATTATATATTTTAACCTATTAAAATAGTGATTATTTTAACATTTTAATTTCAATGGGTAAATTCTACATTCACATGTCCAAGTAGGCCACAAAGAAACCCCACGTATGATAACGCACAATATAAATCAGACAATATTTTCTACAGAAACTGAAATAAAAGCAGTCAGACAGTATCAATCAATCAATCTTTATTTGTGTAGGGCCCATTCCTAAAAAAAAATGTTACACAAAGAAACTTTACAAAAGAGCTTGTAGAATACCTTACTAGTTGTTATATTATATTACAAAAGAGCAGATAAAACACCTTACTCTTTGTTATATTGTGTTACAAAAGAGCAGGTAAAAGATATTACTCTTTGTTGTATTATTATCTACAAAAACCCAACTTTAATCCATCATGAGCACAGCAGCAACAGTGCCCCAACCCTAAACCAGTAGAAATGTGCTAGACCTAAATGTATTTGTTTCTTGTAAGGTTAAGACTACAATGTCGGTGTCTTCGTTTTTGGTTTAAAATGTTTGTATTTAAGCGTTTCAATTGTTTACAATATAATGATAATAGAAGAAACTGGCTCCAATGTGATATGAACTCTTAGTCGTTGACTAAACTTGAATTTCCCTTCTAAAAAGTTTGTAACATACTTAGGCAGCTCTGTATGTTTGGTTGCTTAATGATGAAATACGATGCAAGGGACAGTTGATAAACGCACATCTGTTTGATTTGGCGGAGGGGCGTGGTCTCCTTTGCGTGCGCGCCGCCGTCTGATAAAGGCAGGACGAAAGCGCGCACCCGCGAGTTGTGTAGAAGCGCTTCTGAAGAGGCAGGCATCATCTCACCAGGTAACGTCACTTAATTTTGTATTTTTCCCTTTTCTTCACTTGAGGGTTTTTTTTTTGTCTGAGTTCTGACGTTTCGGAATTAATTTGTATTTTTGATTTTATTAAAACTGCTTTTAGGTGTGGAGTAACAGGTGGGCTAAATATAAGCAGGCTAAAGATGATAAATTAGAATGAATTTGAGTGTAAAATGAGAGTAAAGGAGAGGTGTTTGTGATGCTTAGCCCCATGATAGTCTCAGTTGTTACAGTATTTAACACTTTGGACCGGTCGGATCAGGATCAGGTCTGTGGGGATGCACATTAGAGACCCACGCCTCACTCCTCACGTAGGCAGCTTGCTCTCTTGGTTCTTTCCGTTATCCACTCCTGTCAAGTGTACGGCATAGAAAAAAAACTTCATACTGCAGCTGTTACCTAAATAGGACAATACGACGGATATATTACTCACTTACAGAGGAAACAATGGCTCTGGCTGGGAAAAAAGACTATGCTGCGCATTAAACGGAAGATCTTCATTTCCTCACGGCGATCATTGTGGTGTATTAGTTATATAACGGGGGGAAAAAAGTAAAGAAAATGTAACACTGAAAGTCTTATGCCAGCTAAAAAGACAACAAAACGAGCTCGGAGGATAAAATAAGAAAACTTCTGGGAGCGGATGTTATTTGGCAGACAGAGCGCGCTGCCTCGCTGCCTCTTTTCCTGATTCAGTGATGCGTGATGAAGTCTGAACGTGATGCAACAAGCGCTGAAAGTTTGAAGTAGGATGTAGTTGCTGCTGGATGTGACGCAGAAGTCACACTGCCTACGTGCGCTGCGCTGCATCCACGAGACGATGATGATGTCACGACTATAGGCTATACGTCATCTTTCTCTACCAAAACATGCAAATGTATACAGTTACATGTAAAAATAATTCATTCAGGGAAATCGGTTATGGGCTGGAATAACTCTCATGTAGGCTATTCTTGACGCAGCCAGGCAACTGCAGGATATCCTGATCTAAATACTGAGAAAGTGTCATGATTTGGTTTTGTATTTTGTATTTGAGTTTCCCCGGTTTTTCCCAGTGTTGCTTGTTTCCCTTGTGTGTTAATGTTCCCTAGTGTTGCTTGTTTCCTTGTTTTGTCGTCAGAGTTTTCTGTTTTATTTTGTCATTCATTATCCTCGTGTATCTCTGTGTTCTAGTGTGTTTTTGTTAGAATCTTGAGTTCTGTGTGTCTTCAGTGTTTCATCATTTATTTTGTATTGTCCTCAGTGTTTCTGGTCTTGTGTTTCTCCCTGTCTTGTTGCCCTGCTTGTCCTCACCTGTGTCTTGTTAGTCCCCCCTGTGTTTTATCACCCCATGTCTATTTAGTCTCTGTGTTCCTTCCCTTCCTGTTGTCAGTTCATTGTATGTTGTAAGTAGCCAGTGTTGATTGTTGTATGTTGCAAGTGTCAGTTTTCGCTCGTGCTCCTGTGTGGCTCCCTGTTTTTGATCCCTGTGTTTGTTTGTTTTTTGTTGAACTTTTGGAAGTAAGTTTTTGTTTGCCTTTGGCCTTTTTGATTATTAAATAATGTTAGTTAATTCTGCATGTGGGTCCAGTTTCTGATTTTTCCACACCCGTGATAGAAAGACGCTTTGTTATTGAAGTGACATTTCTATCTTCATTACTTGACATGATGTTTATTACTTAAGCGTCATCAAACTTTAAACACGTTATTTGATGGGTTTTAAAGCAGCCACAATCATGTTTAACTGAACCGTATAATTTGTTTTAATGCAGCAGGTTCAGAAACAGCAAACTCAGGAAATGCGGTGAGATAGCTAATAAAGAGCGACATGAGAACAAAAGCAGTAAGACAATACAAAATATTTTCAATATTTGTATTTGTCATATACACAACAACATCCTCAACAAAGGTTTGGTCTATGGCCTATAGCCACCAAGTCACTGAGTTATAAGTGTTGTTAATTATTACCTGCAACAATTCCTTTAGTTGTTGAAACATCTGTAGAAAAACGTTCTTCGGTGTTTCCTAATGTAAAAAATAATATCCTCAAATGTATTACTTTGTCAACAACAAAACATATTTGACGTCACAGAGGAGGAAAAACAAAAACCCAGAATACTTCACATTTAAACAAATCTTGATGTTCGTTTAAATGTTTCCTGAGACGTTCCTGTATGAAATTATTACCTTTTCACAATAAAATCTGAAAGTTCAGCCCCCAGGTTGTTTGATGCACATTTAGACTCTAAATTCATCTAAAAACTGTTTTGTATCATAACATGGGTAGTTGAATTGTACTTACTCAACAGTTTAGTAAAATAATAATGTATAAAAGTGTATGAGAAAAATATTGTTTATGGAACTGTTCGTAAACACAGCAGCGAAAAAAAGGTCTAGTTGTGTGTGTGTGTGTGTGTGTGTGTGTGTGTGTGTGTGTGTGTGCGCGTCGAGGAGGAAGCTTTATCTGTCCTGACAGGTTGTCAACAATGCCTCAGCCACAGCAGATAAGATGTTTTTATATTAACACCCTTAACCAAAATAAACACAATACATGCGCAAGCTCTCAAACACATTGGCTAAAAATAGAATCGATCCTTCATAAAAACAAAACAGAGGCTTTTCAAAGACACGTTAACATTTCAATTGCAATCAAAAGACAACAAAAAGGCAATAAAAGCTTTAAGTAGTCAGATTAAATGATTGGCATGGATCTTTATTATTGAGAAGCTTCAGTAAACAATGACAGATCCGATGACTCACAAGTAAATCAGAGAAGATTTCAGGCCTGGGGCTAATTAGTTCTTTATAGTGAAGTAATAGGATTTTAAAACCTATTCTCTGACTCACAGGATGCCAGTGCAGTGATTAAAGAAGCGGTACAAAGTGCTCCACTTTCTGTTATGTGTGCTGTTCATAGACTATGGATGTAGTCTCAGTGATGTCACCCGTTAGTTTCTGAAGAGGCAGGTATGAAGCCCAACAGTGGCGGTTGCCAAATTGGGAATGCTAACGTTACTCTTGATCGATCTGGTAGTATAGTATGCAATATTTTAAACATTAATAAAGCAGCATATCAAATATTTGCTAACTAAGTATATTGCTGAGTTATGACTTTAAAAAAAGAGTGAAGTCAAACTCTCTCTCTGTTCTCAGTTCTGTGTTCACACTAATGGGAAGGCGTGTTCTTAAGCTTGTTTATGTGTCACGTAGAGGCTCAAACATGTTTCCTTTTGCGTGAATGGCGGTAGTCTGTTGTTATGATACGAGAAGACCATTTGACACCGCTGTCTCTCACCACTCGTATTATAGGTAGCCTACTAATGGAGAATAATGTCTGATAAAAAGTTGAAAATGGTGCTGGTGTTGTCAGCCCTTGGTCTTTTAGTGGAAAAAGAAAAGAAGAGGCAGAGGAGACAAATAAGGAGAAACCGCACTAATGGGTGAAAGCATGGATACTACAGTGGCATGCTCAAGGGTGTAATGTTGATGACAGCTTTAAGTGAAGCAACAATGCCATCTATGGGTGACACATTTATATAGAGCAGTCATGTAGCACAGTCATGGTTTTTACATGGGTTTTACAAACATTACAAAGGGGCTTTCCTGAACCTGTGTCAAGAGCTGGAGATAAACGAAACCTCCTAACAGCCAATCAGAGAGATCCCTTCAACATGTCTAATCGGCTGAAAAAATGACAACAGGTAGCGACAGAGCCGGACGCACGGCAAAAACAAGGGCGACAATCGCTCACTGACAGTCCAACTGGGACCGACAGCAGGTGTGTCATGGCCTTTAGCCTCGCTGCTTGTTGGGAAAGAGAGACAGCCCCACCCACACAGGGACACCATTAGTAGAGGCAGACTGGCAAAGTTTCTTCTTCTTGAGTAAAACTAAAGGACAACCAACAGACCTGCCAAACAGAGGATCTTTCTAAATACTTTACTAAGAAATAAAAACTGAATCCTATTTGGGTTGCCTTTTAGAAAAGATTAGTCTTACAAAATCTGCGTCAACTACTGCACTTGGTTAGAATAAAGAAGAAGGGTGGGGGGAGGAGAAGAGGCAGTGTGCTGAGGGACAGAGAAGGTATGGCCAATGAAAGGTTTTGTTTTGGTTGGAGAGATTGGAACTAAAGTGCAACATCTACTGGACATCTACTCTGAAAGTTTCATATTATACCTCTAGATATAGATACACACATTTATTTTGTTTATCCCTTAAATGCAGTTATCATACACTTGTGGAAAAGATATACAGTAGAAGGCAAGATAAGATGGTCACTCAACTGGAAAGTTGTAATCCATATAGCACACTCTGCTGGTGAAAGAGAACTGCTAGTGTAATACAAATACAAACTAAATGCTATTTGACCGGTGAATAAACCTAGTTATATTGGCGCATATCTGTGATAGTCAGATATGCGCCGATACAGATCACTTGATAGATCACTTGATATGCTAATATCTGCCGATATTAATCGGCTGGCCAATTAAATGGTCAGGCTCTAACATGTCTAGCTTGATTTGGTAGATGTACGAGTCAAGAACGTTAGGGAATCACTTACATTTCTTCCTTTTTGGAGTTTCAACAAATTCCAAGTTTTCTATTTTGCGATGTAAAGAGCACTTATAAAGCACTTGTAACAGGCTTTAATCTGTTATGTAGAGTGTGTCATCTGCATAAGGTGAGATGTACCTCGTTGAATATTCTGTTTGATATCTATGTTTTCATGAGCACAGTCAAGAGCATGAGTGCCAGTGGGCAAGAATACAGTGTATAATAATTGAATCCACCTGAACCATTTAAACAACACGCTAAAGGATACATTTGTGTTTATCTAGCACTCTGTTTACAGCCACTGACCTCAGCACAGCAGCAGAGAGCATCATGGGAGGAGCAGTGGTTGATGACGCACCTCCTGGGGTGAAGGCACCAGATGGAGGCTGGGGTTGGGCGGTGTTGGTCGGCTGCTTCGTCATCACCGGTTTCTCCTACGCTTTCCCAAAGGCTGTCAGCGTCTTTTTCAAGGAGCTGATCCGAGAGTTTGGTGTCGGCTACAGCGACACCGCCTGGATCTCATCCATACTGCTCGCCATGCTGTACGGCACAGGTAGACAAAAAACACCTCACACGTGTCTAAAATCGATTTAGTTTTAGCATTGAAATGCCAAATAGAGATCTACACGTTTAATTTCTGTGTTGTCTCAGGTCCTCTGTGCAGCGTGCTGGTGAACAGGTACGGCTGCCGGCCGGTGATGATGGTTGGAGGTGTCCTCGCTTCACTGGGAATGACTCTGGCCTCTTTCTCCACCAGCATCATCCACATCTACCTCTGCACCGGAGTGATCACAGGTAGTGACCACATACACAGAAAATATCAACATATGGAAAGGACACCTTTAAAAGTAACATGCATCCACATCTTTGTCAAACCTCTGTTAGAATACGGAGCGACAGCATTGATGAAACCGCAGCTTTTATTTTAGACATGAGGTTTGAAATATTTGTGGCAAATACTGAAGTGCTTTAAACCTACATTCTTTCTAATGGCCAGCAGTGAGGCAACTCCACAGGATGTAAACAAGCAGGAACCTTCAGTTATAAGAAAAAAAAACAATACAGTATCTTCCTTAAGTGTCCACTTGAGGCTGGCTAAGAAAGTTAAACCCCATTATATGCACAAGGTAGTGTTTTATAATTTGGTGCTCTTCACTCCTTAAACAACAATCAACTGCGGTCCAAGATTCCTTCTTGTCTGGCCCTCTGCTCAGTCAATTTCTTTTTTATTCTTCTTGATCCAAGGCCTTTTAGTCTGCCCTCATGTCTGTACTGAGATAATGAGCTCAAACTGGTAACAGGAGAAGTTTGCTTCATTACTTTCTGCCTGAAAGACATGCCACACTTCTCTCGGGGGATCCCACTCGCTTGAACCAAATTACAATGTTTAAGGTCAAGCATTCAGGGCACCGAGGGGTGAGGGAAGAGGCACCATTCTCCACATTTGTCTCATCTAAGGAATATTTTAAGCTGTCATTTTAAGTACAAGAGTTGGACAATGTCGCCAACAGAAGTCTGAGGCAATGCAAACCAAAAAATACAGAAAAAATGCAAAGTTAGTCTTTTTTTTATGCCTTTTTAGATACAAAAACATTTAGATCGCTGAGAAAAAAGGAGTATGTGCAAAGTAAAACAATTCTGTGACATTTCCCATCTGTTCAGGTCTGGGTCTGGCACTGAACTTTCAGCCGTCTCTCATCATGCTGAATCGATACTTCAGTGAGAAACGTCCTCTGGCTAACGGCCTGGCGGCAGCAGGAAGTCCTGTGGCTCTGTGCTGCCTCTCCCCTCTGGGACAGGTTCTCCAGTATCAGTACGGCTGGAGGGGGGGGTTCCTCATACTGGGAGGGATGCTGCTCAACTGCTGTGCCTGTGCTGCCCTCATGAGGCCCTTGTTACCCCCTAAGAAGCCACAAGAGCTGGAGATGAGCGACCCCACAGCTGCAGAGGAGGAGAAGAAGCCCCAGACGAAGAAGAAGTTGTTGGACTTCAGCGTGTTTAACGACAGAGGATTTCTTATCTATACCATCGCAGCGTCCATCATGGTTCTGGGCTTGTTTGTGCCCCCTGTGTTTGTGGTCAACTACGCTAAAGCCCTCGGCAACGAGGACACCAAGTCTGCGTTGCTGCTCACCATCTTAGGATTTGTTGATATGTTTGCTCGACCCACGTGTGGACTCATAGCAGGCATGAAGTGGGTACGGCCAAGATGTGTCTACCTCTTCAGCTTTGCTATCATCTTCAATGGATGCACCGACCTCATCGGATCACAGGTAACTCGACTCACACCACAATGACAAAACCCTAGAAAGAGTATTTTCTGTTACTCCAAAACCAGAAACCAAGTCATACAGGTCCAAGAGCTGCACGTCTCCAATGGTTTCTCACTCTATTTTCTTCAGTGAAACATGGAGTAAGTCCCCATAAGTGTTCTTTTTGCCACTCACAGACTCAAAATGTTACTTGAAATCTACAGAGGTAGACCTTTAAGCAACGGTAAGATACCAGAAACATTTGATGTCACTCATTGTAACAGAACAAAAAATCCTGTTTGCAAAAGAATTGCTTCATCTTAAATTGAGCAATAAACCTACTTCTATTTCAAAACTAAATACTCACCATCATGGCGTCATTGGCGGGCCTTTTGAATTGTAATTTGAAGCCAATATTGTCTGACTGTGTATAACAATGCCAGGGCCTGCAACAAACTTTTTTCAGTCAGCTCCAAATGCTGATCTAAGCCAGGCCTAGGAGGCAAATGTTGGCCAGGAGGCTAGCGTTTACCCTACTCATCCACAATAAATAACATCTGGGGGTTGACTGCCATGTTCTGCAAGATAAAACCTTTTTTGTTTCAATTAAGTTTGGTGGCTTTAAAGAGAGTAAAGTAACGGCTCTTTTTGTGGGTTTTAAAAAAAGGGATCTTACCCCTTAAAAAAATGTCTACCATTGAAATGACTCACTTCATAAAGTTGTGCAAAAGTTAAACGGCGTGTTTACTTACCATTACAGCTTGATACATGGCTGCAGCTGATGCACTCTATACATATATATGACAATAGGGCCAGGTTTTAAATACCAGAATTCTCCTTGAAATGTCTGTTATCTCTCCTGAACAACGCGCTCTGTGTCATCACCTGGGCCTCCCCTTTAAACGTGTCCTCATGTGCAGAAATCTCCCTCCTCTTCCTGCAGGCGACCGACTACACAGGTCTGGTGATTTTCTGTATCTTCTTCGGCATGTCCTACGGCATGGTGGGAGCGCTGCAGTTCGAGGTCCTCATGGCTATTGTCGGGACGGAGAAGTTTTCCAGCGCCATCGGCCTGGTGCTGCTTATGGAGGCCATCGCTGTACTTGTGGGACCCCCTGGAGCAGGTCAGAGCATGAAAGGAACAAATGTGAAGTATCTGTATACATCAGCTGCTTTGGTTTACTTTTTTACGTTTTTGTTTTTTCATTTCTTTGCCTGTTTCTTATATTTTTTAAAAGTTTGAAGGGCACAAATATCCCCCTTTTTCTGGTCACATGAATTTAAATGTATGATATAAACCCCTTGTATTTCTCCTGTCTCACAAAAAAATGCCCTTGCCAAATTTTGTACATGTAGATTGATACTGAAGTCAGAAATTAAAGGCAAAAATAGTTTAAATTCTCATCAGTCAAAAAAGTAAAACAAATCAGTGGCTACAAACCAAGAAGACAAGAATTAATCGCAGATAAGCTTCTTTTAAAGAATATGAAAGCGGTAAGGCACATATAGAGAGCTCATTAAAGACTGTGTGTGGGTGTGGTAGAAACCTGTAAGAAACCCCAACCAGCAGACGTAGAAAAGGTAAAGCTAAACTATCGAAGAAATCCAAATATCAGAGTGCAAACTATAACTGAGGTAAATGTAGTTTAACAAGAGAAAACAAAACTTTAAACATAGTAAATTATTTTAACATATAAAGGAATGTGTGAATGCAAACTGACACTTTTTTCTCCAGCGAGTAAAATGTTTTCATGAAGTTGGGCCGAGCTGATGCGTGAACACAGCAGGATATATTCTGGAAAATTCACTGCAATCAAACAAGCAGAAGGGGTTGATCGCTTTATATCATGTGATCAATGTGCAACCAATGAGTGACCTGTATGCAGGTTATGAAGCTGTTTTATACACTTCTCCACTTTTATACACTTCTGTTCTATACACTTCTCCATACACTTCTGTTTTATACACTTCTCCACTTCTCCACTTTATACACATCTCCATGTTCTTTTCCACTTCTTTGTTGATACTGTGAATACATCAAATTACTGCAGCATCGACATAAAGGCAAAAAACTGTTATTATAGTTTTGGAATCTGTCACTTTTATACATCTCGTCCTGACCATTTAAAGAGACTTACTCTTACTGAACCAGACTGTCAGATTTTTATGTTTTTGAAGCCTTGGGTCAATTATCAATTAATGAGACGGAATTAAATATAATCATAAACAGTACAACCAGAGTTAGACGTCTTCGATGTGCCCGGTTGTGTTTTATGAAGCTGTTAACCTTTAATGTATGTACAGCGACAGTGGAGAAGTGACAGAAACAAACAAAGAGATTGAGGATACTAAAAGTTGACGTCTGGATTTAAGCAGTTGTTCAGGGTAACAGTCTTAAACCCAAATCCATGAGGAGGCCCGAGTTGACTCTTTTTTTGATCACATTAGATCCCTTTAAGTCACGTAAGCTTTGACTGCATCCCAAATCCCCCACTTCGCCCTGACCTCCCCTCTCTGTGCACTTCTGTGGGAGTCTGGGTGTTGGTTTCTTTTCGTGATAGTGGTCGTCTAAACGTCCAAAGTGAGTATTTTCAGATGAAGATACCACACATTGTGGTAGAAAACATGGACCTGATAAGGTTATTTTTTGGGCCATTCAGCCTTCATTGGATAGAGCAGCTGAAGAGAGACAGTAAACGCAGGGAGGAGATAGTGGGCCATGACATGCAGCAAAGGGCTGAATTTTGATTTGAACCCAAAGTGCATGCATAGAGGACTTTAGCCTCTGTACATGGGGCGCGCATCATATCCTCTAGGCCAACTGGTGGGCTTGGAACCCAAAAGTGGGTCACAGAGCTGTTTTCACCAGGTCTCAGTGCATGTCTGGAAAAAAAAATTGTTACAATTGACTTAGGAGATGCTTATATCCAAAGCTACGTACATCAGAGAGTTAAGTACAACACTAATCCATTCATACACTGTCACTGAAGCAGCGGGAGCAATGCGGGGTTGAGTGTCTTGCCCAAAGACACATCGGACATGTTGCTCAGCTGGGGATCGAACCCTCAACCTTCCTGTTGAGAGGCGACAACTCTACCAATTGAGTCACAGCCGTCCCCAAAGTGTGTCAAAAAGTTATGAAGCACTTTTGAACATGTGTTTGTATTGTTCCGTTTCCTTGTTTGTGAATTCTGAGGTCCAAACTGCACCATTGTTCATTGGACAAATCTGATTGGTTGGTTGAGATATTTCATGAAGGAGTTGGTGGTGGGTCCTGAGGCTGGACCAGTTGAGAACCCCTCACCGCTCTGGCTATCAGGCGTCCAACCTGATGCAGTTTAACATTTAACATAGCGAACATTGTGGGGAAGCCCGTATATATGCAGATAATCAAACAAAAAAAAAAAAATCCATTAGAATATCTCTGCATTTTTAACATGCAAAGAAATATATTTTTTGAGTGTGAAAAAGAAGCATTTCTGGGCGCCGATGCCCTAGCGGTTAGGTCCCGCCCCATGTAAGGAGGCTATTGTTCTCCAAAAGGACAGCACAGGTTCAAATATGATCTGCGGCTCCTTTACAGCAAGCCGTAAGCTTTTGTTATTTGGCAACACCAAATGCTCAGAAGCCAGGAAATGATGTTGAAATGATTAGAGCAGATGCAAGATGACGTAGTCTACACATTACATCTCACAAGAAAGCCAGCTCTGGATTATTATTTTTGATACATTTTTGATAGCTCTTGATACTAAAGCTTGAAGCTTGAATCATGAAATTAAATGTCGATGTTTCAGAGATCATTCAAACCTTCCCTCTTTAACTCTTGCACATCAGCTAATAGAATGTATTTAGCTGGAAGCGAACATATGGTAACTGGCTTCCATACGTTCAGGCTGGAAACATGTTAATTTCCGCTGTAACATTTTATAACAATGGAGGTTACCGCTTGATCATCCCCCCTCTCTCTCTCCCCTTCTCCATCCACTATCTCTATCCACAATTTTAACCGCGAACACAACCATCGGATATAAAAATAGCATTTGATCTTTCCAACTTCAGTGTGATGTCAGAGGGAAAATGCAGAAGTGTGAATATTAAGAATATTGCCCTTCAAAACCGTCTTCATACTGTCGTCAATGACAAAGATATGACGACACAGACGAGCCACAAGATGAAGCTTTCTGGCAAAAAGAAACACTGATGACAATTTGCTGCCATTCTTCTCAGTGTCCCTGTTGCTGTGCTGTAAATTGCTTTTTTTCATGCTTAAAGAGAACATAAATATTCTTCTACTCTTCACCAGGTCGCCTCTTGGACGCCACCAATAAGTACATGTACGTCTTTCTGTTGGCGGGCTGCGAGGTCGTGCTGTCGGCCATCGTCATCGCTTTGGGAAACTTCTTCTGCATCAGAAAGAAACAGGAAGATCCCGAGGCAAAGATGGAGATGGCTGTGAGCGCTGCAGAGAGGGATGGACTGAACCCCGGAGTGGAGAAAGGGGAGGACGAGGAAGGAGAAGAGGAGCAGAAGGGAATGGAGAACGGGAGTATCAGTGGTGAGAAAGTGTGCAAGGATGCGGTGATGGTGAAGGAGAACGGGAAGAGGGTTGAAGAGGAAAACACAACTATATGAAGAGTTGGAGTAGCAGAAATGAGACTGTGCATCAAGAGGACAACAAACAAAGGAAAGAGGAGGATCTGTGGCAAAGAGATGGACGAAGGAGCACAGAGAGGGAGAGGGAACAAAGTCGGATTTCATATGAGGGATTCAAAAAGGCAGAGAGGGTATTAACAAATAGTTTCACATGAATCAGTTATTTTCATAGACTGTACATAAGATAGCATCCATCTGTGGACTCTTATTTAGAAGCCCCGTCAGCATCTTTAAATTTGGAGCCAGGAGTCACCAAATGAAGACAAGAGAGTGAAGATGGAGAGTAGGGAATGGTTAGCAAAGGCCAAATAATCACTGTTAGCATGGTTAGCAAGATGCATCCATAATTTACAGGAAATGTTAAGTTAATAGGGACACTAACCATATCTAGTAAAAAAGAATTGGAACGCTGTCTCCCCAAAGCATCTTTTAGTTAAACACAGAGACTGCAACAAAAGAAAGACGACACAAATGCGTGACGAAAATAAAGCCGAAACATTTAGATCTCCCCCTAATGAGTTGAGTTAATACAGATGGAGACGTCTTCTACTTCTTATATACAGTCTGTGAAAAATACAACATGTTGATGTTTGTACATTACTGTGATCTTGAAGGAGTTTATCAACAAGTGACGGTACAGTCTACATGCTGCAATAATTATTTTGGCCGTGGAAATGCACCACATTACTGGAAACACACCAGCTCCTCATGTTGAATAGCTTTTCTATAACGCTGCCTAGAACAAAGATAGAGTTTGAGTTTTGTGCACTTTAAGCATTCTTGTTTCTAAGACAGATTTTATGTTTTCTAATTAGGACTCTTGCTATTCTACTTTCTAAGAAAAATATCTCAAACATACCTCCTGACTACATTTTCTTTTCAACAATATCTTGGATAATTTCCACGAAATCTGCCTTCTCACTTTAAACAATCAGGCATGGTACAAGACAGCCCTTCCAAAAGGGGGCGTGGTCACAGCTCATTTACATTTAAAGGTACAGACACAGAAACAGCTTGTTCTGAGCAGGGCTGAAATAGAGGGGTTTATAGGCGTGATCAAATACAGGATCAGAGTGGATTTAGAACAAGACACTTCACACACATTTTGGAGAGCTCTGAGACTAAACTTCTAATTTAACTAACTATCTAATTAATTTTTTAGGAGGCTGGCTAGATGTTTAGAAAATAGCAATATCAGATTTTTAATCTTAGAAACACAACCGATACAGATACCTGTTTTGATACCCCGACAACAGAAACTCAAGTCCTAATCACCCGATATTGGGTAATGTCTTCTTTTTAATGACCAAAAACTGCAAGTAATCTCCTGCACGCTGTCTCAATCAGTACGAAAGTATGAGACACTGCCAACGAATTTGTACAATTTAGACAGCTTTCTCTTTCTCTTTCGCTTTCGCTGGGAAGCTTTTGGTTAAAAACACGGCTAAAGATCTGCAGTTATTTTAAAGCTTTGGTTCTTTACGATACTGTCGATGAATAAAATAATGTGGGCTGTAATGTTTTAAAACATTCAGAATCAAAAAGTATTACCGTAGCAAACATCTTTACAACCTTCGTAAGGAAGTCATTCTGTTACACTCCAACTTCATCATGCACATCATGACAACTCACTCACAGAGAGAGTAAGTGGACCCCCGTACTCATCACAACTCTGTTATTGGTTGATCTTTTTCTTTATTTATTGCAAATATTTATTGATATTTTATGTAACAAGTGGATGAAAACTTGCTTTCAACTTTTTGATAGTTTGGGGGCACAACCAAATTCTTGGACCAAAGTGAGAGCTGTAACTACAAACATGAAGAGAAAGGATCTGAGTATGAAAATGTGACCAACAGGGAAACATTACAGACACATTCTAATTTCTAGAATAAAGTCTCAAAGTGTATGAAATAAAGTAACAGTGTTGAGAGTAAAGTTACATTTTTTGAGGAAAAAGATTTTGTTGTCGTTCTTTAATATATTAAACATTATTCAGGACATTTCTACTTTATGGATAATTCAGATTTCTTTAAAAAAAAATATAAACTGTAAAGTCAAATTCGGACGTCATTCTGGATAATTGGATCACATACACCTCAATATTTTCTGTTAAAATGCTTTTGTTGCAGTTGCTTCATCATTACAAAAAGTCAGATTCTTTATGAAGGCTTTAAATAAGATCATTTTGAAAATGGTTGTCACTTTATATACTTGAATGCCTTGATTGTGTTTATTGTATCACTTTCTCCAATTTCATGAAAACAATCAAAAATCTATTTTGTTGGTGTTTGCTGTGTGCTACTTTTATGTGACTTCCTCCAAGTGAGGTGATTGATAAGTCAGGTCACTGGATTACACTTTGTTAATCTGGCTGCAGCAGTGCATACTCGGCTGCTGAATGTACTGATTGTCTTGTTTTGTCTCGACTGCTCTGTTGAACTTCCGCTGAATGTTTCCCTGAAACCTGCCGTTATGCACTGAAATGATGCGAGATGCTGTGATCTACTGTATGTACTTTATGCCTTCTGTGCGTCTGATCTCTACAGACCTTCAGCAGAGCAAAAAAACACTTGCTTGGGTGAAGAAATGCAATTTTCTTTTTTTGAGTGACATTAAACACAACAAATACATATATTTATATCTCCTGTTGAAGAAAATGAGAAAATACATTTTTGTGTCTTGTCATTCTTGTTACGCAGCAACATTTGATACTGAAATATATGTGAAAGAAAGTCTTGCATTTTGGTCAACTGATTCATTCACATGTAGTATAAAGTAATGAAACCATAAAAAAGGTACAAGTAATTCATTTATTTACAGTTTAAGTACACAAATACAGTGGCAAATATAAATGTGAGAAAGTAAATCTTGCTGATCTGGTTGCTTACATAATTCAATAGGTGTAGAGTGCCTGACCAAAGAGGTCCAGGGTCAAAATCAAAACTATGAGGAGTACGAGCAGCAGTGAGAAATGAACTACAACAGGGCCGTTACATTCTGACAGGAGTACAGGGTTAGTATTAGTGTCAGACAGGTTGAGTCAGATATATATAAAAAAAAAAAAAAAAAAAAAAAAAAGACGACACTGCTGGAAAAGCCCGAGGAGGGACGAGAGTCAACTTTCTTTAAAAAAAAAAAGAAAAAGTTTTGTGTTGGTACAGGATCACGGATCCTTCCATACGTAAAGCAGGAGCTGTGACAAGACAGCATGTTGTACAAAATTTCTTTCACATTCAGTTCAACATCTCTGCTTCCTGTGACATCTCTACGGCTCTGAGGAGGGACACACTGATGGGAGAACACAAAAACAGACCTGCAGGAGCTCCGACCTCATCCATACAGGACAAACAGAACTTATGAGAAAACATTTTCACATCAATATTACAAGTTATTTCACAGCTTCCAAATAATACAAGTAAGAAAAGTTTGAATGTTTATCTGTACACATTGAATGGACATGTGGTCGGATGACGCCCTCGCCCCCTCATCAAGTGCACTTCTTTTGTAGCGAACACTAAAAAAGGGAGCGGGGCTCATTAGACAGAACACCAGAGCTCATCTGGAGCCCAACAGACAGAACATCTTGTCAACTGATGAGTAAATACACAACCTCCTGCACCGAGATACCAAAGCATGTTTGGTACGTTCATGGGCTCGAGCCTCCACACCTGAATTTAAAGGCTCTTAAACATGCATAGAGTACTTTCTTTTTCATTAATACAAATGGCTATAGAGATACTGACCAGAGCCATCGGTGTTGGGAAAAACAGAAACAGAAAACGTTGCTGGTACTTGTAGGAGGCGAAAATGATACCAATGAAAAGCATCGCGCCCCCTAAAACTACCCATACATATACACACAATGAAAAGCTGCTGGTTACACCTTACTGGGAGAAAAAGGGTTCTGTTGCTGACAGCGACGATGGAAATGTTGGATCATAAAGTTTCCAGAGGACAGGGAGTCTGTGTTGTTTCATCAGTCTGTTAGTGTCCTACAAAAGACTATCAGGACGCTGCGTTTATCCTGGAAAAAGCATGTTGAGGGTTGTGCTAGTATGTCCTGAAAAGTGGACAGAGAACCGCTCCGAGGTCCGACATCCGTTCAGACAGAAACACAGAAAAAGGAGAAGTAAAGGAGAGATAGAACAGAGGGGAGGACGTCAGAGAGCAGTGTATGCCCATTCTGAAGCTGGCTTCAGATCGGAGATGTAGTTATTCATAGTGGTAGTATCATATGCCAGGTTGCTTCAGGCCTTTGTCCTCCACGTTGCATTGTGGGGGCTCATCGAGGAGCTAGAAGATGGAGACCAGCAGACGGTACAGCGGACACCATCTACAGGGAACAAAAGGGAGCCAGAGAGTCACAAACACTTCATTTCATTGAACTAACTGACATGTCCAATTTGCATGTCTGCTTCCCTTACAGAGCTTTTTATTCATTCTGAGATTGAATGCATTTCAAAGTCAAGATTCATTTCAACCTGAGAACTCAGCTGCAGGGATTTAACAAGGGATGTTGCATTGGTGCCATTGAAATTATCTCCACATTTTCAGGCCTTAGAAAATTGTTTTGAACTTCTTTAACATGTCGTCCTCATTAGACACTGAAGGGATAAACTAGGGCTGTACCTGTTATCATGTCTGTCATTCTTGATTCCCTTACAGCAATCTTATGATTAATATATTTAATTTCTTATTTATTTGTGATTTTAGGGCATTTCACTGTTGGATCTTGTTTTGCTTGGGTAATAAGTACACCAACAGGCGTGCTGATGTGAAGGGAGAAGTGTGAAGTTTTTGAAGGAGAGCTTACTTTGATAGGGGAGAACAGGGCAGGTGTTTCATCTCAACGTAAGGTGCAAGATGTGTGCCTGTTGTCCAGCAGCTAAGAAAGTTATTTTCCATCTTAAAAAGTTACAATGGACAAATATGACAACATTTCTCAGACCTGCCTTTATCATTTAAAAACTACCTTAATCTTCCTTTCCACATCTTTTGTTGATTCCATTGTTGTAAGCACTAACTAAATCTAGGACCCGCAGTGATGTTTTGCCCGCTCCGACCGGGAGCAACATTAACACTGCCCACTCCCACAAGATTTGCGTTGGGTCCGTGGGACTCCATTCGCAAATGCAGCCCTCTAACATGCACCCCCCGGGAGAAAAATGTGTACATTTTAAAGTTAGATGCATCAAGTTTTGTGCAAAATTAAGAGGTTAAATGTATCAAAAACTGAATTCTCTTTTAACAATTTTGTGCTCTTTTAGTGCACAAATTGTCAAAACATAAAATCCAATGCCCATGGAAATTAAATGGCTTTAGGCTTGGCCCATAGAGACCCTCAAGCAGGCATACTGTTCCTACTCCTCTTACAGTTATGATCATCGCTCCTTTCCAGCCTCTTGTCCAAATTTGGATCGCATCTCTACAACATGCTGTATATTTTATACATTAATTGTAATGTTCAGTATTATAAATATTTAGAGTATTAACAGCAGCTCAAACGATTTAAGAACATTTCAAAATCAAAACGTTCAGATTCTCGCTCGCCCATATAACTCTCTCTCTCTGCCTCTCAAGTGTGGTCCGCGGACCCAGCTATATCTTTAAATGCAGGTTTTTGACATAATGAGGAAGAGAACCTCTTGAAAGAAGGTCTGATCTAATGTTTAGACTTATGAGTAAACTTTAAGTGCAGCTTTTCAAGACAACAGGTGAGCAGCGGAGCTGTGCTGCGTCTTTAGGCGAAACAGATTTGTCCCGCTCTTTCATAAGTTGTTTTTGCAGGTTCAAAAAGAATATTCAGCTAGAATTTCGATACCTAGCTTTACAACTAGTTATGCTGCTTTTTCTGACAGGGTGATCAAACGTTTTTGATTGTGTATAAAACCTCCGAAACCTGCACAGCGATTGAAAAGCTCCGAACGGCTATGAGTTGTAACACTCTGCAGGAGGTAAACAAGGTAGGGAATGGACATAAAAACAATCACACATTCCGGTGTAGGCTACTGCAGCCACACATCACATTTAATGGGGTAAATTGTACTTTAAATGTACTTAGAAAAAAAGAACGTTCTTATAGTTGATAATAATTCCCTGACGCTAGCATGGCAAATGAGACTATGGTGGGCCGCCACAGTCTAGTTAATTAATGGGAAACACTGGGATAGACTTGAACCAGTA